ATGGTGGTCTAACAATGATTGAATGATGATTTCAAATGTGTAAAGAACATTTCAAAAGAAAATGATAGGGACCTTATACTTCATTAACATCGAATTATAATTCACTCGTTTTGGCGTCATCTATGAGCATTTAAAATGAATAATTTCGATGGAAAATGAGATAAACTGTTTCATTGAAAATAGACTTGAAGATAACAGGTAAGTCTATCGCCTAGATTGCTTGCTGTATACAGTGAATATGTTTTTGACATAAACGGATTCAATCTATCTTTTCTGCAAGACAATCAGGATCGGTTTGTATCACTATTGAAAACAAGGAAAGTAACAACATATCAAATAACTTATTGGTATTTGAGAGCTTCTGTTTCAGTGTGAATATTCATCCACATTGGAATACAGATACAGATTTCTTTATTAACTCTCTCAAATAAAACAAGATAAATAAAATACTCTCAAAAAATTTAATTTCAATGTTTTGTTATATGAATGTTTAACTGTACGATCTGTTTGACTTCAGTGTACTAAATTATTTATCATTTTATTATTGTTGGTTAAAATTTGAATTTTCGATCTCTAATTTTCATACCATTGAAAATTGAACAGACTCAATTATTCATCCATTAAAAAGCAATATATATATCTGTAATAAATCAAGTATTACGTACTTATATGAGAATATTTTCAATATAGAAAACATTATTTACGTAGGACTTCGTAAGCAAGTACATAAGTTCTGGTTGCCATACCACATTAGCAGAGAGATGCAATTGTTAGTTCAAATCCCATAGGGGTAGATAGATAATAGAAGTATTAGCAGTAATGGAGAAGATTAGAGTTTGAATATATGATTCGAGCAGGATAATTCAGTTGAGATCACTTTAGAAAGAGAAAGATAGATATGATGAAGAATTCAGGAGGATTAGAATTACAGAGAACACAAAGAGTGAATGCACTTGCGCCATTACAAACGATTTTCAGCCATGTCGTTCAATACATCAAACGTAAATAACCACAGAAAAACACAACGGTTACTTTCTCGTGAAAAAAAGATTATTTTTTGGAAAAAATATCGATTTTCTAACTACTTATTTCCCTCACCTCAGGATTTTTAATCTAACATAAAAATTATGTTCTTCTTTATGGGTAATTAATTACATACAAAAACGTTAGGATTAATTCAAACAATTTCTAAGCTAATCATTAGTATGATGTATGTATGCATTGTATTGTATTGGATTGTATGCTATACTATATATACTATACAATTAAAATAGGTATAATTGCCATAATTCACATAATACTGAGAATAATAAAAATAAGTAGTATGAGAAAATGTACCTAAAAAGACTGACTGAAATCATCAATTCATCAATGAACACGGAGAATTTTCAATCACGTCATAAAAATGAGTAATTAAAATTAAAATAGGGGCGAAAAATAAAACAACTTATAAACTGATAGCAAGTTAACAAGGTCGTATGTATAGAAAGTAAGTGGGTAATTAAAAAAACCTTTTTCAAATATTTCAATTAAACTTGGTCAATAAAGTGTTCATAGACTTTAGTTAGTTAATATTTAAAATCATAAATCGATCAATGCTAGACCACCATTAGAAACCTGAAAGCACTGGACAGCCGTTTCGCCATGGTATGGGACTCCTCAGCAGTGCGCATCCACGACTCCTGCACCCCACAGGATTCGAACCCAAGACCTTTCGGTCGTGCGCGCGGACGCCTAACCATCGGACCACTGAGCCGATATCTAACGGTGTTAATGTCTGTCTAACTTCGATCAATTCACGGAGTTGCGCAACCTCAGACACTGTCTTCGGTAGTTACTGTCTACACCATAACAGAGTTGAACTTCACTGGTCACGATTTCCCACAAGAACCTGGAGCTAGTCACTACTGAGAACAGGTAATTGCATTACGGGCTTGTGAAGATTGTTAAGTTGCATATTTGAAATCATGAACCGATCAATGTTGGAATACTGCGTGGCGCAGGAGTCGCGGATGCGTACTGCCATTGGATGAGTAGCCCCATACCACGACGAAACGGCTGTCCAGTGCTTGCAGGTTTCTAATGGCGCTCTAACATTGGTCGATTCATGATTTCAAATGTGTAGCAATCTTCACAACCTCGTAATGCATTTAGTTAATACGTAAACGATAAAGTTAACAAGATGTGGAATGAAATACAGTCAGTTAACTTGAATTATTTTATCCTACTTATCATTGTCGATTATACTCAATCGAAAAGAAATTCGTCACACACTTGTTGAACTACTAATAACATTGCTGATTAACTTATTGCCTAAGCGTCTGGAAAGTAAGTTCGTAATCGGTAGGTTAATTGTACAACATAAACTATATGTATGTATATGATTGTACATTAGTTTGCTTGATACGTGACATGCACAGTTCACATTTCAGTATAGATTATGTACAGGCTTGAAAATAAATTATTATCGTCGTTCTCACTTCCTATTTCGCCCCACTATATCATAGAAAGATTTTATTGTCACCAATTTGGACTCATGTGCTTTCACGAGCCTATACTAATTTGGGTCATTTATGGTGTAGGCGACGAGTTAACTGCTCGACAGTTTGATCCGTCCTCCTCTATGGATGTGAACCATAGCCAGTAAGAGTAGAAGATATTTTTAGACTACTGGTTCTCGATTATAGGTGTCTCCGAAGCATTGCTCGTATATCATGAGACAACTAAGTAAGCAGTGCCGTTGTTAGGAAACGGGTACTAGGTGAGGATGGCAAATCAGTTTATGACGTATTAAATGCTCATCGTTCAGGATGGTTGGGAAGCATTTTACGAATGCCCAACCACTGACTTCCACGACAAGCGATATTTTATGATGTAGGAGTAGGTTTGGAAAAACCTAGGGGCGGCCAAACCAAAATATGGCACAGATCCATGAAGCAACTGACACTTGTAGTGAGCCATATTGGTAAGTGTAGACTACCTGTTTTGAGTCCATGAGATGATAATGACCGATGGTTAGACAGTGAATGACATGGTTAAAAATCGTGTGCAATGTCACATGTGCATCCACTCTTTGTATTCTGCCAAATCCTAATTTTAATTCTTTATGGCCTTCCTCTTTCTCTTCTCAAATTTATCTCACTGAATTATACTTCTTGAATAACATCTTCAAACCCTAATCTCTCCGATTACTGCTGGTACTTCTACTAATTCTACCACTATGGGATTTGAATTAATAGTTGCATTTATGTGCTAATGTAGTATAGCAACTTCAACTCATGTACGTACGTACGACTTTGTTGATCGACTGACTGACTATTTCATAAAAATGATTCTCCAATCTATAATTTATCAACTATTGCTGATTGACTCATGTTTTATTGATTTAATCCTTTAGAGAGGATTAATTTACCAAGCTTCTCAAATGATTAAATATATACATACAAACTGAAATATGTTATATCTCTCTATATAATCTTAAGTATTTTAATCAAAATTCATTTCATTTTTGGTTTATTTTGTGTTAGAATTAATGAAATTGATAAGATATATTTATTCTCAACAGAATTTAAATTTAAATCTGAATTTTTTACATGTGCACAAAAACCGTTTGTTAAATTCTTCACTTTATCAACACCGCCCTCTTGCACATTTTAAACATAATTTTTAAGATAAATTTTGTCATACTATTATTATTCAACATATGTCTAGTTATAATTCACAATACCTATTCGTTATTTCAACATTCACTTAATGATTGATATACACATTCACTCCGCTTACATTAACGAATTCTGTTTCATGTTTGCACTCTTGTCCAATGAAGAACTACTTAACTTGGCAGGCAGTATGTACATTATTATTCATTGGTCATTACAAACAGACAGTTTATAATTTCTTTGGTAATGAACTTGAGAAAGTAAAAACGTGTCTTCAAAAGATAAATTGTATTTTTTTTTAATTACATAAATTAGAATTCATGCTTTCTTTAATACAATATCTAAAATGTTTAATGAGATTATTTTATTGAAATGTTATGCAAAATGATGATGCATAGAAAAAATTATTCAAAGTGTTGATAGAATTTATTTTGTTATTATTATATGAATTTACGAATTTCAATAAATTGATTTTAAGAAAGTTGAAAATATAATTATTCGCTTACTGGTGAAACGTTTTGTTTCCGTTGAAGTTCTAGTTAGAATTTCAGATGAATGGAGTTCAAACAACAGAACTAATAGTCACCAATCACATTGCTCTAGATGTTGAATTAAAGTTGGAAATGTGTACCTCTTAACTGACACCCGATGGTTCTAACAATTAAAGCATCTGATCAGAAAGTTTCTAGTATCAACTTCCAGTGTAATTATCAATGTAATGTGTTGAGGATTTCCAAACTAGAACGAAATAGTCCGCCAATATTTCCTAGTTTGAAATGGCACTCCAACTAAGATTGATTCGTGACGAACACCTTCTAAGAATACATATTTCCTGTAAAACACTTTGTTCTTTATAGTTTGAGGATCAATTCATATAATATCTCATTTAGGTGTGTTTATGATACGTATACTATAATAATTGACTTATCTCGAATCTGATAATCAGCTGTTTATTTGTCTTAATCTTATCTATAAAAAAGCTCTCCTACTTGTAAATTTTATTTAGATTCAGGACATCATATATGCACATATATATATCCATTTTCCAGAACTGACAAGACGCAGCAGAGTAAGCTTACAATTGATCTAATAAATTAGATATTCTTTCGATAATTAGCGTAGTCTGAGAGTAATGAGGACGAAGAAAATTTTGAATGTCACTTAATAGCTACTTATTAGTAGTTTGCAATCTCGAAAAGAAAATTACTTCACCGACCTCATATATTCATAAACAAAACACATTTTAAAAATGGTATACATATATGTTGCACTGCATTCCCTTTCCCCTCCCCCCCCCCCACAATAGAAAATTAAACAATACGGACATGATAATCAAGGTGTATTTTTTTTTCTTACTAAAAAAAAAACGACAAAATATCCTGCTAACAAACAATAGTAGTAACAATGATGTCGTCTATATGGTTATAGTTTTTAATTTTTTTTTGTGCATTATTCATTCATATTCAAACATACAAATAAAATACATTTTACTCCTTAATAAAAAAGAAACAACAACAACAATTTAGTACCTAAAATACTAAATAAACAATAAACAATAGAAATAATAGTTATTAGGGAAGTGTGCACAAGTTCCAGTAGTGATGAATAAGTTTGTAAAGACAAAAAACAAAGACGATTCTTTATAGTCATCATAATAAGTTCGAGTTCACTTATTTTTTAGTATTTAGTAGTATTGTTATTACAAACACCGGGGGGGGGGGGCTTTATACATATTAAACTAATACAAATATCATCATAAAAATAACAACGAATATAAAAAAACAAACAACACACACACAGAGAGAGAGATAAGCAATACAAACTGATTGAACTATAAACACTGATACAAAATTTCTGGAATTTATTATATATATGTGAACCAAAAAACACATTCACCGTGTTCCTTTTTCCCATTTCAATTAGAACGATGATATAAATTTAATTTACCATGACAATAAATTTCCAAATTAGTTTTATGCAATTGATTTAAACTATGAGTTGATGATTCATTTGATGAAAATGACATCGATGGACATTCATTACACACAGTTATTTCACTACTACTTATATTATTATTAGTAGTATTAATAGGAATATGGTTGCATACATTAACATCAACATCATCATCATGGTCATTATTGTATGAATCAATTGAACTACGATTAGGATCACAAACAGTAGAATATCGATCATTATTGTGATCTTTAATATTATTGCCCGATTCCATATTTGGTTCACATATATAATCCGATTGAACACGTTTAATAGTTAGCGTTTGTTTAAATTTTGGTGAAGTTAAAAGGCGAACATTTGAAGAAAATATTAATGAACCATTCGGTTGATTACAAATTCGATTATCACTATTATTATTATTATTATTATTATTATTATTATTATTATTAATTGAATCTGGTTTATGAATTGAATCAGTTATTGGTTCAATATTATTATTATTATTCGAGTTGACATTTGATGAATGGACACATTTTTCTTCAGAAGATAATAATTGATTTGATAAAGTAACAATTGGAGAAGAAGATCTTTCTTGTGATGATAACGTCTTATTTTTTAATAAATATTCTTTAGAATTATTCACATTTTTATGTTCAATTGATGATGAATTCAAGTGTGATGTATCACTAAACATAGATTGTGAATTATTCATAGTTGTACTTAAATGATCTGAGAAACGATTTGGAAAGTAAGGAAGATTATCATCAGAAAATGCACGATTTAAAAGACGAAGTTGATTGGTGGTACAATGTAGTAAACGATGACGACGTCTGAAAGTTTGTTTGTTTTTTTTTTAGAAAAAAAAAAGGAAAAATAATAAAAGGGAACATTTACCATTGAATAATTATAGGAAATAATTTAAATTAATTAATATTATGTATATTAAACATTTCGAAATTATAACTCCCAAGTTACCTAAGTGAAAAGTTTTACTACTAGAGTGTAGTCTAATTGAAAACTTTACATTAGAGAGCCCATATTTAAAAAAGTGTTCTAACGAACAGTTAATAGATCAGTGAAATATAATCATAAGAACTAATGAGATGATCATTTAAATCAATAACAGAATTTCAACTTGATACAAAAGTTGACGATTTATGATGTCATACTATGAAAAGGTTTCTTTTGTTTTTTTGTAAAAGAAAGCCCGAAAAACTATGTTCATGAACTAGGAAGTAACCTAAGAGGTGTTTTTATGCCCAATACACGAGGACATGTATGTAAATCAACAAATATTCTTCAGACTAAAACTAGAGATAACTATTTACTTGATTCAAAAGTAATTGAATTCATGTCATTGTTCGTGCCTTGAAAGAGTAGGTTACTAGTATTCGATCATAGATGTTTAAGAAGCATTGCTCGTATACCGTGGGACAGCCGAGTAAGCAATGCTGTCGTTAGGAAACGGGTACTAGGTAAGGATGGCAGGTCAATAGATGAATTGGTGAAACTTCATCAGTTAAGGTGGTTAGGACATGTGTTACGTGTGCCTAAACACCGACTGCCTCGACTAGCTATGTTTTGTGGTGTAGGAGTAGGTTGAAGCTAGCGGCGGCCAGATCAAAACATGGCACAAATCCATGAACTCACTGACAACTGGACTGATTCATGTTGGTAGATGCAGGCTACCTGGTTGCGGTCCGCCAGACGACAGTCACTGATGGTTAGAGGCCTTGAACGACATCGCTCAAAATCGTTTGCAATGGCGCAAGTTCATCCCTTCGTTTAGGTCTCTCAAATCCTAATCTTCTGGAATCGTCAGCACCTCTACCTTTGTTTTTTTTAACTTATCTTACTGATTTATACTTCTTCAATAATATCTTGCAACCCTTATCCTCTCCATTACCATTAATACGTCTACTATCTTTATCACTATGGGATTTGATTTGACATTTGCGTCTCTGTGCTAATGTGGTATGGCAACATGAACTTATGTACATACGTACGAAGTTCTACGTTGTAACTGATTGAATGACTGATTGACTTGTGCCTTGAAGTATCATCATTTAAAAATGCTAGATAGGTGAGTAGTGAGTGATTGATGCTATATTTGTGTAGTTCATTAGTTCTGATCGAATTCGAACAATAAAGTTCCGATGTAGCCACTGACTTGTTATTCCGTTCAAAATGTCAAGTGGTTAGAGGAGGCCACCCCTAGCTTTCTTCCAACCTACTCCTACACTACAAAACAAAGCTCTTCGAGGCAGTCGGTGGTTAGGCATACGCAACACATGTCCCATCCACCTCAACTGATGAAGTTTCATTACTTCATCTACTGATCTGCCATTCTTACCTAGCACTCGCTTCCTAATAACAGCGTTGCTCACTCGGGTGTCCCACTGACTCGGAATTCCGTGCAAAATGTCAAGTGATTAGAAGAGATTGCCAGAAGACTTAAACTTAAGTTATGTATGTATTTGTACACATGCACTGTTGATACAACTAAATGCTGTCCACAATGGAATTCATAAGTCGCAGCATCCTCAAGCTTCATAATTTGAGATATCATCACTGAGCCATTCGACGGGTGGCATGTATATGCAACAATAAATTGAGGTCAGAATATTATTTTTAAAAATAATAATCAATTAATTTGATTTGCATAATACAAATGCATAAGGTGTGGCTATCGAGGATATCGGTTAAAGAAAATGAATAATACTGAACTGAGCTAAGAAACGATAAAATAACGATAATAACTTTGTTTAAAAAAAATACAATGATATCAGATCAGTAAAGTGAAATAATGGAATTTTTTTGAGGTATCATGATTTAGGGGGATGAAACGTAATAGGAAAAAATACGAAATAATCTCTATTTCGTTTCACCAGCCATCAGCCATCTTAACTGAATGAAGACAAAACAACACTGAGCAATTGTTTCGTTCTACTTTGCAACTCTTTCAAGAGAGAGTGGGACCAACAACATCTTAAAAAATATCAAAATCATGAAGCGGTGATGATTAAGTGGTAAGGCTCTAAATTATCAGACTATTTTGTTCTTGATGTTGTGTGGTCAGACAATAAGTCATAAACCCGAACCCCTAACTTCAGTTTGGAAAAAATGGATTGTAATGGATAGTAATGAATGATCTTTCAAATAGTATGCATCAAATTTTTTTACACAAACTTGTATATAAGACTAAGGTAGACAGTTGCAGGAAATTGTTTAGTCCTGAACTAATAACAATAGAAGAAGCTTTGAATTCCAGTTCTTATTTGATAGTGAAAACTATTTATTTACCGTATGTAACATTAATTCGTTTCAATTTAGTCAGTTGTTAGATCGAGAGAGAGAGAGAGAGTATTACGGATTAGTTGATTTTCTATTGGCCGGAAATTGGCACATTAAGTCGTTTAATGTTAAGTAGCCTAATACACATAAGAATTAAAAATTGTTAAACTAAAAATGTTAGTTAGCATTTAACTGTTAGTTGAGTTGATATTTATTATGTAAACAAATATTAGCATAATCACTGTGAAATAAGCATAACTAATATCTTCCGAATCAATACGAAACAGCATACAGCCAGTCAGTCAGTTACAACGTAGAACTTTGTACGTAAATACAGAAGTCCCAGTTACCATACAACAATTAGCACAGAGAGATACAATTGTCAATTTAAATCCCATAATGGTAGAGATAGTAAAAGTATTAGAAGTCATCGGAGAGATTAGGCTTCAAACATGTTATTCAACAAGTATAATTCAGTGAGGTTAGTTTAGAAAGAGGAAGATAGAGGTGATGAGGAATTCAGAAGGTTAGAATTTCATAGAACACAAAGAATGAATGCACCTACGCCATTGCAAACGGTTCTGAGTCATGTCATCTCGCGGACCCCAACCAGGTAGTCGACACCTACCAACATAACTCAATCCACTTGTCAGTGACTTCATCCATTTCTGCCATGTTTCGGCCTGGCCTCCCCTAACTTTCGTCCAAGCTATTCCTACACCACAAAACATAGTTCGACGAGGCAGTCGGTGTTTAGGCACACGTAACACATGTCCTAACCACCTTAACTGATGAAGTTTCACTACTTCATCTATTGACCTGCCATCCTTACCTAGTACCCGTTTTTCCTTACAACAGCATTATACAGCATACAAACAATATTATTATTATTATTATTACTATTATCATTATTATTATTATTAATATTATTCATAACACCAATAATAAACATATAACAAACACAACTATTAATAATAATTATAATGCAGTTGAAAAACAAATAAAAAAATTTCAAATCACTCATGTGACAACATTTAGAAAAAAAATTTATAAACAATAGAATTACTTGGTTTCAATTTTTGGTTATTAGCGTAAATTCTTTGCAATGTTGATGCAAGTTAGAAAATTATTTGTTTTTTTAAAAAAAAAAGAAAAATGGAATGTTGAATGTGACTGATAGTTCAATATTCAATAAATCATTAAGTGCAATCAATATTACATCATTGTCAGTAGTAGTTATAGTTGTAGTAGTAGTAGTAGTATTTCGCATTAAATCGAAAAAAAATCTTTCATATACATTTATATATATGATTAACTATTATTATTGTTATTAATTATTATTTTCATTATAAATACTAATTTTTACAAATCAGATATATACTTGATAATTAGATAAACATTGTTTTCAATAATCACTATTATCATCATAATTTTTTCATATCATAAGCATAAGCATCAACGTCGCCGTTAACATCATCAACATCATCATCATGATCGTGATTTTCTGAACATACAGAACTTTCCACCGATGATCTAGGATAATATAAACTAAAATTATGAAAGGGAAAATTTTGAGAGAAATTAAAAAAAAGAAAACAACACAGTGAGCATATTTCACTGATGAGTTAGAATAATAATGCAGCATGAAATAAATGTTAATTAAATGAGAAAAATCAAACACACACATGTGACGAATGAAGTTTAAATGTTATACAATGTTAAACAAACACTTTTATCATAATTAAAGTAGGCGGTCTATGCTCCATTGGGGGTAACAGGCGTGAATAAGTAAGAGATATTGAAGGATATAGTTCAAAACCAGCTGTAACTGCGTAAATACATTCATTGTTTACATCTTGAGTTCTTAAGTGATTGTACAGTTTTTATTTTACGGATTAATTATTTCTACTAGAATCTTTTATACCTTCTAATTTTCTTATTAACACTATGTTACTACTTCTATTATTTTTACACTTTTATTGATAACTGAATTCTAGGTGCGTCGATATGATGTACACATATGTTGTCTAAGACTGACATTATTTGCTTTGATTAAATATTCTTGATCGCATAAATCAGAGGATATCAATCAATTCTTGAACAACTACTTAGTAGTCTGGATGATGTAAGAATGAATCGCACAAAAAGCATTAATTCCCTCAATATTGTACACAGCAAGAAAGCTAAGTATAAGGTATTTACTGCTTACTTTCAAACAAACTAACATCTCTATAATAGTCACAGGGATAATGACAGTTTACTTTTTGTATGTTGTTTCTTTGAGAAGCTCAATCGTTTGAATATTTTAAGTTATTGTTTATTCAAAAATCAAATTAACTCTTCTCCCAAATCGTAGCTTCTACCTTGTCTTGGTGGTTGGGCTTGTCTCTGGTGATGACACAACCGAGCTATATTGACTGGAACATATGTTCCTGAAGGTTCTACCATGCCAGGCAGGTCGATTGGAGAACGATGAGACCAAAAGCAGCTACTCAAGGTCTGAGTGTGAAGTCGTACTGCTGACTGTAGAGAGGTGTGGCAGCAGTAATGTGTTTCCCTCGGACAACCAGCGTCTGCAGCGATGCTACCTTCGCAAATGGAAGGAATAGGTTAGAAAAGGTTGACCCTAAAAATGTCACACCTCACCCTGCCTCACGGATTTCCATCTCCGGCGGTAAGGCCTATTAAAAAGAAAGGAGCTAACACTTTAAATACTACCCATAAAAAAGCGTTGCATGACCGGCCTGAAGCAGTTGTCCTTTGGGCTCTGCGGTCACGCTCTCAGGTAGTTAAGACCAACCTTCCTTTTCAGGTTCCTCAACAAACACCGTTCCCACGGTGTGGGCAACCGGGAAGTGACAACCACCTTCATACCCGTAACAACACGCGCTTAAAATAACACTTAGCCTACTACGGTTGATACTGATAGTAAAAGGCACACACACACTGAAAACAAACAGAAATCAATAAACACAGGTTATTACATAAAACAAAAAATAGAGTTTACCGTTAACAATGCCAATATACATTTAGTATAACACAAGAGTTAGCAAAAAGCAAGTATTTTTTTTAAAATTATTAACAACTAAAACAAGTAAATAAATTAAACTATGCAGAAAATTAGTACACAAACAGAAAAAAAAAATACTCAAACACCAAATCTTCATTTGTAACAACTAATTCTTCATTGAAATGAACAGAATATCAAATCTAACATTGTTGTTTTAAGTATCATAAGTTTATAAAAGTTATTATCATTTTTAAAGTTGATGTGCAAAACTGTAAAGCATTTTCATACTAATCAAATTTTCGCTAGATTATACTGTTATCCTAGCCCGGATAAAGGAGGAGGGTTGGGCTTGGGGATGGCGACCTCATCCCACAAAAAACTAATCCGCTAAAAAAAACGCTAACAAGAAAAAAACAATTTATTCAAACCATATAAACTCTGCTCTGAGAGTTAGAAGGTCTTCATTTAGAAGAGTTATGACGTCTGATGATGAAAGCTAACTTCTTTCGGAAGTCACGACGCCGATGCCCCCCTTCGGACAACCACAGCCCTTCCACAATGTGGGCAGGCGGGTAGTAACATCCGCCCTCATAACCATTAAAGCACACGAGACCAAACTGGTCACAACCAGTGATTGTTTGATATACCGGTTACGTAAACATCTTAGTCTTTAAAGTTATGATCCCCCCTTTTTGAATGGTGATGATAATTCGAGTTGGATAGGATGATTACAACAGAACTATTCCTAAGACTTATGAATAGTAGCAGTTACTCAACTGATACACATCTAATATAAACAACCTTGAGTAAATCAGTCAATATCAGAATGATTATGATATCGTGACATAATGAATAGGCAATTTATGCAACCACATGAAACGGAAAAAAAAATAAGTAATCAAATTAAGAAAAATTAATAACACTTGCTTTGAATTTGAACGTAACAATAATAGATCTTGTGAACTTTTAGTTGATTTATTTAATAGAAGATTTTCAACTGATGAATGATAATTTAATAAATCTTCATAATCCGATTCACTTTGTTTCGATTTAATTAATGCTTCTAAATCTTGTGTACGTCTTAACAGAGCATTCATTTCAGCACGTGAACATAATGCTTCATGCATAGCTTTACTAGCATCCATTTGTGCTTCTTCAGCTCTACGTTGTGCTGTTGTAGCACGTCTAGTTGCTTCATTTTCATCTTGTTGTGCTTCACGTAATTGTCGTGATAATTTACGATTTTGTTCACGTTCATTGGCTTCAGTAATTAATAATTTATCACGTTCACTAGTCAATTGATCAATTGTTTCACGTGCACGATCAAGTGAATATTGTATACGTATACGATTACTAGTTTCAATATCTAAACGTTGTTCTAATTCACGAATTTTTGCTTCTAAACGTTCTAATTCACTACGAGGTACCTAATTATCATAGAGAGAAAATAGAGACAAAGTAAAGAAGCGAGATTTTCATAATTTGAGTGTAAGAATACGATCTTATTAAGATAACTAATTCACTTTCATTTTTGATCAATTAACTGACACTGTTTTCTAGAAAATGAGTTCACATTTGAAAGACCACAGTGTTTCTCGAATACTTCAGGTTCTAAATGAGCTCCTGTTGAACAAAATCATTCAAGATAAGGTAATATTACCAACTTTATACTACTTATACAATAACAATCAAATGCGTTGGGGACGTTAGATCCCTCCCCCCAAAACTCGCTTGATAAATGTCTTTATTTTAGATTTATTTCATGGGCTGATCAGTTGACCTTGAGACTACACTTCCCACCGGGAAAAGCCTTGGCTGTGATCGGTCATTGAGTTATCTTAGTGTGCTATTTTTGTGATGATGTGTAAATAAACGAGATTTGTGTGCTTGAATTCGTTGTGAGTGTTTGTAGAATATACTTTCTACGTAATATCAAGACTTTTCGTTAGTTCCTTTGGGTCAACACATCAGAGTAGCCTATCCGGACACTGATTGATTGTCTGGTTCTCGTTTATCGACTAAGGTGAACCCGTAATAGTTTCAAGCATATCAAGTGACGAGCATAACAAAATGAATCACTCAAATGACAAATTTATGCTGTTAAGTTTTGAAGATCGGTTTTATAGGCAAATTATAAAATGGGTTCTCAACCTTAAGAAGCATTGCGTCTGTATTACACCTTGAAGCAGTGTTGTAAGTGAATACAATGGATTTGAAAAGCCAATGGTATAGTGTGATATGGCACCTAGTAAACTGTAGTATATACATATTATATATGATGTAGAATTTATGTACCCTACCAATACAATACTGTTACAACAACAATGAAAAATATGACCAACCTGATCAATACTATGAGTATTCAATTTCAATTTCAATTCATCTATTTGTGTTTGTAGTTTTTTCCGTTCAACTAAAAATTCTTCTATTTCTTGTATTTGTGCTTGAATTGTAGCCTCTTTTATTGTTAAAGTAGCGGTGGCATTTTGTAATTTATCACGTGTCTCCTTATGCGCTTCTTCTTGATCAGTAAATTGATTTTGTAAATCTAATACTTGACGTTTCGATCGAGATAATTCTTCTTCACACTGATGAAATAGAAAAAAAAGAAACAGAATTACATGAACAGTTGGGATGTGATATTGAATCGAATCATTGTTCAATAGTGAAGAGTGTATACAAATTGTTTCCGTTAGTATTTTGAAATCATAAATCAATAAATTTTAGGCTACCATGAAAAACCTGGAAGCACTGGACAGCTATTTCGTTCTAGCATGGGACTCATCAACAGTTCACATCCACGACCCTCACTCGCAAGGGTCGAACCCAGGAATTTCGGTCTTACGAGCGAATGCATATTAAATTAGCCTGCTACAGAGAGAAATGAATTCTTCAGGGTAATAATTCCAAATAGCCAACAGCATACAGCTAAACTGGTATACTGCTGCTGCATCAATCAATAACTATTCAAGTGATTTATTCATGAAAATCTGTAGGCTACCAACACTGAAATACATCTCTTTACAATATTAAGATTTGGTAGCTCAGAAGCATTTTACACAGAAAAACTGGTAACCATAGCAAAGATTCATTCGCTTAGTATATTGCTTTAAAACATTGTAAACAGTGTAACATATTCATTGCAAGATATTTCTGCCGTACATTTATTTACACTCCGTGTTCTGTTTATTTCAATATATTTTCATAAATATTTGGTAATTTTATTGCTTTTTTATGCCTTAAAAATACACAATAATTGCTGTATAGTTGTTTTCATTATTTTCAGTCTAGTTAGACGACCAGTGAAAATTAGGAAACACTGGACAATTTCTTCATCAGTTCACTAGATTCGTCCGTAGTGTAGATTCACCAACTCATCAGGGACTAAATAAAAAACGTTGAGATCTCATGACGATTACTCAGACTCTAGATCAGAGTCAGGATCCGATGGTTTACATATCTAACTTGTATCAATCTGAAATATTGAATTGCCACCTTCCAAAGTCAATATAGTAGGTAACTGTCCCACACACATACACACAACATTGTTGAACTCTAGTGATTACAATCTGGGAATTATCTCTTGAAGTTATTCACTAGTGAGTACAATGAGGATTATCAATATCATGATAAGACGTGTGCAAATTATTAATTATGAAAACAGATTAGTTAAAGTGACTGGTCACTGTTTTTTTTTTCGTTAATTTATTCACTTGTTTCATTAACAAGAAATATCGACAATTGGTAAGAGAAAGAAATCGACTAGTTTAACAACATTACTTTATCACGAATGGATTAATTAGAGTGAAAAATAAACAACTCAAAAATCACTGCATTTCAATTCCGGCGTTATATGTGCTGAGGACGTTAGATCCCCAGAACTCATTTGGAAAAGGTCCTAAGTTTGATTCTTTTATATTTTCGCGCATAAGACGCTTAGTTGACACTCAGCTTATATTTCCCACTCGGACAATCCTTGACTGTCATTGGTCGATGGATAATTTTAGTACATTATTTTGTGGCTCTCCCAGAGGCGTTTCTATCATGTATATGTGCTTTGTTACCACCTCGTATCTTTTGAGTGCTTGTAGAATACAGTCTCTACTCCTTATCAAAACTTCTTGATCTACTTAGTTGAGGCTAGGACAATCGGATTAGAATAGCCTATCGCGTCACTGAGTGATTGCTTCCATTCCGGTTACCAAGTAAAGTGAACTCGTAATAGTTTCAAGTATATCAATCGACTAGCATATCAATATGTTCACCTGTTATTTGAAATTATCAAGGAGTTTTCTTCCTAAGTGATATCCTTACTCAATTTCACTACTTCATAATGTAAACACATATTAACTAACAAAAATAATGAGAATCACTAAGTCGACATAGACATATAAATATACATATATACATAAATTTATACCTCTTTTTGTATACGTTGAGCAGTCGTCAGTTGTTGTTGAATTTCGTCTAAATCACTTTGTAATGTACGTTTTTGACGATTCAATATTTCATTTAATTCATCCAATTCATCAACCTTTAAATTAAATAAAAATTTTATGCACAAATAACCACAGAAAAAAAAGGGCCAATGATAAATAAAAAATTTATGCAAATTTATATCAACCATGATTAAGTATCATCTAACCTGAAGAATGTTACTTGCAAAAAAATTCAATAGACTAAGTGTAAATATACTGTCTGTTTCAGCTTTGTGATTCATGTCAACAAAAGTAGATAAGATAAGAAGGATGTCTGATGGATCGATGAAAAGAAAGTAAACATGTTATCAGTTGACTTTTATTAGACTAAACTATATTAAACGATACCATCTTACTTACTTACTTACTTACGCCTGTTACCCCCAATGGACCATGGGCCGCCCACCAGTTTCCTACAACCAACGCTGTCCTGGGCTTCCCTTTTCAGTTCTGTCCGATTTTCGTGCATTCTTCTTATGTCCTTGTCTATTTCTCGGCGTAATGTGTTCCTTGGCCTTCCTCTTTTCCTTCTGCCTTCAGGGTTTCATGTGGGGGCTTGTCTCGTGACGCAGTTCAGTGCTTTTCGTAATGTGTGTCCTATCCACTTCCACTGCTTCTTCCTGATTTCCTCCTCCACTCAAATCTGGTTTGTTCTCTCCCACACTACGTTGTTGCTGATAGTGTCTGGCCAACGAATCCGAAGTATTTTGCGTAGACAACTGTTCATAGATACTTTTATCTTCTGGATGATGGTTTTGGTGCTTCTCCAAGTTTCCGTTCCATACAGTACGATTGTCTTGATATTTGTATTGAAAATCTTGATTTTGCTTTTTGGTTGAAAGTTGTTTGGAGTTCCAGATATTTTTGATGGTAGAAATGCAGCCCTTGCTTTGCCGATTCGCGCCCTCACATCTGCATCGGATCCACCTTGATTGTCGATGATGCTTCCCAGATATGTAAAGGTGTTAACATCCTCCAAGGTATCTCCATCAAGAGTGATTTGTTTGGTGCATGTTGTGTTGCATCGGAGAATTTTGCTTTTTCCTTTATGTATGTTGAGACTTGCTGCTGCAGAGGCTGCTGCTACACTGTTCGTCTTCTCTTGCATTTGTTGTTGCGTGTGAAACGATACCATCTGGTTGGATATATACTCACGACAATTTCAATTGATGGTTACAAACAGTAAGTCATAGGATTATAAATTATTCACAGTGGTAATCTTTATAGTTTTCTCGAATGTGATATTCAGTACTATTACTTGGTATGAATTCAACTTCAATATATGCCGCCCACATTGTCAAAAAACAAACGCTCAACTAGCTGTATGTAATCTGGCTAACAATTATTTAGATCATTTCATCTTTCAATTACATATTTGTTATAATTCACAAACTCATATGAATCAATCAGAAGACTATGTTGCAGCACCCTACAAATAAGATATCATAATCTGTGCATAACTAAATTATATGTCACACAAAACTGTGTAACAAGTAACAGCAACTTATGAAGGACAACAGATAATATCATTAAGTAAATGAATTCAATAAAGCCTAACAATTAAGGCATCTGTAACAATTTCGCGATTTGATCACTTCACAAATACACAATAAAAATATACAGATTGTAACCTATGGAAGAGTAGTTCTCAAGTTTATCCACTATTAAAAATTTCGCACCATGATTACCAGCTATCGGTGACCAATCTACTGCGTTTTGCCCCTCGTATGTGGTCATGTAAAATGCACCAAGTTAGAAAGAATAATATTCTATTTACTGAGTTTCGCATTATTTACAACTAAGTAGCTTATGGAATATAAAGAAGAGAGATTGCAATATGTTTATATGTATTCACCACCAGAGTAAAAGATTTTTAATTGGATAACTTAGTTCGTTGGGGGTGTATATGTAGCGAATGCAGGAATACTGAATATCTCAAATCAAGCTATTAGTTGGTGAGGCAGATGTGGCAACACCCTATGCAGTTATTGAATGTTGAAACTAATTCACATTCGCTTGGTTATTCACAGTTACCGAAAATTAAGGGTTGTAACTGTGAGATGATAATGGCTTGCATGGATGCGATCATATTTTAGATATTAAGTTTTAAATTGATGACAAACTTTTCGATTCTGTAGACTAATTAGTTCTTTCTTGAATCATAACTTTTTTGTCTTTGATTATCTATACTACTAATGTGATTCTGTTGCTACTTTTATTAATATAGAATTCGTATTGATAATTTTTATGGCTCAGAATCGTTTGCAATGGCACAGGTGCATTCATTCATTGTGTTCTTTCAAATTCTAAACTTCAGAATTCCTCATCATTTCTATCTATCTTTCTCTTTCTAAAGTTATCTCACTGAATTATACTTCTCTAATAATATCTTCCATCCCTAATAATTCTCTTTTACCGCTTATTCTTCTACTATCTCTACCACTTTGGGATTTGAACAGACAGTTGCGTCTGTGTGCTAATGTGGTATGGATTTATGTACTCATGTACGATGTTCTACGTTGCAACTGACTGACTGCACTGTGTCAAAATAATGTAGCGAATTTGAACCAATGCACAAAATGTGTCAGTTTCTACCTTGCATAAAACTAGTTAACTAATGAACTTTATTTTATTGTAATTAACTCTAAATCAGCTAAAAACCATTTTAATACTTTAGATCCATTCAAAGGTCACAGAGTATTTGCTATCAAATAATCTGAAGAATGAAAATATTTCTCAAATCAACACTATAATTTGAAACACTACAATCTAACTATATCAAAGAGCTAGAACGTGTTTTTAGTTTCCTAATCTGTTGGGGACATTAGAACTCGCTTGATAAATGCCTTATTTTGGATTTGATATTTCCGAGCATGAGCTGATCAGTTGAACTTAAGATTCCATTTCCTACCAGGAAAATTCTTGGCTGTGATTGGCTACTGTGTATTTTAGTGTGCTATTTTCTTAACTGTCCCAAGGACGTTCCTATGATGTATAAATAAACGAGATTTCTGTGCTTGATTGTATTGTGATTGCTGGGTGTTTGTAGAATATACTTTCTACGCTACATCAAGACTAATGAAAACATTAGTCAGCAGATCAGGGTAGCCTACCTGGACACTGGTTCATTGTCTCGTTCTCGTTTATCGACTAAGGTGAACCCGCATACCTAGTGACGAACCTAACATAATCCAAATAAATGAGCCATTTTTAATAATTAAACAGTTCGAAATTTGTCAACAACCACTTTTTAAATGATATAAAAGAGAAATCTTTGTGAATAGAATTGCGAGATATTGAAGCAGTAATGTAGTAAACTTGTAGTAAAAAAAAAACTTACTCGATCACGTAGTTTTTTAATTTGATTTTGTGAATCACCAGGATTTGAAGATAATTCAATGATTAATGCTTCTTTTTCCTGGAGTAAATTTTTAATGATTTTCAATTCTTTCTTTAATTTATGTTCTAAAATAATAATTAAAAAAAAATAGTCATATGTTAGTTGCATTTTCTTAGAGACTCATCAATGTTAATATTTCTACTAGAACTTAATTGTCAATCAGTCAGTCAGATGCAATGTAGAACTTCGTACATAAGTACAACAGTTCATGTTGCCATATCACATTAGAACACAGAGATGTAATTGTCAATTCAAATCCAATAGTAGTAGAGGTAGTAAAGATATTAGAAGTAATCGAAGAGGTTAGGAAGAACTTAATTGAGCAGTCTATTCATAAAAAAAACCTGCAAGCACAATAACAATGCAATCAAGGTAAATCCCACTGACGAGTCTCAAGTGGGATGAAACATGTTCCCACGATTTTATATCTGATTAAAATTCCATATTCAATATTTACTTCTAACGATTAGAATATGCCGATGACATAGTCCTACTTGGTGAAGACACTGACAAAATGCAGAGTCTTCTGACCGCCCTAAGCAACAATGCAAGCAGGTTCGGGATATGGTTCTCACCCTCGAAATGCAAAATGTTGCTTCAAGATTTGCTTGTATCGGTACCTGAACTAGTGATAGGGATTGAAGTAGTTGAGCGTGTAGACCGTTTCACTTATCTGAGGAGTCTCATCAGTGCTGATAGCCTGGTGACTGACGAAATCTCAGCTCAGATACAGAAGGTTCGATTGGCTTTTGCCAACCTGCGTCACTTATGCCGCAGGCGAGATATCCGCTTGTTAACCAAAGGACGAGTATACTGCACAGCAGTTTGCTCTGTTCTACTATAAGGATGCGAAACATGGCCGTTAAGAGTAGAGGACATTCGTAGGTTACTAGTCTTCAATCATAGGTGTAACCGAATCATTGATCGTGTATCCTGGGACAACCGAGTAAGCAATGTTATCGTTAGGAAACGCGTTCTAGATAAGGATGGCAAATCAGTAGATGAAGTATTGAAACTTCATCAGTTGAGGTGGTTGAGACATGTGTTACGTATGGCTAACCACCGACTGCCTCGACGAGCTATGTTTTGCAGTGTAGCAGTAGGTTGGAAGAAAGCTAGAGGCGGCAAAACCAAAACATGGCACAAATCCACTAACTCACTGACAAGTGGACTGATTGATGTTGGTAGTTGTCGACTACCTGGTTGGGGTCCGCGAGATGACAGTCACCGATGGTTAGAGACCTTGAACGACATGGCTCAGAATCGTTTGTAATGGCGCAGGTGCATCCACTTTTTGTGTGCTTTTTAATTCTAACCTTCTGAATTCCTTATAATCTCCACCTTTCTCCTTCTAAATTTATCTCACTGAATTATACCTCTCAAATCATATTTTCGCTTCCTAATCTTCTCCATTACTGCTAATACTTCTATTATCGCTATCACTCCTGGTTTTGGACTGACAGTTGCGTCTCTGTGCGAATGTGGTATGGCAACATGAACTGATGTAATTATGTACGAAGTTCTGTGTTTTATCTGTCTGTCTGTCTAACGATTAAAAAAGTACAGTTTATTTACATTGATATTATAAAACCAATTGAAATATCAACTATTGATCAAATAAACATTAGGAATGTGAATATAATTTATAGCAAATGATGTCATTAGCTGAGGGAAAAACTGAAAAATTCAGGAGCACTCACTACCCGATGTCTTGCTGAGAATAAATTAGCTTTAGACGATTTAAACAAAAAGGGAGGTTGAAATTCATATCCACTTTAATCTATTATGCAATTAAACCGATAAGTATCTAACACCTTTACAGAACTGTCGTTTTTTTTAAAATCAGATTGTAAATTCACTAGAAAGAAATTCAAACAAGATGAGTCCCACACTAGAAGGAAATGGCCGGCCAGCGCTTCCAATGTCTTGTAATGGTGGCCTAACATTGATCGCTTCATGATTTCATACCCATTTGTCTTCGGTGATTACTGCCTACAACCGACAAGATTGAACTCCACTGGTCACACGTCTTCTCACTAGAACTCCGAGAATTTCCCTCACAAAGCCAGTGACTAGTGAGCACATTTTACGATTTTTTCAACTAGAGTTATGAAGGTTAGGCGTTCGCGTGCAAGACCGAAGATCCTGGGTTAGAATCCTGTGAGATGCAAGAGTCGTTGGTGCGCACTGTCACTGATAAGTCCCATAACAGGACGAAACGTCCGTCTTTCAGTGCTTCCAGGTCTCTAACAGTAGTCTAAAAATGACTGATTCATGATTTTAATTTGTGTATTAACGAGATAATAAACTGTAATCAATTGCATACAACAAACAACCTACCCAAATCACCATCATTAGAAGTACTTGACAATTCAATATTCAATGTGGACACTTCTAATTCCAATTGATGTTTATCACGTTTTAAACGTGTATTCTCTTCTTCCATCCTACTTAATTCTTCTTCTAATTGACGTAATTTAACTTGATTCGCTGCACGATTCGCTTCATAATCCGCTTCATGTTCATCTTGTATACGTGTCATATCGTTGCGTAGTTTTTCAATAGTTTTTTCAGCTTTTTGATGATTTGCATGCGCTGTGTCTAAATCTTTTTTTAAATCATCAATGGTATTTTGTAAGTCGGTTAATTGTATAGTTAATAATTGATTTGTTGAACGTAATTGATTTAATTCTGTTAATAATGGTTCAGGGGCATCTGGATATAAAATTGTATATTCTGTAGTAATTTTATTTTCTCCATCTTGTTCAGAGGTAGTAGTTTTCAGTGATTCCAATAAGAGTAGATTTCGTTTTTCAGCTTGTTCTAATTTTAAATTGATCACCTTGAAATATGGAGAGAGAAAAAAGAACATTTAGGAATAATGCAATGTAAAACTATTAAAAAGAAAATTAGATAGATGGTTAATAGTTGACTAGTCACAACAGGCAGCTTTGTCTTATATTGAAGATTCGTTAGTTGACGTTCCACTGCTAAACACAACTGAATTTTAGTATAAACCTGTGACTAAAGGGGAAATATCAAAGTAATCTGCTCAAGACACAAATAACTAATCAGTTGTATCAATAACCGGAAAATGTATTCCCTTAAAAAGAATGTTAGTGTTTTTCTTGATATTAATAGCGATAAATCACGCCTACTTCCTTTTTAAAAGCCAAAAAAATCTTTTTGTAGAAACAGATTTGAAGGTTTGAAGCAATAGGATGAATTTCAAATTGACACACTATTTTAAAAGCTGTTTTCAATTTGTACAAATTAATTTGTCATAGAAACCAAATGCATCCATTCGTTGTGCTTTCTCAAATCCTAGTCTTCTGGATTCATCAGTACCTCTCTATCCTTGTCTTTCTAACCTTATCTCACTGAATTATACTTCTTGAATAATATCTTCAAACCCTAGTCTTCTTCATTACCATTAATGCCTCTACTATCTTTATCACTATAGGATTTGATTTGATATTTGCGTCTCTGTGCTAATGTGGTATATGGCAACATGAACTTATGTACTTACGTACGAAGTTCTACGTTGCAACTGACTGACTGAGAAACCAAATAGATAAAATCAATGAAAGCATTCTTAATTGCTTTGGTAAATTATCGATCACAAATATATCAAAATATCTGATAACAATAATGATAATACATGGAAGTTTCAAAACAAACTGATAACACTAGTAAAAGTTCACATATAATTTTTTGTGTTTTCGATTTCAAGGACTGAAATCAGTGAGTCACTGTTAATAAACATACATCCTAAGTAAATTATTGTTTCAAAATTGTCATTTAGTCATAAGTTTTTATTATATCTGATCAGTGAATATTAAATCAACTAAACACATATCCTAGATATAACTAATATCGATTTAAGAAAAACAGTAAAAATCAAAGAGTACTCTGAACAGTTGTTTTGTCTTATCCCACATCTGATTTTATGGTCAACTCGGGACAACGTAACAAAGTGATAAAAAATATCATTGTATTACTGAATTGATGACTGTTAGACTACCAATAGAAAAAACCTGGAAGTACTGGACAACCGTGACCAGTAGAGTTCAACCCTGTCGAGTGTAGGCGGTAACTACTGAAGACAATGAGTGAAGTTGCGTAAAATCAGGGATTGATTTAAGATAGACATTAACACTATTGAATACCGGCTCAGTGGTCCAGAGGTCAAGAGTGCATGCGCAAGACCGAAGATCCGTAAGTTAGATTCTCGCAAGCTGTGGTCGCGGATGCGTACTGCTGATGAATCTCATACTTGGACAAAACAACTTTCTATTGCTTGCAGGTTTCTAATGTTGATCTAACAATCATCGATTCATTATTTAAATAAAATTTAACAATCTCCATAACTCTATCATGAATATGATGAAAAAAACAGTAATCTTAATTCAATCAGTACCCAATATCTGTAAGAAGGAAGGATTTGATTTTAACCAATTTAGTCTCTCGTGCTGTTACGGATATGAGAGCGGTTGTCACTTCCCGGCTGCCCACACCGTGGGAACGGTGTTTCTTGAGGGACCTGAAAAGGAAGATAGATTAGTGTTGGTCTTAGAGACCTAGGAGCATGACCGCAGAGTCCAAGGGACAACTGTTTGAGGCCGGTCACGCGCGGGTTTTTTATGAAAGGATTTTTGAGTATTAGCTCCGCTCTTAAAGGCCCTTAGTGGTCACCCTTACACAAGGAGACGGAAATCCGTGAGGTAGGTTAAGGTGTGACATTTTTAGGGTCGACCTTTTCTAACCCCTTCCTTTCTTGTGAGAAGGAAACATCGCTGCAGATGCCGGTTGTCCGAGGGAAACATCTTACTACTGCCACACTTTTCTACAGTCAGCAGTACGACTTCGTCCTCAGACCTTGAGTAGCTGCTGCTTTTAGTCTCATCGTTCTCCAATCGACCTGCCTGGTATGGTAGAACCTTCAGGAACATATGTTCCAGCCAATATAGCTCGGTTTGGTCATCACGATAGGCAAGCCCGACCACCACGTCAAGGTAGCAGCTACAGTCGGGACCCAATATCTGTAATCAGTAGTAAGTTAATTTTTTTTAAAAAAAAGATTTTTCAATCTTATAGTTTAGTTTTTTTTTCTTTCTATTTATGAAGATAAATAAATTAATATCAAAAGATATTAAAAGTTAATTAATAAAGGTAGTTGAGAATAATAGTAATTATAATAATAGTAACAATAATAATAATTATTATTATTATTACTATTAATTATATATATTATTACACACATATATATATCTTCTGAACTTATTTTATTTCACGCACATGCTAACAATTCAACCAAATAATTCACTAACTAACTAACTAACTAAATAATTGAATAAATGAATGAATATAAATTATTTTCTCTAGAAAAAATAATATAATAATAATAATCATAGTAAGTGGGGCATTAATTCTTTCCACAAATTAGTTTAATTATAATGAATACTGATAACTTCCTTAAAAAAAAAGTAATTATCAAATAAGTGCAATAAAATTATGAAAAATAAAGATGGAAAATTCATGATTTTATATTCTACTATTATAATGATTATTGATAATAATAATAATAATAATAATAATATTAATGAGAAAAATGAACAGAATATAGAAAGAAATGCATTTTAACTGAGACTTAAATTTACGCCTAAAAAAAAAGCAACACATTGAAAGCGCATATCATCAGCAGAACAGAAAAAAGAAAAGGAGAAATTATACTTTAAATTTATGAACTTTGATATTTGTAATAAAAATATATTCAAGGAAATTAATTTTCTTTTTAAGAACAATTCATGTTAAACGGTTTTTTTTGGTGAATTTGATATTAAATCATTAGAAGTGGGATATTTATTGCAGTTTTTAGTTAATCAGTTAAACAACAATAACAGGTATGATCAATTGTCAAGTTTAATTTACATTAACTTTCTAGATAATTTGTAAAAAATGAATAACAATTTATAAAGATAGAGTTTCGTTCATAGAATAGGTGAAAATATGAACGTATGTGTTACAATGAAACTGATTTTTAGAGTTGTCATTTATCTTTAATCATTGATTGAGGTTGTCGCTTGGAATATTATTATATGAGCCGACAATTTTATGAACTTATACTAGTCAGGTTACTTTTAGCTTCTTTTATTACACATTGAAATCATGAATCGATCAATGTTAGACCACCATTAGAAACCTGGAAGCACTGATAGACGGCCGTTTCGTCCTGGTATGGAACTCATCAGCAGCGCACATCCACGACTCCTGCTACTGGCAAGATTCGAAACCAGAACCTTCGGTCCTGGACCACTGGGCTGACATTCAACGGTGTTAATGTCTAACTCTGATCAATCTAGAGATTTTGCGCGACCGCACCCATTTGTCATTGGTAGTTACTACCTGCGCAAGACAAGGTTGAACTCCACTGATCACATCTTCTTACTAGAACTCCGAGAATTTCCTCACAAAGCTAGTGACTAGTGAGCACATTTTTCCTTATAAAACCTACTTCATATTCAGTAAATATCACCTATGTAGTTTTAAATATATAGTCTGTCATAACACTACTAATAGACAGAATAATTAACTTAACTAGGATACATACTACTAACAAAAAAACACTTCTTAAGTTAATTTGAAAGAAATTTCCACGCATTGAGCATTTTAAAGTCAGTCGATAAAATCAGTTAACGGATATTTTCAGCTATATAGAACTGAAACGGTAGTTGTTTGCTTTTCATGACTGAAAATTATTTACTTGAACAATATCTTTTCAAGCATGTCATTTAGTGATATGAGTTAGTGTGTTTTTATTTTTAAAGTTATTCTACATAGTGTTATTGATTGCTGAAATTTTGCATTTTTTATGTTTTCGCACATAACAGACGCTTAGTTGACCTTCAGCTTATATTCTCCACTCGGACAATCCTTGACTGTCATTGGTTGATGGATTATTTTAGCACACGCTATTTTGTAGCTCTCCCAACGGCGTTTCTATCATTGTATAAATAAGTTTGATTTGTGTGCTTAACAACCTCGTATCTTCTGGGTACTTGTAGAATTCATTCTCTATGCCTTATCAAGATTTCTTGATTCAGTTAGCCCGGGGCTGGGAAAAACGGATTATAATAGCCTATCGTATCACTGAGCCATTACTTCCGTTCCGTTTACCGAGTAAGGTAAACTCGTCACTCGTTAGCATTCAAGCATATCACATAGGTTATTATTATTACCAATCTCTTCATTGCACAAAACTATTGATAATATATATAAAAAAAAATGGTCATACTTATAAAACGCTTTATTAATTTTAGCGATTATATTCATTAAAACAAAATATAAAAAAATTAAATAAACATTTTACTATTTACTTTCATTTGTTGTTCAGCTTGTATACGATTTTCTTCAGCTAATTCTAAATCAATTCGTGCACGATCACAATTTTGTTTATGATGTGAATTTTCAATGGTCAATGCTGACAGTTTACATCGTACATCATTTAACATTGTTTCTAATTCTTTAATACGTTCCAATGCTTTCATATATTCATGTTTCATTTTATCCAATTCATAATCGTCAATATAATTATTCAATGAATTGTTATTATCGAATTGAATTGCTAATTGTGAAATAGGCGATGCCATTGATCTGATTGTAGGCTTATAAATAATATCATTATTCTTTAGAAAGAAAATAGGTGAATAAAAGTACAATAAAACTAAACGAAGCATTTTTCTTTGGTGTGTAGTAAAAGGATAGAATAAGTATGAGTTGTTGTATGAAATTCTAATTATGATATATATCCAGCGGTTGTGATGGTGTTTTTCGTTCTGTGTGAGTTGGATGTGTTGGTTGTGAAGCTTTCATTGTTGTTCTTCTGAACAAATAACATCATCACCAACATCAGCACATAATTCAGACTTGTATCCAGCTTAGAGAACGAAACACCATCACAATCATCCAACATCTCAACACCCAGCGGTAGAAATATCTTTGTATATTTTGCAAATATAAAATAACAATGATACTGTTGAACATTTTAAATGCTCAATCTTGTCTATACAAATTGTAAGTGCCAAGTAGATGGATACTATTTTCAAATAGTAACCTTAAACCTTTAATCATAAAACACTATATGGCACCATACTTTATGAATTAACTAATCGGATAGAGCCTCTTGGATTTATATGCAAAATTCATCCATCCATACGAGTTGAGAGTATATGTGGTTTATTGCTGATATCAGTTCGATAGGAAATAGTAGCCCCCCCCCCAACCTCTAATGCTCAGCTTAAATACCCAAACCCTCACTATGTGAGTCTCTTAAAAATCTATCTAGGGTCCTGTCGAGCATTCAAAAAGATCGATAATCTGTATCCGTAAGAGTGAATTTTCTCCACATTTACAAGCAGAGTAGTAACCTGTAGAATATACTCTCCATACACAAAGGTCGTTTTTCGATTGGAGATTGATCTCTATACTATTCTTTTGCCAGTGTTATCAAAATATTATTTCTTTTAAAAGAACAATTAATATACAAGCACAATTCATTACATGGTGGTGTCTAGGCATGAAGTTCATTGTCAACTAATTTTGTAAATCAATCTCGTATTTATTCAATTTACGACTTATTTCATTCATTATAATATTTCCATAATGTTTGATAATCATAATATCGTTCTGTATAATGTAACATTTTATTGAGTATAATAATTATGTGCATAATTTCTAGTGTAAAAATCGATCCTGTTTTCTTACTTCATGTATGTTGACTAATCATCAAATACCAATAAAAACCTGGACATAAAATGATATAGTTAGCGTTAATGAAGGGTTGTAGATTTTTTTTTTGGAGGATAAATCAAGTCTTTCTGTCTTTTAATGAGTAGGCTGAATCTTAGTTTCCTTGTTTGTACAAGGTCAATCTGTCATAGGAGTAACAGGATATATTGTAAATTGATTAGATTTTCAGATCTCTGTGATCAGTAAGTTTTAATGCATTGATTTTATTAGAAATTGTATTCAATCGAGATAATGAGTAATGAGTGGTGAGTAAATCAATTTTCAAATTTAACAACCTCCACAAACGCATCATTTCAGTAATGAAATTCCATTAACGGGAGGATGAATAACATTTTAAAATGTCTGTCATTATTAACTTACTTGATTAGTACATCCGGTTTTATTATTCAGTAATGCATCTGACTGAAGTTGATCAAGACGAACCTCTTGTGATGACAAATTCGTTGAAACTGTTCAAATTAGACATAAAGATAGAAAAGTACTTAGTAAAAGACAGCAACAAATACACAGTATTATTTATTTCACTTGTAAAATTTATGATTTATAAATGACAAGTTATTTCCCTTAACACTATGCTAAAAGTCTTTAAAGTTGATGACACGCCAGGTAGCATTTATCAGTAACGACGTGAATGCTGGATAGAAGACTTTGGAGAGCAATTCTACTGATCGAATGTCTCAGTATCTTTAACCTGGCCGTCATTAACTAGCGACTATTGATATGTTTTTTGGAAATAGTCTTCCAGTCTCCCACAATATTTGAACATTCCATGCACTTAAAAGAATGGTTGCTCTGGTTGTCAGGAGGGGCATCAGCCTTGTGACTTCCGAGGAAACTCGGCTTTCCTCACAAGACGTCATAATTCCTCTTCAAACTCCCAGGGCAGAGTCGAAATGGTTTGAATTATTTGTTACGGTTAGTATTGTTTTGGTGGGATGGGGTTGCCAACCCCATGCTCAACCCTCCTCCTTTATCCGGGCTTGGAACCGGAAGTAGCCCTGAAGGTTCTATAGGCGGAGGAAGGTGGAAGTGGATAGGATACACATGACGAAAAGCACCTAACTGCGTCACAAGACAAGCTTTCAAGGTGAAAGGAAAAGAGGAAGGCCAAGGAACACATTACGCCGAGAAATAGAGAAAGACATGAGAAGAATGAACAAAAATTGGTCAGCTGCCTATGCTCCATGGGGGGTAACAGGCATAAGTAAGTACTGATATGCTTATGTAAGCAACGGCCCGGAAGGTACTCCAGAAACTGAGGCTTAATAAGTGACTTCACACATATGAATTGTATTCATGAATAAGGGGAAAATATATGGCAAACCGATATAACTTATCTGATGATCATTAGAGTATAAATTAACGACTGGTCACATCTAAAATATCAACTTCTGTCAAACTCTAAACGCCCAAAATACTAATACATGAGGAACAAGTCCAGTTTCGTTCTATTAACAGGTAAATTTATGCATAACGTGGTTTATTGAACACTTTGCACTAGAGTAAAACAACTTCGCTGAACAGCATGTATTGTGAGACGCTACAATGTCTTTTTGTTCATAAAAGAATAAAATGCCATAATTATTAGATTACACTAAGACAAACTGCAGTAAACATCATTTTCTAAGAGTCTAGCTTACCTGAAAAAAAACATGGAACACACGAAGTAAGCTTATCTAATATTAATTAACGCATTAATTTGCTTTGCAGATAAAATTTATCACAGCACCCACAATCCCTTCAGTGCTAGTTTGCTTCCATATTTTAAAAGCTATCCTAATCGATGTTAATCAGTAAACAGTAACTACTACTACAAAGTAAATCAATACAAATACTCTTAATATGTTGAATATGTAGAGCTCGTTCCAAGCAAAACACTCTTTGTCATTTGATTCTATCCAGTCTAGTGCAGTAATCGTGCAATAAAATGTAACTTATAGGCATACTATGAAAAAGATTCAGATGACAGTTTTATCACTCCAATTCTCCGATCTACAACAGAGAGTGGGCATAATATAAATGAGAACAAACCTTTCTGATGATCAGTCTGATTAGATTCCGCACCATTTAATGAATCAGTCAAACGATTTGTTCGAATTAAAATCTATCAATACAGAACAACAAATGAAAACAGTTGACTGATCAATCAACAGATTTAAAGGATTCAACATAGAAGACGTTCTACACCAGTAAGATTGAATACGACAGAGACACCAACGAATACTATCGGCATCACATTTGTTATCAAACGGGCCAATTGCTTAAAATACTGTAAAAATAATACTTTCAATTTTAAAAACAATATTCTTCAATAAACAGAGATGGATAGTGGCTACCAGTGGAATCCAGAACGAGCGTTTCATTCTATTCGGAACTTGTCAGCTGGATGTAACTTCATCGCAGAGTTGATGCCCACACCACGACATTCGAACCGAGTACCGTTCGCTTCAAACATTATAAACTTATTTTCAATTAGAGTTATGGAGATTAATGTTTTTACACATTTGAAATCATCAATCAACCATTGTTAGACCACCATTAGAAATCTGCAAGCACTGAAAGACGGCCATTTCGTCCTGGGATGGGACTCAGCAGCAGTGCGCATCTACGACTCCTGCATCTCGCAGGATTCGAGCCCGGGACCCTCGGTATTATACGTGGACGCCTAACCATTGGACCACTGGGCCGGTGGTATCTAACGGTGTTAATACCTACTCAGATTGATCAAGGGATTTTGAGCGACAATCATTGATTAATGATTTCAAATTATAAACTTAGTTATTGAGTGCTAACAATTATTGGCTTGTGCAATGAGGTGATGCTTAATACATTTGTACCAGTAGTTTGAGTCTTCCCATTGATAGTTAGAACTGCAGTTGGTCAATATCATTCTGTATAAGTGCATCCTGTAAGGATGACTGCGATATAAGAATTAAGTCGCAAACATTATAATGCTTAGATATACCAAGGCAATTCAAACATGATGCACACATGTCTAATGAGACTGATCAATCACAATCCTAACTATCAATCATAAGACTTCAACTACTAATACAAACACATTAATCTCCTTCAATGGTTACAATTCCAAGTGCCAAAACAGATAAAAAACCAAACCAAATGGTGTTTTTTGAAGAAGAAGAGAAAAAAGTGTAAATAAATGACATAAACAAAGAAATCAGCGATAATTTCAAGTAATAATTAATTAATTAACTAATTAATTATTTAATTAATTAACTTGATTTTTAATTACTTGTTTATCAGATTCATTATCGGTAAACGATGTTCGTTGCAGTGTATTTTTTCGAGGTTTCACTTGTTTATCCTCATCTGAATCAATAAGTATAAAAACAGGAAATTGAAAATGATGTTAAAATTCCATAACAATAGTAATAATATAAAGTACTAATAATAACCGTAGATAAAAATAATATATATATGTTATTCAAATGATAAGATGATAATTGACAAATCAGAATAAGCTTTTTGAGAAAAAAACAAAAGTCAACCTTTTTAATGTATTTTATGTTGAACAGAAAACAGTAATTACAATTTCTTAAAATATAAATAATTAATTGACGCAGTTACACTGTCACTTGAATTAGAAAAAGAAGACAGTAGATGCCTAGTGATATTTTCTTTTCCAGTTATATGGTTTATACTTAATCTATTCTATTTCTGTTGATATTAATATGACTTTTACTATTATGAGATTTATCATGATTAATTTCATCTTTCAATGCTAATATTGTGTAGTAGCTCTTGACAGTATTGCGTTCAATGTTATTTATGATTGAACTAATTGAGTGACATTTCTAAAGGATAGATCATTTTTAAAACTAATATTATCTGAATAGGGAAATAGAACGAGAAAGAAAAGAGGAAAGTTAGTTCTGTATATGTAAAAAGGGATTTAGGTCATGAAAATATTCTTTCTTGTTCATGTCAGCTGGGACGGATGAGCTAGTCGTTGAAGGACTCAACCTTTTACCAAAATATTACAGTTCCAAACGTTGTTTCACTTAATTGGATTTAAGTGGCTCAAAAGTATAGTGTTCTTAAGCGTAGCTTCCAATATGACGCGATTATCAGGCTTGTATATCGTTCTGATGCAGTTAGATTATATTGGCTGGAATACGTATACCTTTAAATCCAAATATGTCAGAAATGTCGTTTGCAGAAAAGCAATACTAAAAGCAAAAACTTAAGGTCCAAGGGAGGAGTTATGGTGTTAACTGAAATGAAGTCTGACGACAATGAGGTTTTACCCTTCAACTAGCATCTGTACTGAAGTTGCCTTCCCATAACAGAAGGGCGAGTGTTAAAAATGGTCATTCCGAAATATATAACACCTTACCTTCTGATTGCTGGTAACCTTCTGAGAAGTACGAACTTAACACACCAAGAAGCACTCGGATTTATATGACCAATAGCAATGACTGTCAAATGAGCTCTTTGATTACACTGCTATGTCACCAATCTAGTTTCTGTAATTGATTTCCCAAGGAGAAATATCCCACCACAATGTAGACAAATCGGAAGTGACATTTACCAACACACAGTCTACCATCAGGATTCAAGATCACTTCCAACGGTATATCGTTAGGTTTCACAAAAATTGTATAGTTAAGAGACGAATACCTAACTAGCATTTGGTAAATGAGTTAAACGGTAGTGATGACTTTTAACGAATTATTTTAGTAACCTGAGGGACATGTTTATGCTGTTCGCACCGATAGATCTCATCTGATATCACCGAAAACAAATCTAACTGTTGATTAATATTTCATTAAACAAAAAATCCAACAATGAAAATATGCGATACATTATTACTATTGTTGGGTTCATCACTAGGTATGCTTGAAACTGTTACGAGTTCACCTTAGTCGATAAACGAGAACGAGACAATGAACCAACGTCCAGGTAGGCTACCCTGATCCGTTGACTAATGAAAAGTCTAGATATAGCGTAGAAAGTATATTCTACAAACACCCAGCAAGCACAATGCATTCAAGCACACAAACCTCATTTATTTATACATCATAGAAACGTCCTTGGGACAGTCACAAAAATAGCACATTAAAAAATACACAGCAACCAATCACAGCCAAGGATTTTCCTGGTAGGAAATGAAATCTCAAGGTCAACTGATCAGCCCATGCTCGGAAACATGCAATCTAGAATAAGGGATCTAACGTCCCCAACATGATGACAAATAAATTCAGACTGATTAATGTTATAATGATCGTTCGCTCTCAATTTTTATCAATTCTTTGAAGACTTAATATATAATTTGTACTGATATTACACTTTAGCTGAACAACCAGCGGTAAATAGTTATGTAATTCTTTATTGTTTAATCAATTTAGTTATTCAGCCAGAAATCTCACTTACACATGAATTAGTGACTTAGTGGTTAAGGAAAGCATTCGACTTTCAATCACTGTGCAATATGTCCTATTCGCGTTCCACCTTCTTTGGCTGGAGCAGCGACTAACGCTGATACACGCACAAGCACACACGAAATGAGGTTCAATGTCAAGTACACAAATCGGTCATTCATAAATGAATTTCCTTATAAATGGTTCTCTTATCTGTAATCTGTTTAATTTCAAACTAAGGAGAACTGGATCCTATAAGCCTATCATCCATTGTTGAACTACTTTAATCTTTCAATCAGTATCTAATCATTTTATACGACTTATCAAAATACAATGATAAATAAATTATTTTGTGAATCGTTGAAATTGAAATTGAAATTCCCACTTACTTTTTAATTCAACATTGAGATCATTTTTAACAGAATCAAATGAAATTATCACAGGTTGAGTATTATTATTATTATTATTCTGAAAAAAAAAGTAAGAACAATTGAATATTTAATCAGTGTATCTATTGAAACACTGAACTACACACAAAACAATAAAAGAAAGTTATAAGAATAAGCGACAACTTACATTTAATTTAACTTCTGTCAAATTATTTGATGATGATGATGGCGATGATGAAGTTGGTTTATTCAAGAGAATTTCTTTATTTAAAACTATTGAATTATCTGTTTTCACTATCATGATTTTTGGTATTTTAAAAAGTAAAAAAAACGAGGCAGGAAATAATATGAAGACATAAAAATAAGTTAATATTTAACAAAATATTTTAGAAATTAATTAATAGACTGATTAGGTTCATACTTTATATAAGGATTATGGTAAAAAAGAGATTTGAATGAATTAGGAAGTTTGTAATTAATAATTTATATGTTTAGTATGTAGGTAGTAGCAGCCTCTGCAGCAGTAGGTCTCAACATACATAAAGGAAAAAGCAAAATTCTCCGATGCAACACAACATGCACCAAACAAATCACTCTTGATAGAGATACCTTGGAGGACGTTAACAACTCTACATATCTAGGCAGAATCATCGACAATCAAGGTGGATCCGATGCAGATGTGAGGGCGCGGATTGGCAAAGCAAGGGCTACATTTCTACAACTAAAAAAATATCTGGAACTCCAAACAACTTTCAACCAAAATCAAAATCACGATTTTCAATACAAATATCAACACAGTTCTACTGTATGGAGCGGGAACTTGGAGAACTACCGAAGCCATCATCCAGAAGATACAAGTATTTATGAACAGTTGTCTATGCAAAATACTTCGGATTTGTTGGCCAGACACGATCAGCAACAATGTACTGTGGAAGAGAACAAACCAGATTTCAGTGGAGGAGGAAATCAGGAAGAAGTGGTGGAAGTGGATAGGGTACACACAACGAAAAGCACCTAACTGCGTCACGAGACAAGCCCTCACATGGAACCCTCAAGGCAAAAGGAAAAGAGGAAGGCCAAGGAACACATTACGCAGAGAAATAGAGAGATATGAGAGGAATGAACAAACATTGGACAGAACTGGAGAGGGAAGCCCAGGACAGACTTGGTTGTCGGAAACTGGTGGGCGGCCTATGCTCCATTGTGGGTAACAGGCGAAATCAAATCAAATCAATCATGTAGGTAGCAGTGAACCTATCGAGTGAATGTACGTGCATCCAAGTCTTGATTTTCTTACATTGAGACCTGGACCAAATATGCCTCACTTTAAATGCTCAACGTATTAATCGCTGAGCTAATGAGTCCATATACTTACCATTCAGTTGTTCAAAGAGTATAAGAATGGTGTGCATTTTTCTGTTGTCAATATTCAGGACTATGATTGATCAATCTTTGTTACTATATGTATAACCTGAACTGATTGCCTCGACATAGTGCTACGTCAAAAGTGATAACAATTTATTCTAATCCTATCTGTTATGCTAGTCAATTTATATGCTTGAAACTATATTACGAGTTCACCTTAGTTGGTAAACTAGAGCAAAGACAATTGATCCAGTGACACCAAAGGCTACTCTAATCCGAGCATTCCAAGGCCCCACTAAGTAGAAGAAGAAGTCTTCACAAGATGTAGAAAGTGTATTCTACAAGCACTCATAAAATCGAGGTTCACAAGCACACAAATCGAGTTTATTGATACATCATACGAACGTCCTTGGGAGAGCCACAAAAATAGCGTACTAACATAACACATCAACCAATGACAGTCAAGGATTTTCCGGGAGGGAAATGTAATCCCAAGGTCAAACGATCAGCCCATGCACGAAAGCGTGAAATCCAAATTTAGGACCTTTATCAAGTGAGTTCTGAGGATCTCACATCCCTAACACTATCATAATCCATGTTGACATTATTTTGTACATTGATCTATAATCAAACAGTGTGCCGTTCTGAATCGATAATCTACTCTGATGCAAATCATTGATCATTGTTTAAACTTTATCCATCAACATAATGATAGGTTTATAATCAAGCTATCATCTAGCTCATAGAACATAACATCAAAAAACAATACAGAATGTTACCAAGATTTACACCGATATAACTCAATCAGTCATAAACAAATAACACGTCTGTATAAAAATCCGGTAGCTCAAACTGTTATATCCAATATTAGATAAAATTGACAATAGGAATATAAAAAACAAAGCAATAGAAACGATAATGAGACAAATTCGAATAAGGCATTAAAATCAATCACACTGATGAAAATGTATTTATTGTAAAAACAAAAAAAGCATACCAATATTATTGTTTTCGGGATTGTGTTTTATAGTTTCCGATGAACCAACTAATACCACAGAACCATATTTATAAGTTTGCTGTATGATAGGTAAAATTACAATTAAAGGCGATTATGTAACTGAATGGTTAATATGAAATTTAAAATAAAAGAAATTTTGCTAAACAGTTCATTTTATCAGTGTTAAACAATTCACTGAAAGCCTGACAGACAGATACAATGCAGAACGTCGTACGTAGTAAGTACATCAGCTCAGGTTGCCATACCAACGTCAGCACAGAGACGTAACTGTCAGTTCAAATCCAAAAGTGATAGCGATAGTAGAATTATTAGCAGCAATGAAGAAGATTAGGGAGCAAAGAAACGATTCGAGAGGTATAATTCAGTGAGATAAATTTAGAAGGAGAAAGATAGAGATGATGAGGAATTCAGAAGGTTAGAATTAAAAAGCACACAAAGAGTGGATGCACCTAAGCCATTGCAAACGATTTTGAGCCATGTCGTTCAGCGTCTCTAACCATCGGTGACTTTCGTCTCGCTGACAACAACCAGATAGCCTACATCTACCAACATGACTCAGTCCACTTGTCAGTGACTTCATGGATTTGTGCCATGTTTTGGTTTGGCCGCCCCTAGCTTTCTTCCAACCTACTCCTACACTGCAAAACATAGCTCGTCGCGGCAGTCGGTGGTTAGGCATACGTAACACATGTCTCAACCACCTCAACTGATGAAGTTTCAATGCTTCATCTATTCATTTGCCATCCTTACCTAGACTCGTTTCCTAACGACAGCATTGCTTACTCGGTCTTCCCAGGATACACGAGCAATGCTTCGGAGACATCGATGATCGAAGACTAGTAACCTACGGACGTCCTCTACTCTTAACGGCCATGTTTCGCATCCTTATAGTAGGACAGAGCGAACTGCTGCACAGTACACTCGTCCTTTGGTTAACAAGCGGATATCTCGCCTGCGCCATAAGTGACGCAGGTTGGCAAAAGCCAATCGAGCCTTACTGAAAGCCTGAGAATGATGGACAATTTGTTGTATTGTTCTTATAGGAAACTTCATAACGGTGAATTGATTTGAAATATGAAAATAATGTTTTACGTAAGATTCTTATTCTTACGTAAAACAAGTTGGAAATAATTATGAAATCTCATCTCTTCATATTAGAATAAATCTACAAATCAATAATCCGTCATCGTCAAGAACAAAGACGCTAATTAAACTATGATTAAGATAAAAAAAAACCCGTAAATAATCAGTGCATCACATTGTCAATAAGGGAAACACCGATGAATATTCACTTTGATGGAAACAGTTTTTCTTTAAAAATACGACTACCATTTATTGATATTTAATAATAATAATAATAATAATAATAATAATAATAATAATAATAATAATAATAATAATAATGACACAATCAATTCACTAACATTTGAATCATCAGTATCCCGCGATATGGATATAGAACGTCTTCCACGTTTGTTCAGTGTAATTTCCTTATCAGTCGTTGTCATATTGCTTTGTGCTAAAATGAAGAATACAGTAAAAAAATCAAAATAAAAGAATATTATAATATGAAACGAAAACAAGTTTAAAACAATTCATTCCCTTTTATAAATTTTGATAGAACAGTGAGAAGACATAATTGATCTGTTACGTCTTCTCACTGTTCTAACAAAAACAAGTATTGGCAAATATTTTTACACATTTGAAATTATCAACCAATAATTGTTAGACCACCATTAGAAACCAGGAATCAATGGACGGCCGTATCGTCCTGGTATAGGACTACTCATTAGCAATGTGCATCCACTACTCCTGAACCTCGCAGGATTCGAGCCCGGGACCTTCGGTCTTGCGCGTGAACGCCTAACCTCTGGGCAACTGAGCCGGTATCCAACAGTGTTAATGTCTAACTCTGATTGATCTAGAGATTTTTAAGTAGTTTTGTAGCGAAGGGTTCCATGTTAATCAGAATGAACATAAACTAATATCGGTTGCAATGATGTTGCTAACCAGCTAGTTATAGAACGGCAGTCTAATTTATAAGTTATGGTAGTAGCGCGCTCTTGCTCAGTGACTTGGGGATATTGTCTTCATAATCATATCCGGAGATAGTAAGCTCACATAAGTGTCTTATGCCGGTGCATATATGAACAGCCATAGAGTAGAACAAAACAGCTATCTTACGGTACTTGCTTATCGATAATTTGACAGGTCACATTGATTTTCTCCAGAGTAAGGTGAAATGAAAAGATGTAATCACTTTTTTAACTTTGTATGATTTTAATTCATATTTAAAAACTTTTCAATATACTTCGTTCTCTAAAATAACGTGTTGAATTTATATTATTTTGATATTTTAAACTGTTAGTATTTTACAACACATTAGATTTTAGTTAGACAACCAATTAAAACTAAAAAGCTCTGGACCGCTGTTTCTTCCTAGTATCAAACTCTTTTGAAGTGTGAATCTGTTCTCTTGTTAAAGATCTTGCCGCGAGCGCATACAATTCACACTGATGGTTTATATTCGTAAGTTCAGTCAATTTGCAACATTGCGCAATCGTTTTTTAATGTCACCGTTGAGTAACGGCCTAGTACATAATATGACTGAACTTCATTATTCAAAGGTTCTTACTGGGACCATAGAAATTAGCTCCTGGAATCGGTCACTAGTGAGCATTAGTAAAGCTATATAGTGTTACCTAATTTTTATCAGCTGTTCAACTAGGCACCACTTAAATGATCTCCATATAACTCTTTTACTAAACTGTAAATAGCCTAAACATTTTGTTATCCTATAACAAACAGATGTAAATATAACCACACTGATTTATATGAATTGAATAAATCTTACCATTAAGCGTTTCACTAGACGTTGATTCCAACTCATCAGATTTCATCATCTAAAATAAAATAAATTATTTATATTATTATAATTATAATTTCAATGAATATTATCACTATTCAACTTCATAAATTTATATTACTTAGTATTAATAACTAAAGCTGTGTATTCATTAAGAATCGGATGATACTGAAAAGTTGTTTAATCCTCGTGAAAGACTGCATAGCACTGAGTAACTACAAGCGCACTAAGAATAGAATAAAAGATACTGAGTTTCAATATATTCAGTAAGAAGTGAAATTCAGGCTGTGTATTTCGTTCAATTTGGTATTCATAAGCGCGATATACCTGCATCTCAGTGTTTGTTGGGGATGTTAGATCCCCAAAACTCGCTTGATGAATGCCTTATTTTGGTTTTCACGTTTGCCAGCATGGGCTGATCACTTGACCTTGAGATTTCATTTCCCACCAGCAAAATCCATGGCTGTGATTGGCTGCTGTGTATTTTAGTGTGCTATTCTTGTGACTGTCCCAAGGACGTTTCTATGATGTATAAATAAACGAGAGTTGTATGCTTGATTGTACTGTGATTGCTAGGTGTTTGTAGAATATACTTTCTACGCTTACAAAGCCTTCTTACTTTAGTTGGGATTCAAGGTAGCCTACCTGGAAGCTGGTAAAAGTCTTGTTCGCGTTTATCGACTAAGGTAAACTCGTAATAGCCTCAAGCATACTAAGTGACGAACCCAATAGTGTTGATGTTCATCTTTACCCTTCAAAGCGAAACAATTTTTTTTCTTGAAACGCCAAAGTATTAATTACTGAGATACTGGAGTTCACACATCCACTCAATAGAACCCTATTTTCAAGTAATCTGTTCAGAATGTATATGTAGCCAAAGTAAAATTATTCAATCAAAGAAATGGACGAGATTTATTTTCAATAAATCTGTCTAATTAAAATTAAATCAATCTCGAAATGACTTACATTTGATTTTAAAAGTTCAGATCTCCCATGTTCAGTTGTCAAGTTATCATCCATTTTTGATGGGGAAATGGATTCCCGTTTAGTCAAGGTATCATCTTTATCTGATGATAGACTCGTGGGAGCTAATAAAAACAACAATGAGTTTTAATACATAAAACAACAAATCAAAAAAAAACATCCAATAAATTCAATAAAACCATGAATAATGCCTGAAATTTGTAGTCTTAGGGTAGAAGTGACGCGAACTAGTTGATAAAAAATGAAATCATTACCACATGTGTATTATGAAGAATATTTAATTATATTTTTACACATCTACTATCAGTTACGAGGGTAAGTTAAGAAAATCCAGGAGATAGTTAAGTTCAGGCATGGATTCACTTTATGCAGTTATTGATTGTTTAGATAATTCATACTCTGCAAACTAATAATGGTAATGCGAACTATTGAATATTGAGAATATGGTTCAAAAGTACCAGAGTAGAAAGGTATATTATTAAAAAAAATACTAAAATTCACAATCTATGGTAAGATGAAATGTGAATGCTGCATCCATATAATTTTGGTGGAATTTGAGAGACACTATTTAAAGTTATCAACCACTGATCATGATTATCAGAAGGATTCCAACCGGGTAATATGAATCTTCTAAAATAATTCAGGTCAATAGTTAATTACTTTATGAATTGATGCCAATTCTCGGTTTTCTTTCAGTCTCTCTCTAAACCAGCTAATATTTCTTGTCAAAGTAAACGGTAGTTAGGTATACATGTATCTATGCAACCTCAGTCAATAAAGCTATATAAGCTCATCGACTGATTTCTTACTTATTCATAGTTTAACATCATCAATGCTGATTCGGTTGCCCCATGAAACACAAACAATGACTTGAAGATACGTACGAGTCAGTTAAATATAAATAAACAAATATCCACTAAATAAATATTATTAATTGTAAATAGTTTGCATTTTCTTCGCGTTGTTTTACATACTCGAACTACATTCGATCATTGTATTTTGAATAATTTTTGATAGCTAACGTAATTCAAAAGCTTAATGGTTAATGTACTTGCATTTGAAGTGATAAAAACTGAAGCCATTATGATGTATATGCAGCATGATGCTATTGTATTCCGCTGCTAAATACTAAATATGACAAAATGCATGTGTGGGGATTAAGTGTAAATTATTAATAAGGAAATCATAATTGTCGGATATTGAATAATTTGTTGAAAAACTATTGATAAGTATACAACCGTTTATTAAAACAAAAAAACCCATAGTATTTGTAATTAACTATTACTCATCATGGGGTTGAGGAGATTGGTGAATTACTTATTGGAAAAAATAAATCGACCAATGTCAAACCATCATTAGAAACCTGGAAGCACTGAAAGGCCGTTTTATCCTGGTATGGGACTCACTAGTGACTAGCTCCGAGAGGAATCTTCTCCGAGTTCTAGAGAGAATTCATGACCAGTGGAGTTCCACCGTGTTCGGGTGTGAAGTAGTGCTCACCAAAGACAGTATATGAGGTTGCGTAAGACAGTGAATTGATCAAAGTCAGACAATAACAACGTTAGATTCCAACCCAGTTGTCCAGATGTTAGGCGTTTGCGCGTATAACAAAAGGTCCTGGGTTCGAATCCTGTGAGGTGCAGAAGTCGTGGATGCGCACTACCACTGATTAGTCCCATACCTGAACGAAACGGCCGTTTATTGCTTCCACGTTTCTAATAGTGGTTCAACAGTGGTCGATTCATGATTTCAATAAGTGTTACTCAATCAATTTTATTTTCAGTGAAAGTTTCATCACAGCCGAAGATATCGGATGATATGGCTTACGATCGACCACACTAGTTCAGATGTATCCACACTCCAACTTCTTAATCTAGATAGTGAATTCTAGTGTTGTTTTATTAAATGTACTTTTTCATCTAGTTTTATTGAACCATATTCTCAATGTTCAATAGTTCTCATAACGATTTTCATTACATAATTTCAATATTTTTTAAAATTTAATATCATATTAATGTTGTCTTGTTGTGTTATTATCTTACTATTAACTTATGGAATAACGTATATCCCAGCCACTACTATGTGAATGACAACTTTTTTTTATCATGGTAGTTTGGTAAAGTGAGGCTTTTACTGTTGAAACATTGAATACTCTTGACAAATAAAATCATAGATTTGAATTATATGTTCTATCTGCTTACGTTAAACTGATTAAAGTAGACTAAAGCTTTATAACTGAGTAATAATATAGGATAACTGATAACAAAATTTACACTAATATTGATACTCATCATTCAGGTTTGTAGAACACATGAATTCACAAACATATGCAAATTACTGAGAAGAATATTTTTGACCAGAATTTGTTTAAGCTGGAAAATTTTCATGGAATTTTAATTTAAACCATCATTTGAAGAAAAGAAGCAAGAAGTACAGTACACCGAAGCCTAAACCAAGGTGGCACTGAAGTTTGAACCTGTGGCCACATTAGTTTAATGCGAGATTCACAAATGTATATAGAACATTACTCATGTATATAGTTTTACACAATTGTATATATATGAAAATTATTTCCAGGTGAGATATTTTAATAAAATTATAAAACCAAGTTATGTTTTATTGTTTAAAAATTAAACATTAGCAAATAAAACATCTTACCATTAACTTGTTGAATTTCATGAATATCAATATTTTTTGAATGTTCCACAGTGTTTGTGTAATTTGGTACAACAATACGAGGATTGATTTTATCTTCTGTCTGTTAAGTTAGTTATATGAATAATAAAATAAAAATTAGACTTTTAATGGGAAAAAAATCTCTTATTAGTGTTAAACCTTAAAATCTATAATTACTATCACCTCCTACATTGGGTATATCGATGGAATATACTACTATATGACACTTATTGATTATTGGATGGTGTTAAACGATGTCATTGTTTTATTTAATTAGTAGAGTTGACTGAATTCTGTCGATTAAATTGCTTTGCAAGTCATCAGTTTAAATGATTTCATACAATATGTTGCTGTCCTCTTTAATGAGTTAAAAGCAATATCAAAAAGAAGCGCATACTGGTTGGCACTCATCAGTTGAATACATCCGTAATTTCATATTGTGGGGATCGAACCCTTAATACAATCTCACAAGCAATGATGTTGTGATCAAGCTATGTACACCATGAAAGAAGACCTATAAGATTGAGATACGTACAATTTATGGTTGACTGATTTCCTATTTGTCTATCTACACAATAGTACCCATTTACACCAATGATCTTACATAATACTTGACAAACATTAGTCAGTCAGTCACTTACAACGTAGAACTTCGTACGTAAGTATATCAGTTCAAGTTGCCATACAACATTAGCACAGAGACACAACTGTCAATTCAAATCTCAAAGTGGTAGAGATAGTGGAAGTATTAGCGGTAATGGAGAAGACTATAGTTCAAAGGTATTATTCAAGAAGTTTAACTCAGTGAGATTAACTTATAAAAAGAAAGACATAGGTGATGAGGAATTCAGAAAATCATAATTCCATAGAACACAAAGAGTGGATGCACCTGTGCCAGTGCAAACGATTTTGAGCCATGTCATTCAAAATCTCTAATCATCAGTAACTATCGTCTCACGTACCCCAACCAGGTAGTCTACACTCACCAACATGACTCAGTCCACTTGTACATGACAAAACACATCTAGTGTCTAAAGTCACTTTACGCTTTAAAGCATAGAAATATATAATTCCAAAAGAGTAAAACAATTTTACCTACAATAAACTCAAACAAAACTTTTAAATAAAAGTTCATTTCATTCTCAATTACCATTTTGGATAAATTTTATGGCAAATAAAAAAATTCATTACTATTTACTTCACCTTGATTTGATAAATAGTTTTTTTTTTAAAAAAAAATGTTTATTATTTTTATTTTCACACACACACACAGAGAGAAAGAGAGAGAAAAGGACACGAGAAAAAAAATTAATTACTGATTTAACTGCTCAGTTAATTTAATAAAAAATCAAATCTTAGACAATGTAAACATATACCATTCTTCTTCTCCTTATTATTCAACGATGGCTACACACCAGATACACATGACCTTAGTTGAAATGATATCATCAGTATACTAAGGTAAAAGAGAAAAATTTTGCTAAAATACTATTAACTTTATATATATATATATATATATATATATATATATATATATATATATATATAGACAGAGAAGGTGACAATACAATGCCTACATAATTAAATATGACACGAAACGTTAAACTCAAATCCATTGGGTAATCCTCAGCCATATATATATAGATATAGATAGATAGTTCTTGAAATGCACAATTCATGGGTTCCTCATAAACTTATGATTCTAATCATCACATTGATTTGTTAAAATACATTGAATAACTCATCAAATCTCTTATCCCATTATCCATATACACATAGATAAATAAATGACGAAGAATAATACAACAATTAGTATAACCAAATTATGGCGATTCATTGATACACCATATGATACTTTAATTGACTGTGATGCTTATTATAATAATCAACCAAATGCTAGTTTAGCATTATGTGTCACCTCAAGTATGGTCGGTGCTATTTCCATTTACATTCTACCATTAATTTGTACATTCGGTATTTTAACCAATATTTACATTGGTTATGTATTTTTATATGAATTTAAAAAATTAAGTCGACAATCCATATATATGTCATTAATATGTTGGTCTGATTCCATCACGATATTATTTCTTGGTGTTCTATGGATGATACCAGCAAAAGGTTTGCCATTTGCTAGTAATGGACGTCTGTATTATTTCATTATTTATCAATCTGTTGCATTGTGTCGATTTTATCGTGGAGTTTATTCACTGACATCAACATTAGCTAGTAATTTGCTATTGTTAACTAGTATCGATCGTTGTTTATGCATATATTTCCCATTGAAATATCGTACTATACCAGTCTACTATGCATGGTATTTAATTGCAGCAGTCAGTATCATATCGATTGCATGTGTACTGCCAGTGATTATAGCAGTGGATTTTCATGATATCGACACATTTACAACATGTTGGTTAGATGAAAGTCAAGTATTTTTACAAATATTTGTTATATTATTTAATAATGCTGGTTTTATACAAACTATCCTCATACTTATATTAAATATTATATTTATGCTAAAAATGCGTAAAACCTTCTCGAAAGAACGTTTAATGGATCCTCAATCAATTGAAAGTAAAGAATGGTCAGCTAGTGTGATTTTATTTATTTTAGCTACAACATTATTATTATTTAATTTACCACAATGTGCTGCTTATTTAGCTGCATTTTTTTTCCCATCAGTTATGAATAAATCACAATCGGAACAATCAGTACGTTTAGCTTATAATATAGCAGATATAGCATGGCAATGCACGTTTGCACAGAATGCCTCAGCAATATTTGTATGTTGGCAAAGAATGCATGAATTTCGACAAGTATCTTATCGGTTATTTTTGAAAGGACCATTACAGCCAATTAGAAAGTATATACATGAAGCACAATCTACTGCTACTCATTAATTAAGTAGTCTATCTGTTGAATAAATTTCATCGACCACATGTATAGTTATATTAAATTGTTAGAGTTTGTGATGGAATAGTGATTTAAGGCGAAATGCGAGGTTAGTTAACACACCTCAATCAGTTAGTCATTCAACTTGTTTGATTTGACAGACCAGTAGTCAAATACAAACTAAACATGACTTGTGATCAACTATGGGAGTTGATATTTGAATGATCACAAATGATAAAGATGATTATTTTTATTTTAAACGTGCAAATCTAGCTCAGTTTTACAGTGTACAAACCTTCGATAAACAATACATGATCGTGCAAAAAAAAATCAAACTAACGCTGAAAACTATTCTAATTGAATGATTTTATTGTTGAACATTTTTTTTCATTTAAACAAAACTTTTATTTTTATTTAAAAAGTGAAGAAAGAGTAGATGAATTATCTGATTACTAGTACTTATCATTTGTATAGACAACAGATTTCCTTTGAACTGTTTATAAATACACTCAAAGACTGAACTAGTGATAAGTGAATATTTCGAATTCTACAATCTACCCCTGATGAAGAAGATATTCAACATGTATTCACTAGAGTAATGTAGCACTTTCATACTAACTAGTCCCTTCATTGTACAATTTCCAATCTTTTTAAAACAAAATTCATTTAAACTTGTTGTTTATTTTGATTAGCTTTACATTTTTAGCATCCATTTTTGTGATTATTTGTAAAAATGTGTTTATTTCAAAACAAATATAGAGTTTTTATTCAATAATGTTATTGTGTTTGCTTTATGATGAATAAGTGAATGTGTATAAGCATTCATATTAATTTAAAGTTTGATGATTATTATTTATTAATAGACAATTGGAAAAAATACTGTAATATAATTGGAACAGGGAATAACTAGTCCGTTTTCAGCTTAGAATTGATATATTCACAAAGTGTTACATAACATTTTTCAACTAGAGTTGTGGAGATTATTGTTTTTACATATTTGAAATCATCAACTAATCATTGTTAGACCACCATTAGAAACCTGGAAGCACTGGACGGCCGTTTCGTCCTGGTATGGGACTCATCAGTGGCAGTGCGCATCCACGGCTCCTGCACCTCACAGGATTTGAACTTGGGAATTTCAGTCTGGCAAGCGAACGCCTAACCTCTGGACTGGCATCCAACGGTTTTAATATCTAACTCTGATCAATCTAGAGAATTTTGCGTGACCTCACCCATTTACCTTTGGTAGTTACATAAAACTAAAATTATAAAATTTGGGCATTACAATGAACATAAAGAATTGAAACAAACTTTTTTCTGAAAACTGACAATTTACATGTGAAATATTTACAGATGACTCACAGAAGCCTCCAAAAACTCCCAAAGAAGGTGAGACGCTTCAATGAAATCAGAGCTTGATAGAACTTCGATGCGACATAAGGATGATGACTTAACGTCACTCACTGAGGATGAGATGATTTCATGTATTGTTTTCAATCCATTTAAAAAAACCATAACTACACACGGTTTCGCTGAATATTTTTGACACTTACTACAGTAAAGGTGTCTTCCCTTCCAGCTTATGTTTCGTGACCTATGGGGGGCGGGTACGGTTCTACTTGCCCTGGTGCCAGAGGTTTAACTGTGTATTAGTCTTTCTAATAGCATATGTAAAATAAAACTAATGATTTACATGTGAAACATTTAAAAATTTATATGCTCGATTTTGGCTCGTATTTTTAATGCGATAGCTAATAATACAACTCAATTGTCTGAACGGAAGTAGTGAGAGATTGACTGGTTGAAAGTATGGGGATTTAACCAGTAACCTGTCATACTTCTAACTACACTCAGTTTATGATAAAACATGATTGTCATTACGTTTCGTGAGTTTTGTTCGTATAGAATATGGACTCAAAGAATATTGAAAAAAATGAGCGGGAAGGTGTTCAATGAAATATTGATGCAGAAGAGATATTTGTTAAAATTTAGAAGGAAATATTGGAAAGAATGTTCAGCTTTAGTATCCTACTATTAATGGAAACAAAGATTTAAATTGGCGATCAGTTGAACTTACAGTGCGACTAAGGTGTGTATTATCATTATTATTATCCTTTTTGTAAATAGGAAATTTATGTTCAATGAAGTATAAAGTATCATACGTCATAGTGTTTACCAATTTACCTTTGTGTACTTACATACATACAGACAGACAGACATGCATTCAGATAGAGTATTAGTCGTAACTTGCAAGCAAACAGCTGACAACATTGTTACGAAATCAAATATAAATCCCATTAAGAATATACAATAAGCACCAACCATTCACTTGACAAGTGGACAGAGTCATGTTGGTAGATGTAGGCTACCTGGTTGGGGTCCGTGAGACAAAAGTCGCCAATGGTTAGAGACCTTGAACGACATGGCTAAAAATCGTTTGCAACGGTGCAAGTGCATTCATTCGTTGTGCTCACTCAAATCCTAATCTTCTGGATTCGTCAGCACCTCTACCTTTGTCTTTCTAACCTTATCTCACTGAATTATACTTCTTGAATAATATCTTCAAACCCTAGTCTTCTTCATTAACATTATTAATACCTCTACTATCTTTATCACTATGGGATTTATTTGATTTGACATTTGCGGCGCTGTGCTAATGTGGTATGGTAACCTGAAGTGATGTACATTCGTACAAAGTTCTACGTTGCAACTGACTGACTGGCTGACCATTCACTTATTATGAAGCATACAATTGAAACAATTCATACAACTGATCACAATTAGAATGTTTTGTTGTTCGCGAGCAAGACCGAAGGTCCTATGTTCCGCGGTGGATACGCACTGTCATCGATGAGTAGTCCCATATCAGGACGAGACGGCCGCCATTCAGTGCTTCCAGGTTTCTAATGATAGTCTAACTTTGATCGAATCATGATTTCAAATGTGTAATTTAAAAAAGTATCCGAAAGCCAGTGTAAATAGGGAGTTTCTTGTCTCCGTAAACATAATATGTCGTATCTTGAAAAAAATTATTTTTTATAATTAAATTTGATTACATGAAATGGTATTATTCCGAGATGATTTAGGTCATATAGGCATTCTGATAAACATTAACCACATACAGCTTATTACTACCCATTAGTTAAATAGATAATCAAAAGAGGAATAATTATTTTACGTAAAATATTTCATATTTTATTGTTATTTAAATTAAATTTTATTGTTTATGAATAGAGAGAGAAAAGAAAAAACCTTCAATAAACTTACGACCGTAAGCTGTTGATCATTGCAATAATCAATGATAAATGATTTACAATCAGGTTGTACATGAATTAATTCTTGTTCATTAGATAATTCCGATGAATAAGACAAACGATGAATTAGTTGTGGAATGATAAATGTTCGAAGATATACCTTGATGATGATAATAGAAATTGTCAACAAGCAAGAAAACAAAGAAAGGATAATATCAATTATAATGCAATAAAAGACAGACATGAAAAATACATGAAAGATAAATAAAAAAAGAACTCTCTTATGCAGTTTGATGATGAAATAATTTCGAAATAAAAATTATCGACGTTAGAAAAAAATCAAACATCAATTCTTGTTTAAACATGGAGGGGAGGGGTAGTCTAGTGATTAAATCATTCAGCTTCTAAACAGTAGGTTATAAGCATTTAAATCCCTCAACCTTATTTGTTTTAGTTTAGATAACTGATTAATATTAATAAACATGGTTGGGTACAGAAGTTAGGTATTCGCATGCAAGACCGAAGGTCCTGGGATCGAATCCTGCGAGTTACAGATGGCATGGATGCACACTGCCACTGATAAGTCCCACCATACCAGGACGAAACGGCCGTCCAGTTCTTCCAGGTTTCGAATGGTGGTCTAAAAATAATTCATTTGTGATTCCAGAGTAAAGCTACCATCTCCATAACACTAAATGAAGAATAATATCACTAACGTTACACATGTAAGATATGACTTAAAGCTGAGTGTTTGGAATATAGGTTACTTTATTTTTTATTTATTATTTCCATTGATTAGTATATTTGACAGACTGTTGTAAATGAAAGAACAACTAACAAACTCACTTTCAATTATTTTAAAATGTTCATGCACTCCCTAATTTCAGAGCTACGACTCTCTTTAAATGTATTTCTGTGATAAATATGTATTATGTCATTGATTTTAAGTGTCAAAAGTGAGACCAAATACTTTCCTAATGTTTCGACAAAGTCTTTGACTACTGCTATTATTATCATTATCATTACAACTTCTTTGCTATACTTTAGTATTTTCAGGATATTACAACTGGGCTGTTTATTACCGCAATTGTGTATATAAAATGAAAAACTATGCGGAGAGTCAATTAATTTTGTGAAAAAGAAATTTTCCTCTATTGAATTCTCTTTATTCTAATTAATAATCCAAGAAGTGGCCAAGTTTAAGACTAAATACATCATATATAATTATAGCATATGTGAATTTAGGATTGCTTGTAATATAAATCGTTAATGTTAATATAACTAATAATGGAGTGTATATCTATCAATTCAATTGCTCCTGTGAAGCAAGTTACATGGGTAGATGTTCCAAGATTTATATTTTCGTGATCGCGAGTACCTCCAAGTGTGATTAAGCAAAGGTGTATTCAAAGCTGTTAACGGCTAGATTCCAGCTTGCTTATAGCTGAAACAGTAGCAATTCGGATCAAAAGGTTGGAGCTTTGCATTCAGAAGAAATACATTCAACCATTCCTTTAGCCTCGGCCAATTTCGGACCTGATTGGTTAACAATCATTTTGATGATATATTAGTCTGATTAATGTTCATACAACCTCCATCTCTGTATTTAAGTGGCCGAAATTTATCTTATTCACAAATCGTATTATTATCATTATGTGCTTGCAATTTCTTGAGCTAGTTATTCAACACCCACCCTCATTTACTAATTTATACTTTATTCATGTTATTCTACGTATTACGTAATTCAGTGATTTGTAATTACATCATTATTCTTTCTCAATCACCCTGTGTTAACCATTTATTTATTCTGATCATTAATTTTGCAATTTCATTTTACGTTTAAACTTATTCAAGCGGACACTTCACACTTCACAATTTATATTACAAACAATCCTATATTTACCTATGATAAACGATGTATTTTGCCTTAAATCTGGTCAGTTTTTGGATTATTAGTTCGGATATATGACGGTAGAAGTTTGTGCTGATGATGTTGTTCAGGAAAACAACAATGAAAGCTTCACAACCAAAACATCCAGCTTACAGAGAACGAATCACCACCACAATCATCATCCATCTGAACTACAAATTTTACTCCACTATCTCAAGAACAACTATCTTTATTGTAAATAATATAAATATTGAACCTATATATATTATTTCACCAGAGAATGATGTAGAACGTTCACCTACAAATGTATCGAAGCAATTTTGAACCAAAACAGTTTTTCTTTTTGTGTGTTGAAGATTAATGGTACTACTCAAGTTGATAAGGTTGAAATTATTGTTGGTGATCAATCATGATTCGAATTGTAAACTGATTTTTTTTGTTCAAACATAAACAATGGTAGATCTTTTCTTACCAATGGAAATATTATCTTTAATTGATTTTTAAAACTCTTTCTCCTACATCGGTGACATCTTTTACAATTCCTACAAAGTCATAATTTCATTTTTAGCTGATTGTAGTTACCAGGTTACTTAGCTGTTTCATTGAGTAATCAAATTATTTTCTTTTGATATCTCTATGACCTTAAATACTGTTGTGATGTGCTAGAATCATTTCTCATGTGTTTTAATTGTTTGCAATCTAATTGGCCTTAATCGAATCTTCAATCCATGATGTTCTACATTTAAATTCTAACCAACTTTGTGCAAGGTTTGTTAACGTTTAGATATAATTTTGATTTGAAAGTATTATAAGCTAAAAGCAACTAATGAGAACTTAACACGATGAAATGAATTCATGTTATTCTATTCAAGTTCTTGCATGTGTTTCTGTTAAAATTTAATGAGAGTGGGTGAATGATACGTGTGAAAAAAAAAAATAATAATTGTTTACAAACAATGAAAATCATAATCAGAAAAATATGCTAACTAGATTATCACACTTTGATAAACCGCCCAAAAACCCATGTGACTAAAACCAATGACCTAGACAGTTCTTGGGTCATATGCCACATGACTGACTGACTGTTATATAATCATTGTCGAATATTTTGGTAGTAGTCATCATTACTTCAAAAAGTGCAGAAAAATACACAAATGTCCGCTTTTTTTTTTAACATATTTTCACAAATTAGTCAACCAAAATCTGAATGAACCTGAAGAACACCGACACACACACACACACACACACACAAAACCCAGGATAAAACAATCAAACCAATAAACTTACATTATTCTGACCAAGTTGAAATGTTTCTGGAGAATAATGCAATGAATTCAGAATTTCATGAACAATCTTTAATGTTGTTGTGAAAGATATAAAAAAAAAGTTTTGAAAGTAGTATGATAGTTTTTTTTTAAATGAAAATTTAATAAAACTTATACATATTCGAAAACATCAATCAATCATTCTTAGACCACCATTAGAAACCTGGAAGCACTGAAAGACGGCCGTTTCGTCCTGGTATGGGACTCATCAGTGGCAGTGCGCATCCACGGCTCCTGCACCTCGCAGGATTCGAACCCGGGACCATCGGTATTGTGCGCGAACGCCTAACCATCGGACCACTGGGCCGGCATCCAAGGTTGTTAATGTCTAACTCTGATTGATCTACGCAAAATCGATGATTTTAAACGTTCTATCATTATTGTTTTAAGGGTTAATCAAATTCGTCCTTTATTTTTAAAAACATTCTTTCATGTTTAATCATTTTTAAGTAACTTGACGATAAAATATGGATATAAGGCTATGGAGATTGTTGAGTTTCATTCATGCCGTTGGATGCCGGCTCAGCGGTGTAGGGGTTAAGCGTTCGTGCTTCAAACGGAAGGTGTTGAGTTCGGTTCCTGTGGGTAAGGGTCTTGAATGCGCACTGCTGATGAGTCCTATACTAGGATGAAACAGCCGTCCATTGCTTCCAGGTTTCTGATAGCAGTCTAACATTGATCGATTAATGATGTCAGTTAAATATGAGCAAGTCTTAATTATTTCTCTTTAAATCTTAATAAGATGTAGACTATTTGTCGATAAGTTTTGAATTATGCATAAACATTCAATAATTAAATATCTTAAATTTGATTTGTTCTTCAACAAGGTATAATTTCATGAATTTTTCGTTTTTTTTTCAAATAATTATATTTGATTGAACTAATATAGAATATTTGGTTATAAAAAAAAAACGCGAATACAAATGAAAACAACAAAGCTGCAGTTCAGTGAAATAGAGCTCTTTTGAAGTTTGAATCTCATTACATCCGCTGTAGAATAATCTGATGTAGAATGGTATAATTAGCCTTTGTGAATAAAACATACACGAAATTACAATCAACCACAAAAATACTAGTATATTTCAACATTTTCAAGGTGAGACATCAAGTAGCTATTTTATTTATATAACGGTGTTATTTAATTTAATGTGAAAATGCATTCACTTGGAAGTGAACTGTTACGAACGTACGTCAAAACGTCAATTGATATACTTGAACTATTACGAGTTCACCTAAGTTGGTAAACGAGAGCGAGGATCGATGATCCAGTGACACAATAGGCTACACTGATCCGAGCGTCTCAAACCTCCAATAAGTAGGAGAAGTCTTGATATGAAGTAGAAAGTGTATTCTACAAGCATTCAAAAAGTACACAGTCCGAGTCCAGAAGAGGATAAGGATCCTAAACTAAGGATCCAGATCATAAAACGTTATAGATAATGCATATTTATACAGTTAGGTCGAATAGGGAACAACATTTGAAGTATGTTATATTGATAGTTAGAACGACCAATAGGAACTAACAAATAGGAAATAGACTTACAAAATAAGTCTCTTAGAATATTTGATGAATATCCTAACATGAACATTGATGATAAGATACAGTTTAATAAATGTGTATTTAGCTATATAAAATCAATCCCTAAACACATTAAGCTGAACAAATATATCAGAAAAGAATCATTGAGGAAATTGAAATTCTCATCTCAATCTATAAAACAATGACCGAAAACAAGATACCTGTAAGTTACTTGACAAATAAATAAATGTATTTACAGTAATAACAATGTTTACAAAATAGACAATAGAGCTCTATATATATATGGTATCAGATAATATCAAGCAACACTATAAATGGAATTGATTGATAACAAATTGAATAAGAAATCAACATGGAAAATAAAATAGTTTGATTTGTTTTTTCTGGAACTCCAAACAACTTTCAACCAAAACCAAAATCAGGATTTTCAATACAAATGTCAAAACAGTTCTACTGTATGGAGCGGAAACTTGGAGAACTACGAAAGCCGTCATCCAGAAGATACAAGTATTCATGAATAGTTGTCTACGCAAAATACTTCGGATTCGTTGGCCGGACATGATTAGCAACAACCGACTGTAGGAGAGAACAAACCAGATTCCAATGGAGGAGCAAATTAGGGAGAAGCGGTGGAAGTGGATAGGACACACACTGCGAAAAGCACTCAACTGCGTCACAAGACAAGCCCTCACATGGAACCCTCAAGGCAAAAGGAAAAGAGGAAGGCCAAGGAACACATTACGCCGAGAAATAGAGAAAGATATGAGAAGAATGAACAAAAACTGGAAAGAACTAGAAAGGGAAGCCCAGGACAGAGTTGGCTGGAGAAAACTGGTGGGCGGCCTATGCTCCATTGGGGGTAACAGGCGTAAGTAAGTAAGTAAGTAAGTATAGAAAATAAAAAAAAACCAATGTATGCATCAAACTTACCGTTTTGTTCATTGTATCATTATGTTTCCATTCATTGACTTTTGAATTGATTGGTAATAATGAAACAAATCGATGACAGAATTCTTTCAATGATAAACGATCTGGATAACTTTGTTTCATTGCTTGTAATGTATGAATTAATTCTATGCCACGAATTTGTGCACGTATTAAATTGACACATATACGTGCTGGACTAAATACTAAATTTCTATTTGGATAAGATTTAATTAATTCCGTTAGAAATGAATTCGATGTTGTATCATGATTAATAGCATTATCAGTAGTATTGTGCTTTTCATCGATACTGTTATTATTATTATTATTATTATGATTAGATGGAGAATTTCTTGTTTGTATCAATTGATCAATTGGTATTTCTTCATTTAATTCACATAAACCAGCTGTAGACACTGGTAAAAAACAATGAATCCAATGTAGACCACTTGATGGACCGCCATCATTGAAACCGGAGCCTGGATCATTTGGATTATATGAAGCATTGTGTACAGCACAATCATATAAAGAACGTATAAGCGTATCCTTTGAAAAGAAAAGAAAACGTTAATCATGGAGACTATCTTAACATTTATTTCAGAAAACAATCAAAAATCAACATTGAGCCTACACTTATGATAAAAAAAATAATAATCATAACGAAGTTAGGTAGGGAAACAATGCTAGTAAAGTAACAAAAATTCAAATAACAGCCTGATAAAAATTCAATATCAGGCAAATAGCAATAGAGGGTTTACTATTTTAAAATAAGTTAATATTTAAAATAATTTTAACATTTCAATCGTCAATTTGGTTTGAATTTTTTTCTTGTAAAATAGTTGACAATATTGAAATTTGAAATCATCAATCAATCATTGTTAGACTACCATTAGAAACCTGGAAGCACTGATAGACGACCGTTTCGTCCTTGTATGGGACTCATCAGCAATGCGCACACAAACACAAAACTCCAAAACTGTGCCCCAAAATATCGAAATTATCAAAAGAAAAAAGGATTTACAACAAATGCATACGAATAATTATTCAATCCTGTTTCAATATTGATTTCGTGTACAAGACATTTAAGATGAAGTATTGCGAATATATGATGTGTTTGTTTACATATCATATTACCATGGTATTTTTATCAGAATACAGTGACTATATACAGACTTTGATTGATTTGTGCTTTAGGACCCTTATAGATATTTTTTCTAACGAATAGTTTATAAGGAGGTAATAAATAATAAAGCATGTGTACATGTCAATATGGTTGACCTGATATCATCAGTATAACACACAATAACAAATATTTTTAAGTTCATAAAGCTTATTCTCAAAAGTCAAACTAGAAGAACAGAAATGAGAATTAGTCAAAAAAAAGGAAACAGATCAAAAATAGTTAAATTTGAGCATTTTAAATCAGTAAGCAATAGTATCAAAACTCGGACTAGATAATATTTGCAAAATTGTGATACAGATTTATAAATACTTCAATTGTTGAACTCGAAACAAAAACACTAGAATTATCAAAAACCATTGAAATTCAGGAACTATTTATGGGCGATTAGTTTTTTAATTCTAGATAATTTATTTTTGATGTGCATTTAGACTACTTAATAATAACAAGTAGACAAATCACAAACCCATACATTAGTACGTTAAATACGTTCTAGCTAGTAATGTAATTTGAAACGAGTTTCGTTTTACTAGCGACTCATCGATTAGATGTACCTATATCCGGAAGTTTACATTTACACTGATAATCGAAAACAGTACATATTAATTCGAATACCACGTTATACTTTATTAACTAAACCACAAGTAAAAAAGTCACATAATTCATAAGGAACATCTGCAACATTAGAGGACAGTAACAATGTACACGAAAAATTGATACCATTCTTTGAAATGAGTACCATATAAATCAAAATATCAATGAGAAATTCATTAAAACCTGCCCTCAATTCATATCTATGTTTTACCAAGAGTAAAAAGGTCAGAACGATAAGGAATATCAAATCCTTTTTTTTTTTCTAATGGTTTTTCTATCTGCGACCAAAATTAACTTTAAACTGAACCAGTACTCCATAGATCATTTAGCTAATCAAACTGTTATTGATTAACATGCAAGCCAATTAGCCAAAAATAGTTTGTCATTATAAAATGCTAGAATAAAACCAAGTGAATTAGCTATGTTTTAATTTTATGAAATAGTAGGTTTCAACATTTGATATCTTAAATGAACCTATAGATTAATTATTAAGTACCAATGATACTTGTCAGTTGTGTTTACATTCCAATATATGTTCATTAAAGGTTCAATTTTTTTTTGAGTATCGACCAATCCTTCATAATTTAATATCAGTTTCAGTTATTTGTAGCACATTCACAAACACATACAATTTACCTACGTTAGAAAAATTCTACACGTTCAATCCATTTTACTAAAAATTCAACTTCATTGTTACACAATAGTTAAATCTCTAAAAGTGATATGCTCGTCCAGTGATATGCTTCAAACTATTACGAGTTCACCTTACTCGGTAAACGGAGCGAAGACAAATGATGCAGTGACACGATAATTTAATCTAATCTGTTTGTCCCCGGCCCGGCTAACTATATCAAGAAGACTTGATAAGGCGTAGAAAGTGTATTCTACAAGCACCCAGAATATACGAGGTTGACAAGCACACAAATCGAGTTTATTTATAGATGAGAGAAACGTCCTTGGGAAGGCCACAAAAACAGCGTACTAAAATAGAATATTAGCCAATGACAGTCAAAGATTTTCCGAGTGGGAAATGTAATCTCAAGGTCAGCTGAGTAGCCTATGTGCGAAAACAAAAAAACCCTATATTAGGACTTTCCAAGTGAGTTTTGGAGATCTAACGTCTCCAACAAAAAGATATCCTACTTAGAATTGATCATAAATTATTAATAATTTCGAAAAGATCAATTGTAAATTTTTAAGTCTAAAACAACCAAAAAGTTTACTTTATATAGAATAATCCAAGAAGAAAATTGCCATGACAAAAGAGCACTTACCATGACCGATTTCACTTCAGTATAAGTGCCAATATGACTTGAACTATTCGATAGAAACGAGCTTAAATAATCTTCTTTATAATTTAACACACTAACAAGCATACGTAAAGATCCACTAAAAGGGATAATAAAGGAAACAAAAGGAGAACAGGCGAAAAAATAAGAACATAGTCAGATTCCATTTAATGAGTGAAAATGTTCTATTGACAACTGACAACTGTTAAAATATAACATACATACTATTACATCGAAAACATTCTTTCACTAATATAATTTAGTGATACTGTGTACAGTTAACGTATACGTACTTCGATAAATGTTGCTGTCAAAAAGATAATTACTATTTTTTTCTTTTCAATGAGATGTAGTGAGTCGAAAAGTTACGGAAAAAGAACACTGAATACTATTTACCATTGTTTATCTCAAGAAACAAAATAGCTTCGTGAGGAAATTCTCGGACACCAACCAGATACCCTACATCTACCAACATAGTTCAGTCCACTTGTCAGTGACTTTATGGATGTCTGCCATGTTTTGAATTGGCTATCCCTAGCTTTCTTTAGGTCTTCTCCGACTTCATAAAACATCGCTCATCAAGGCACTCGGTGGTTGGCAAACGTAACACATGTCCTAACCACCACAAGTGATGAAGATTCAATACTTCATCTATTGATTTGCCATCCCTACCTAGTACCTATTTTCTAACGACAGCATCGCTTACTCAGTTGTGCCAGGATACATGAGCAATGCTTTGGAGACACCTATGATCGAAAACCAGCAACCTGCGAATAACTTCAACTCTGACTGGCCAAGATTCACAACCATAAAGGAGAACGAAGTGAACTATTGTGCAGTACACTCGTCCTTTAATCAACAAACGGATATCTCACCTACGCCATAAGTGACGCAGATTGGCAAAAGCCAATCGAGCTTTCTGTATCCGTACTGAGATTTCGTCAGACACCAGGCCGTCAGCACTGATGAAACTCCCAAGACTAGTCAAGCTGTCTACACGCTCAACTCCTTCACTTCCTATCACTAGTTCAGATGCCGATGCAAGCTAATCCTAAAGCAATATTTTCCATCTAGAGGGAGAGAACTGCTTGCATTGTTGCTGAAGTTGATCATAAAATTCTGCATTTTGTCAGCGTCAGCGTCAAACAGAACTATATCATCTGCACATTACCTCAAACATTCACTACTCTCCTAGTCAGTTATTATTTCTCTCAACAGTTTCAATTTTCAACTAAATATTTTAAAACATTTCACTCTGACAGAAATGAATCAATCACATTTATGTTTTCTGAAGAATAAAGAGTAGTAATATTCATACAGAAGTGTGAGTTTAATATGAAAGATAAATAAAAATGAACCTGTGTATTTACAAACACACACCCACACACACACACAGCTAGATAGAATATCAGTCAGTAAGTAGTAATCAGTAAATAGAGTGTGTTCTCTAGTAAATAACATTTACGGAAAGGGGAGCAATATGACTTAATCATTTCATTTCTCGACATTAATATTGATTGATATGTGATACACAAGATCGTGTGCATAGACAAACGAACACACACATTCATTCATCAAATACGACATCAAGAGTTTAATTTATATTACTGCGCATTTACACAAAATGCCAAGTATAATAAATCTATATTTGATCTATTGATTTTATTGACCTATATATACAGTTAGTTACACAATTTGATTCACATGTCATTGTGTCATCATAATACAGTAAGGTAAATAAGACTAAGAAATGCAAACCTTATATATGCTGGCAATAAGGATAATATGTTGACTAGCTTGAGAACAAATAGTAGATAAATAACTCTAACTTGAAAGAAACCAAAACAACCTTATGAGTCATGAATTCAATAAGACTAATTTTTATGTTAAATTAGAAAAAAACATCTTTCAAAGGTGATGGTTTAGCGAATTGACATTTATGCGGTTCCCGCTTCTTCCTACGATTATTTATTTTATATTAAGGAATGGAACACTGGACCTAGGTGTTGTGAGGCCCGATTTAGCTCGGTGGTAACGTCTCAAACTGCGAAACTGAGTGATTTGGGCTGAAAAAACAGTGTAAGAAAGATCAGTTCCTGGAAAATGGCAAGTCTGCCATGCTAACAAGAGGTTGTTAGCTAGTAAAAACTAGGTTTAGCATTTCATGCCAACAAACGCCAACAATCTGATTGTTACGCATGCACGTAAACATGTCATTTTAATATGCTTGAACTATTACGAGTTTACCTTAGTCGCAAAAGGAGAGAGAGGATCGATGATCCGGTGACACAATATGTTACTCTAATCCGAGTGTCCCAAAACCCTATTGAGTAAAATAAGAAGACTTGATATGAAGTAGAACATGTATTCTACAAGTATTCAGAAAGTACGAGGCTCGAGTTCAGAAGAGAATCAGGATCCCCGACTAGGGATCCAGGTCCGGTTCAGAAAACGTTACAGATAGTGCGTATGGGAAACAACATTGAAGTCTGTGACATAGGATGACCAATAGAATTAGACTTACAAACAATTATCTGAAGATATTGGATGACTATCCTAATATTAATATCTTGTGATAGCACACACGATCTCAAATAACTTATTAGATCAGCCGCCTTATTTCAGCTTGATTGATATCATTCAATCAGCACTAAATAAAGCCAATCCTATAATCCTATTTGGACAACATAAGTTTACAAAACCAATTTTCACTCTAGGGCATTACATCATATCTAAGTAGTTGAATAATAATTGATTGCTAATCAATATATTTTAGCAGTACATGAATGTACTGTGAATCTTGAACTTATTTTAAATATTATTATTATTATTATTATTATTATTATTATTATTATTGTTTTAAGGTCGATTCATATTAAGGTGAGAACGTTATTTTTTGTCAAAAACTTTAATAGTTCAAAAAAGAAACAAACTTTTATGTTAATCATATAAATCTCTACAAAACAATGAATTGTTGAATTTTTTTATCAATATTAATTTGATGCATCGCCGATGATTTTAAAATAAATACAAAACCAATTAAGTAACATTAACATGACTCACAGTGAAGATTGTTCCAAGAAATTGATTAGTTTCTTACGACTAGCTACAGATCGATGATAAGGTGTAAACCAATTCCAATTCGGTGAATATTCAATCGGGGTGGTAGATAAATTATGATTCAATATAAACGATGAAGCATTTCGTTTAAATCGACGAATACTTCGTAAATCTATTTCATAGAAAAAAAAATGTTTCATATCAAGTATTGGGGTTTCAACAATATTATAAAATTTTAATAGATTTTAATTCATGAACTGGTTTTATTTAGACTACCAATATAGGACTACTCATTAGTGTACATTCACGACCCTGTATCCTAGTACGGGACACAAGATCTTCGAGCCTCGTGTGAAATCACTTAACTTCTTAGCCACTAACTTCAATGGATTCACGGTATTGTACTGCCATCTTACAATGCATGAGGTGGATAACTGCCTTGTATCTAGTATGAATGAATTCCACTGTGCTCATTACTGAGGAGTCTGATTCCAAGACGAAAAGAATGTCCAATGCTTTGAGGTTGATAGGGAGTTGAGCGTGTCGACCGCTTCACTTACCTCGACAGTCTCATCAGTGCTGATGGCCTGGTGACTGACGAAAAATCTCGGCACAGATACAGAAGGCTCGATTAACTTTTGCCAATTTACATCATTTATGGAGCAGGCCAGACATCCGTTTGCTAACCAAAGGTCGAGTCGCTCCGTACTACTATATGGATGTCAAACATAGCCGGTAGGAGTAAAGGACACCCGTAGGTTATTAGCATTCGATTATAGATGTCTTTGAAGCATTGCTCGTGTATCCTGGGATAGCAGAGTAAACATTGCTATTAGTTAGGGAACGAGTACTAGATAGGAATAGCAGATCTATAGATGAAGTATTGAAACTCCATCAGTTGAGGTGGTAGGGACATGTGTTACGGATGCCTAACCACCAACTTCTTTGACGAGCGATGGTGTCTGGTGTAGGAGTAGGTTGGAAAAACACTTGTGGCGGCCAAACTAAAACATGGTACAAATCCACGAAATCACTGACTAGTGGACTGAGTCAAGTTGGAAGGTGCAAACAACCTGGTTGGGGTCCGCGAGACGGTAGTAACCGAAGGTTAAAGACGTTGAATGATATGGCTCGAAGTCGTTTACAATGGCATAAATTCATCCACTCGTTGTGTGCTATGAAATTCTAACCTTCTGAATTCCTCTTCACCTCTATCTTTCTCTTTCTAAACTTCACTATATTGGGTAATATCTTCGAACCCCTTATCTTCTCCATTACCAGTAATAACTCTACTATCTCTATTACTATGGGATTTGAACTGACCATTACGTCTCTGTGTTAATGTGGTATGGCAACCTGAACTAACGTACTTATGTACGAAATTCTACATTGTAAATGACTGACTGACTGAATGCTTTGAAGTTTTCAATGATGGTCTATTTAAGATCAGTTCATGATTTAAAACGTATGAAAAAAGTGTAAATTTAAAATCTACAATGAACAAAGAGAAACATTTAATAGTATTAAAGAAAATAAACTTGTTTAATTATTTGAAAATAGATTTCGTTTGGAAAAATGACATCATTTGGATACGGAATGATTGCTAATGCATAATAATGGATTGATAATTTGCATTACGTGGTTTTGAAGAAAGTTAAGTTACTCATTCAAATCATGAAACGATCAATGTTCGAACACCATTAGAAACCTGGAAGAACTGGGAGGCTGGCTCAGTGGTCCAGGGTTTAGGCGTTCGCGCGCAAGACTGAAGGTCCCGGGTTCGAATCCTGCGATGTGCAGGACTAGTAGATGTGCGTTACCACTGATTAGTCCCATACCAGGACGAAACGACCATCCAGTGCTTCAAGGTTTCTACTGGTGGTCTAACATTGATCGATTCATGATTCTAATAGATGATTTGGTTATTCACTAACTTATCTACTGAATCAAACCATTCAGTGACATTATAAACAAGATATCATATTTTTAAAACTTATTAAATATGATTATAATTATATACATATAAAAGAATAATTCAAACAAATGGAAACAATTCTTTCATTTGGATGCTAAAAGAAAATAATGAACTAAAAAAAAATGAAATTTGACCTCAATCTTATCGACTCTAAAAATTTATCATACATATCATTTCAGAATAAAATGTCTATAATGAATATTATGAACAGACCGTTTAAGCAGTAAAATCTTCATTATTTTATCAGAAAGTACCGATTCATTTGGTTATTCGTCGCCTATTGAATTTTATGTTATCAAGTCACATATACAACAAAAATCAATAATTTACGAAGGCAAACAGTTTAACTACTGTTCTTTATGAATAATAACAGCAACAAACTTATATATTCATTGAAAAAGTCTTGAATATTCATATCATATAGGAAGATGTGCACTAACATTTCTATGGGAAAAACAGCTTAAAATACAAGGTTTTCAGTAGAATAATCCCAAATGACACATAGTTAGTCACCTATTTATGCTCAGGACTGATTGATTTCGAGAGAAAATTCTGAAGGCTCCGGAAAGAAGTTATGATCGGCAGAGTTAAACGATATCATGGATCAGTACAGCTAATTCGTCTCAGACTAAAACTGTTAAGATCGTCACTAGATATGCATGAAACTATTACGGGTTCACCTTAGTCGATAAACGAGAACGAGACAATGAACCAGCGTCTAGGTAGGCTACCCTGATCCGTTGACTAATGAAAAGTCTTGATATAGCGTAGAAAGTATATTCTACAAACATCCAGCAAGCAAAATGATTTCAAGCACACAAATCGCGTTTATTTATACATCCTTGGGACAGTCACAAAAATAGCACATTAAAATACACAGCAACCAATCATAGCCAAGGCTTTTCCTGGTAGGAAATGTGAACCTCAAGGTCAGTTCGTTAAGTGTGCTCTTAAATTCAATAATCTCCATAAACTTATACTGATAATATGAAGATATTTATAAATAGTCAGATAATTAATTAATGAAGACAGAAAAAAATTTCTGTATTTATATCACTCCAAAATCGACAGGATTATCAAAGGAAATATACTTGTTTTTAAGTTTAATGAGAATTTACTGCTTTCAAGTTAACTTCAAAAGAAATTTCTAACATCATTTATGCATTGAAATAGTTTAATGACAACAAGAAAATCAAACAACAACAAAGAAATAGTTTAGTAATTTAATTTTTAATATGTCCTACACTTCGCTTGTTTCAATCATCTTAACTGAAAAGTACTACATGTGAATTGATGTCTGGAAATGGCATAGGCAGCAGTGGATTATTATTCATAGTGAAACAATGAATAAAAGCTTAAAATAATACAGGAGAAATTGGTGATAACAAACATATTAAGCCATATATCATAAACTATTCTTAAATTGCTTCTCTAGTTATAGATTCCTATGGGACAACCGTATAAGCAATGCTGTCGTTAGGAAACGAGTTCTAGGTAAGGATGGCAAACCAATAGATGAAGTAGTGAAACTTTATCAGTTGAGGTGGTTGGGTCATGTGTTACGTATGCCTAAACACCAACTGCCGTGATGAGCTATTTTTGGCAGTGTAGGAGTAGACTGGAAGAAAGCTAGGGGCGGCCAAACCAAAACATGGCACAAATCCATGAAGTCACTGACAAGTGGACTGAGTCATGTTGGTAGATGTAGGCTCAATCTGGTTGGGGTCAGCGAGACGATAGTCACCGATGGTTAGAGACCTTGAACGACATGGTTCAAAATCGTTTGCGATGGAGCAGATGTATCCACTCTTTGTGTTCTATGAAATCATAAGCTTCTGCATCCCTCATCATCTCTATCTTTCTCCTTCTAAATTTATCTTACTGAATTATACTTATCGAATCATATCCTCGCTCCCTAATCTTCTCCATCACTGCTAATACTTGTATTATTGCTATCACTCTTGGATTTGAACTGACAGTTGCGTCTCTGTGCCGATGTGGTATGGCAACCTGAGCTCATGTACTTACGTACGAAGTTCTGCGTTGTATCTGTCTGTCTGTCTATGGATTCCTATTGAACTAAATAACTTTCACATAAGACAAGTATATTAAAAACACTATCCACTATTATAGTTGTAGTAAACTGGTACTGAATGCAGGGAAATATACTGAGATTCACGTGACAAAATAAAGAAAGCATAATTGACAGCAGAAGAAAGTCAACCAGTCAGTTAGTTACAACGTAGAACTTCGTACGTACGTTCACAAGTTCATGTTACCGTACCGCATTAGCATAGAGACACAACTATCTGTTCAAATCCCATAATGGTGAAGATATTAGAAGTATTAGAGGTAACGGAGAAGATTAGAATTCGAAGATATTACTCAAGAAGTATAACGATTTTAATGGTTAAAGATTCTCTCTGAAATCTGAAAGTTCTTGGTTTAATCGACCGTCAGTATGTATTACTGAAGAGTCTCAATGAGACAATAGTTTTTTTGGTGTTCAACGGTAGTAATCCAAAATGAGATTTATCTATGTTGAATATCAACTACAAATCAAATCTTCACAAAATACCCCACTCAGTCAGTCAGTCATTTACAATGTAGAACTTCGTACGTAATTACATCAGTTCAAGTTGCCATACCACATTAGCACAGAGATGCAATTGTCAGTTCAAATCACATAGTGGTAGAGATAAAAGAAGTATTACTGGTAATGGAGAAGTATAATTCAGTGAGATAACTTTAGGACGAGAAAGGTAGAGGTGATGATGAATCTAGAAGACTAGAATTTCATAGGACACAACGAGTGGATGCACCTGTGCCATTGCAAACGATTATGAACCAGGTTGTTTAAGGTCTCTAACCATCAATTGCTATCATCCCAACATACATTAAAATGCATAAATCTACGTAGATTTAAAACAAATAATAATAATAATAATAATAATAATAATAATAATCACCTCGATTTTGATATAATTTCCGTTGTGTTTGATACAATTGACTAAGTGCATCAAATAATTGAGAATAGTCACCATTTTGACCAACTGTATCCAATAAGTGAAATAAACCAGGAAGCATTGTATTATTATTATTATTATTACACAGATCATTATTCGATGCAGTTAAATTACTTTTCATTGGAAGTGAATTCGGAGTCTATACGAAAAAAAGAAAAACAAAGGGTATGCAGTTAAAAATATATTCACAAAAACAATATTTACAAATAGGATAATTGATTTCATGGTAGTCTGTATGAAACAGCTATTACACACTAATTAGAAAACAAGGCGCCAATCAATAAATCAACACGGTTAAATTAGTAGAAAACCAAATGAAGATACATGTATTATAATGTAAATCAAATTTCTTTTATCTGATTAACATTGTCTCAGCGGTCTATGCATCCGCAAGGGGTACACTGGCTTAAAGTGAATTAGTAAGTAAGCAAGTAAGTGAGTATTAATAATTTACATGACATTAAGTATATGCTACGATGTAAAACTACAGTTCTCAACAATCTCCATTACCTCTTATTATTATTATTATTATTATTATGATTAATAATTATCATGTGTTTACAACTAACACAACCACTCAAAAAAAACTAATCGATCATGAAGTAAATAAAGTTGAAATAATAAATCGCTGCAAGTCAACTCATCTCAGTAACTTTACAAATTAAAACTGAAATTCCATTACAGAATTCAAATTGACATGTTAAATTATCAAAACAATCCGATGGATTTCTAACCGTTCCTGTATATATATATATATATATATATAACTCCGCCAGTAGAACCTTCAGGGCTACTGCCGGTCCCAAGCCCGGATAAAGGAGGAGGGTCGGGCATGGGGTTGGCCACCCCATCCCACCAAAAAACTAACTTGCCAAAAAAAAGCTAACCAGAAAAAATAATTCAAACCATATATATATATATATATACATACTAGTGAACTGAAGTAGGAAATGAGGACAATGAAAATCGGTTGATTACTTATGAAAAGACAAAATTATCACTTTAATTATTGCATATAATCTGCAATCAATGTGTACAACTATCAATTGTGATTGAAACTTGAATTTAAACAGGGAAACCACACAAAAAACTGCAAACCAAATTCGATTATTATTATTACAATAATACATAAATTCATACTGTTGAAATTATATTACATCGTATTTTCCAACAAAATAAAACTGCATGTTATATGGATTCCCTGCCCTTCCCTAATCATTTAGAAATGAGAAATTATGCGAAAGAGGTTAGGCATTCGCGCACAAAACCGAAGGCCCCAGGTTCGAATCCTTCGGGGTGAAGGAGTCATGGTGATGAGTCCCATACCAGGAAGAAACGGCCGTTCAATGCTTCTTTCAGGTTTCTAATGGTAATCTAACAATGATCGATTCATGGTTTCAAAAAGAGATAAATATATGCTTCACAAATGACCAATTCACCGGTAACCTGTCTCGTTTACTTAATTTCGCAAAGACAAAACCCACAATATCGACAGTAAATGAATATGACTAGATGAATGAAAACTTCTTTTCTGGTATTTTTTTCTTTATTATGTGATCAATTTACATTCCATTTCATCATTGAACAAGTGTTACATTTTTAATGAAAATACAACATTCAAAATTAATGCTTTGCATCAATCAACAAAAATGTTTATCATCATCATCACATAGAATAAATAACTTGTTGTCGTTGTGTGTGTGTGAGTGTGTGGAAAGAAGCCGGAAAAAATCAATACAAAATAAGAAAACAGAAAGCACACAAACACAATTACACACTTGTCTACATCTTCTCTCATAATCTGTAGACAGAACAATCAAAAATAAATAATAAAAAGATCAAAGAAAGAGAGAGAGAGAGATGAGACGAGAGAAGAGAGAAAAAGGGAAAAAAAACTTTATTTAACATGAAATACTTTTTGTTTATTTTGGGGGGGGGGATTGTTTTACACTGCACCAGTACTTTTCGTGGCTAATTTTGTTGAACATTCAATAGAATATGTATGATCTAACATTGATCGTAAATAATGTCCTTTTAATAAATGCAACAAGGCATGACGAAATTTTCTAATACGTATAGCATAAATGAAAATATTACATGATGTCTGCATAAAAATTAAATGCCAAAATATATCAGCAATATTATAAACCAAACGTAATGGTCCACGTAATTCATCTGGATTTGTTAATATCGATGGTAATATGAAAGAGATAATATAAGCGATATTTTGTGGAAACGATGCAATCAATGTAGTGACACAAAGAATCACTAACACAATTGAAGCTGATAATTCTCGGCTTGCTTCAGAATTCCTATGCAAATGACGTTGATTTTTCAAGAGTTTACGTAATTTAATCATAAAAGCAATATTACAACCGATTACAAGTAATAATTGTATCAAACATGAATCCGATGCAAATGCATGATAAACATTTAAAAATAAACTATCATAATTTAACCAGCAAATTAATAAATTATTTGATAAATGCCAACCAACTACAATACCAAATGGTAACATTAATAAACAACTGATGATTGTAACAGCTAGTATGAAATACCATGCATAACGCTGTGGTATTTTACTATATTTCACAGGCATATACACACACAGACAACGATCAATAGCCATTAATAAGAGTAGATTTCCACCAAGTGTACATGAGAATGAATAAGCGAATCGATGCAAACGACATAAATCTTCGGATGTATTAAATGTGAAAAAATAAACATTGCCTAATGTAGCATAGGGTAAACCTTTCGCTGGAAATACCCATAACCAACCGAATAAAATTTGTGTCAATGCATCAACCAATGCTAGAATACCCATATAAATCATTTGTCTTGATGAATTCGGTAGTATATAGATAAATATAACAGCAATCAATATATTACTAATTATACCAAATGTAGAATAAATTGGAAATAGATAAGCAGATAGAAATCCTAATATACTTGATGTAATACACATAGTATAATCATTAGATTGACCACTGTGAAAATTTTCACAATCCTCCAATAAATCCCAAGGTGAATCAACAAATAACCAATCGGATCGATTAATCATTGATGCTGCCGATGCTGCTGATGATGAGGATGATAATGAGGCGAATTGAAATTTTATAATCCGATTAATAAAAGTATTGACTAGTGTTGGGAAAAAAGATTGATTACTATTCATTGAACAAGAAAACAAACAGCACCACTACTACTTAAACGAATTTACATTCTGAATGAAATGAAATTTATCCTAATTAATGAATGATTGAATGAGATACACCAATAGAGACACAGAGACACATACACAGAGAGAGAGAGAGATTGATTGTTTTTTCGAATGAAGTGATGAGAATTTCCAAACAGTAAGGTTGAGAAGATATTTTTTTAAAAAAATAAACAATAACAACAATTGGAACGTGAAATTATCTCAAATCTCCAAAAAATAATCAAATATTTGTTATTTATATATATACATATATCCACCCATTTTCCGAAAGTTGACTCAATATATATTTACATGCAGAAACTAAAGGCTATTATTTTACATCCATCCAATCACTCTTCTGTCAAAATTTCTTTCATTATTTGATCTTTAACACAGGGGTGAGAAATATAATAATGAAACAGCTTGAAAATGACGCCCTATATGTTATATGTAAGAGACAATAATAATGTACAATGGTATTAATAAAACAATGGAGTTGATATGCGATTAAAAAAAAACAACTTCTCTTATTCATAATCTCATAGCGACACATACACAGTCATGATGATGATGATGATTGAAAAATGTATAATACTCAAAAATGAAACATTGAAGAAGTACAATTTGGAGGAGCTTAATTAAGTGTTAACTAGTTGGATAAAGTAAATGATAAAAAAAAGAAGAAATTAAGGCCAGATTAAGCAAACAATAAACAAATGTACACATCTATGCATGGACGTTGGTGTATGGACCTGTTTGTAAAGGGGATTGGTTGGTGAGGCCTCGCCCCACCCCCCACAGTTGAATAACTGAAATGAGGCAAGCTTATTCAATAAATTTTATTAAAAAACAATTGAATCATTTGTTATTTACGACACATCATTAGAGTAGGGAATTGGGAGACATATAATGTAAATATATATACACACACATAACAGTGAACTATTAAAAGTGTACTTTAAATCTTATAAATGATAAAATATCACGTTATATGAAACAGTATTATTACAACAGAACATGAATACTGATGATCAAAAACGACGAAATGAGAGATAATAATATTTTAACGCAACACTAACTTACAAAGAAAAGATAAAAGTGAAAAAAGATTACTTGAAATTTATTTCATGAATTATAAGCATATATATATATATAGTTGCCGAATGAAAAAATAAACGATTTATAAAACTATTCAATAAAATGATAAAAATCAATGTGAAAGAAAAAAGAAATTTTGTATTAAATTGTAAATGGAGCCGAAGAAAGAAAAAAAAATCAAAAGGGTAATGTGTTCAAGGTGAAATAGTAACTGATATTTTTTTAAGCAAACTTTCTGAGGAAAAAACTTTAAGTAATAATAATATATATTGAAGTCATCAATCAATCATTGTTAGATCACCATTAGAAACAGGGAAGCACTGAAAGACGAGCGGTTCGTCCTGATATGGGACTCGTCAGTGTCAGTGCGCATCCATGACTCCTGCATTTCGCAGGATTCGAACCCAGGACCTTCGGTCTTGTGCGCGAACGCCTAACCACCGGACCACTGGGTCAGCATACAACGATGTTATTGTCTAACTCTGATTGATCTAGTGCTTCTAGGATTCTAATGGTGGTCTAACAGTGATTTATTGATGATTTCAATGTGAGAAATTGGTAATAATCATCATTAAATTAAAGAATAATAATGTATAAACATTTTACAGACTGATTATTAAATTTTATAAAAAAAATTAAAAAATATATTCGAATAGATGTTTATGATTACTGAGAACATTTTTACAATCATTAAACAAATTAACTTTGAATAAGAAACAATAAAAGCAAAGATTATTATTTATGCATATAATAGTAATTGGGGGAGGGGGCCAATGTAGGGAGATTGTTCAGTTTCATTGTTTCCATCATGAACTGATTCTAGTCAGACTGCCAATGAAAATATATGAAAGGCAACAAATATAAACCAATGAATACCAATTATTCCATGGTCTGAAGGTTAGGTGTTGGTCAGTCCGTCTCGTGTGCTTCCTTGGGTATGAGGGCGGATGTCACTTTCCAGTTGCCCACACCATGGAAGGGTTCTTATTGAGGAACCTGTAAAAAAATCGCGTTAGCGTTGGTCTGTGCGACCTTGGGGCGTGACCGCGGAGTTCAAGCGACAACTGCTTAAGGCCGGTCATGCACGGCCTTTTTATGAGTTTTAAAAGTATTAACTATGTTATTCAAGTGGCCTTAGCGCCGGAGACGGAAATTCGCAAGGTAAGGTGAGGTGTGACACTTTTAGGGTCGACCTTTTCTAACCCTTCCTTCCTTGTGAGAAGGCAGCATCGCTGCAGATGCTGGTTTAACCGAGAACAACACCTTACTGCTGTCACACCTCTCTACAGTCAGCAGTACGACTTCGCCCTCAGACCTTGAGTAGCTGCTTTTAGTCTCATCGTTCTCCAGTCGACCTGTCTGACATGGTAGGACCTACAGGAACATATGTTCCAGCCAATATAGCTCGGTTGGGTCATCACGATAGGCAAGCCCGATCACCACATCAAGTTAGCAGCTACGGTCGGGTTAGGTGTTGGAGTGAAAAACATCAAATGTTTAAGGTTCGGTAACTGGTGGCATAGTTCACCACTGGTAAACACTACTAAGGAGCCTGATACTAGAATAAAATATTGATCTATTGTAAAGTTGAAATGATGCTTTAAAGAAAATCAATGTATGATATAAAACTTTAAAAACAGAAGAAAAGTGAATCTAAAGCACATAACTTACCTTAGACAATGTGTCATTGTCAATGAAATTTAGAATACTCTTTGTACGACAAAAATTTTCATATGGAATAGGTGAAGTTAAACCATCCTAATAAAATAAAAGAGGAAAAAAACGAGATATTTAGGGATGGATTTTTATTGGAGGAAATATCATACAGGAAGAAACATTTTATGGCTAACAGTGTGGTTAATCAAGATTTGTATCCCATCTGATTTGAAATTGAATGTATTTAAATTCAGTGTGATATTCCTCACTGATAAACAAAACTGGTACTGGTATGTAAAAGCATATCTACTTGATCAATAGTCCGAATTACGATAGAATGCGTACACTACATTTTACTCCTAGTCGTAAATTGTTAAAAATATAAAAATATGCATCTATAGACAATGAAGAGAGAACCCTCTTATGATAGTCAAATAGAGATTGATCAAATAAAGTCAGGAATATCAACAGCAGGAAGATAGTAAACACTTTCTAATAGTAAAATAAATTGCTTCAGATTAGATCGGTTCATAAATCTATGCATCAGTTTATGAGTTTCTGACCATTGGTTTCGATAACTAGACATTCTACACTTGCATATACGAATCAGTTCAATAGTTGAGGACTTCGTTGACTGATGTTACGTTTTCTTTTAGATGCCTACAACTTACTTCCAACCTACTCTTAAGATACTTGGCATCGCTTGTTGAAGGTAGGTGGTAGTTAGTCATAAGTAATCACCAGTCTATGAACATTTGTGCCAGCTGTTTAAGAGACTTTTAATGTTCGCATAATACTCCGTATTTAATCCTAGGATTGTTTATTCAATAGTCCCAAAATAGGTGACCAATAACATTGAAGATACACACAAATTGAATACCAATAACCTACGGATATACCCCATATTTAACAGACACATTACACAGCCCTAGATTGAAACGGAGCAAACATGATATATATATATATATATATATATATATATATATATAGAGAGAGAGAGAGAGAGAGAGAGAGAGATTCATAAAATGTATCTGATCAGATTTCCTTCTTTCACTTAAACATAAATATATAACGAAAAAGTTACACATTTCTTGGAAACCATGAATCGAATCCTGCAGGGTGCAGGAGTCGTGGATGCACACTGCCACTGATGAGTCCCATACCAGGACGAAACGACCGTCCAGTGCTTCCAGGTTTCTATTGGTGGTCTAACATTGATCGATTCATGGTTTCAAAAAAGTATTATTATATTGCTTATAATTTGATACATTATAATGGATATTTCTGACCTTTCTAATTAACAAATGATAATTTTAAAGTATCTTTGTTAGAACAAGTGAAAAAGTTCAACATTTTTGATATTTAACATTGTTTTTATTCAATAACATATACTTTAGTTTTGGTCTAAGAAAAGAGTAATACAATCATTATGAACTTATAACTCTATAAAGATTGATGATAACAAACTAATTGAAAATAATTGTTCACTGAAACATTTTTTTTTCTCATTTTTAAATATTCTACAGAGGTTTTTTAAACTGTTGATTTCCATTCATTAAATAAATATAAAAGCAAAAAAAAATTAACTCTTAATCAAAATTCCAAAATATTAAAGTTTTCTAATTTTAAAAAAAAATCGAAACCAACTATTGAGAATTAGTGCAAAAAAATGTTGTTTATTTGCTTATGACAACGACATTACTAAAAAAAACGAAGATAGTTGAGCTATATCATGAACTGATTGAATTTAGAAAAGTAATACATTGAATGTTAACTCAACTTGATTAAATATTAAGTGTTCGATTCAAAATGTTGGGTTCCATGCTTCCATACTTCGGATTCGTTGGCCAGACACTATCAGCAACAACTTACTTTGGGAGAGGACAAACCAGATTCCAGTGGAGGAGGAAATCAGGAAGAAGCAGTGGAAGTGGATAGGACACACACTGTGAAAAGCATCTAATTGTGTCACAAGACAAGACCTCACATGGAACCCTCAAGGTCAACGAAAAAGAGGAAGGCCAAAGAACACATTATGCCTAGAAGTGAACACAGAAATGAGAAGAATGAACGAAAACTAGAAATAACTAGAAAGGAAAGCCCAGGACAGAGTTGATTGGAGAAAACTGGTGTGCGGCCTATGCTCCATTGGGAGTAACAGGCGTAAGTAAAGTAAGTAAGTAAGTATGCTTGCTAAAGTCGTAGTCACTCAATGATAAGCTAGCTGTTCAATGTTTCCTGTGTTTCCAGTGACTGTTTAACTAAAACCGATTTGTAGCATAAGCCGAAAAAACACAATAAAGTATACGGAAATCTAAAACGTCGATTGGCAGGATTAATTTACAAGCCTCTACAAGCATTTCAATTATAGCAAGGAACGTAAAACACAGCCTCGTGAAATAATTGTTATTATTATTTAAAAAAAGAAATACTTATTATCTTATTAGGATGATAACAATAATTCTATTTTTTTTTCTAATCACTTACATGTTTTAAACGTTGTTCATCCAATAGAATATTAGTGTCAAAATAAAGTTGATTCAAACATTCATAAGCATAATTAAAAATTAAATCAGTGAAATGTCCAGTTTTTTGCATTTCATTACTTTCTAATGATGATTTTGGTGTTTTTAATGATGATAATATATTGGATGTTGTAGAAGAATAAGGTATTTGAAATCCAACTGGATCAATTAGAATTAATTGTGCTGCAACTTGAAGTTGATTAGATAAATTTGATTTTGATGTAGATAAACAGCTAAAAGAAAACACAAAAAAATGTATTATTCAGTAATAATAGTGAATCATAGTTTTATTCACTACTATAAACCTGATCAGTGGTACAAGTTTTTGAAGATTATTGAATGTTATTGATATTGACCGATGTTAGAATTCCATTACAAACTAGCGAGGACTAGACAATTGTTTCGTTTTTACATGGGACTCCTCAGTAGTGCATATACACCAACTAGCCATAAGGAATCGATCCGACGGGGCCGGAATTCCGTGTTGTAAATGTCCGACCTCAACAAATTCGCAATAATGTGTGACGGTTTTTCATTATACTCTCTATGTAACTGCATTAGATGTTTGAAATCTGTTAGATAATGATTTTCGCTAGAAATCCGGGAATCACCACTCGAATTCAGTCACCAATGAGTATATGTTTGAAGATTAAATGATCGCTTGTAAAAGCGGTGTTGGGTCTAATCTCTCTCTCTCACGGTATCGTGAGTGGGTGGTATTGCTGAGAAATCTTATACTAAAATGAAATAATACCTCCGGGTTTTCAGTGGACCTTCAACTTACGTCTGTTCTTGAAATCAATAACTACAAACTGTTCTACATTCAAACCATGTGAACAAAATTCAGGATCAGCAGATGACTATGATACATAAAAACACACTGTAGTCGAATTAAACATGATTTATTGAAGCAAACTTTAAATGATTGCAATAGTAATTCCGTTTTGCTAAATTGGCATCTGCAAGGGATACTAAAATGTCTATATATAACCGCAATTTTTTGCGATAAGAAAAAACTTCTGGCCATTAAATATTCCTTTCTACTATACTACAAGTCAAATTTTATATGGAATTTAAGAATGAAATTCAACTGTTTGATGAACTTTTAAACTACATTCATGGTTTTGTGATTTTATTTTTCCGCTTCCATCGTTCAAGATCTCTAACCATTGGTGACTTTCGTCTTGCGGGCAGGAACCATGTAGTCTATATCTGCCAACATGACACAATCCAGTTGTCAGTGAATTCACGGATTTGTGTCATGTTTTGGTTTGGCCGCCCCTAGCTTTCTTCCAACCTACTCATACATCCATCACAAAACATAGGTCGTCAAGGCAGTTGCCATAAGCTCTCACTCGACCAGCGGTGTTCGAGTAGAGAGCCTGTATAAGGTTAATGTACTTCTTTTGGTACACCTTTTAATGACAGACACTGCCACAGAACCTCACGATCCACACAGTCGAATGCCGTATTAAGGTCGAGAAATACTACTATTGTTGGGTGTCTGAACAGGTTTCTTTGTTCTAGGAGCTGAAGTAGTGTTAAAATGTGGTCCATACAGCCACGTCCAGGTCGAAAATCAGCCTGGTTTGCTCGAGTCTGCTTTTCGCGAGCTTTCGTTAAGCATGGGAGTATTATTTAGGCCAATATTTCAGATACTATATTAATTAGACTTATTCCTCTGTGATTATCACAAGGAGACTTTTGTCCTTTTTGTAGACAGGGACAATCACGGATTGAGACCAGTCAGATGGGATTACGCCCAGTTCCCAAATTCTTCCTAAGGTCTCAGTCCATTTAACTGCTAAAACTTGACCACCATCCTTGAAAGAAAATTATCTAATAGCCAATAAATTAATTTATCAAAATCAAAACTGTCTTTCACTAGCTGAACTATTAAACTTATTCTTCATTCATTATATCCAATAGGCATAGATTTTTGTCAATATATTCTTCATCTCTTGTTCTTAACAAAAAGTATAACACGAAAAAGAAAATAATTATCACTAATTGTAGTGTTCATATTTCAGACTACTACTTATCTATCAGCTTAATAATGCGTGAGTATGTCCCAGTTAACATGGATACAGTTTCAACAAATATATATATATATATATATATGAACTGAAAAATTTACACAATAAAAAAGAAAATAGCCCATACAATTGAGGATATCGACAAAATCATTATTATCCTGATTGAAAATTTTTTTAGAAATCAGTTTCACAGACAAGTTATCATGATCGGATATACAACAAAATGGATTGATATATTAAAAAAAAAGGAAATGATTCACTGAATCAAGAGTTCAACAATCTTAATTCACAATCACAATATGAAACATATTATAAGGCGTAAATCAAGTTCAAATAAAAATTGACTTGAAATAAAATGAATCAATAATTTGCAAGGAAAGTATCAATCACATCTATTCTCATGTTATAGATGGATAAACAGATTTTTTAACAGATTTACAAATGACAACATTATTATTTTAGTTAGAGATTTGGAGATTTGTGTTTTTCACACATTTGAAATCATCAATCGATCATTGTTGTTAGACCACCATTAGAAACCTGGAAGCACTGATAGACGGCCATTTCGTCCTGGTATGGGACTCATCAGTTTCAATGCGCATCCACGACTCCTACACCTCGCAGGACGCGAACCCTGGACCTTCGGTATTTTGCGTGAACGCCTAACCATCGGACCACTCGGTCGGCATCCAACAGTGTTAATGTCTAACTCTGATTGATCTAGGCATTTGGTGCAACCCCACCCATTTGCCTTTGGTAGTTACTGCCTACACCCGACAGGGTTGAACTCCACTGATTACGTCCTCTCAACTAGAACTCCGAGAATTTCCTCATGAAGCTAGTCACTAGTGAACACTGTTATGATATTTTCAGTTAGAGCTTTAGAGATTTGTGTTTTTACACATTTGAAATCATCAATTTTAAACAACGTGACGTATATATGTATATACATATATATATATATATATATATATATATATATATATATATATATATATATATATATATATATATATATTAATATCATCTAATTGATTTTCATTATTGTTAATCAAAGGCGAAAAAAACTGTTAACTTTTATCGATCATTCACAAAAACACCTCTGTATTAAGTTATATTATTATCGTTTATTTACCCAGTACTGCATCATTACTGAAAAATAATTTTAATGTTTATCTGTTTTTTGTTTTGTTTAGAATAAATAACAAAATGAGTTGAAAATCGATAAACGATGAAAGAATCTGATATAAATACATATATATATATATATATACCTGGTTCAGGTGTAGGTACTATGATATCGATCTTCAAAAAAAAATACATAAAGACTTTTAATACTAGTCGATTCTCTAAGCTACCACTACACGGCTTTAAAAACGTATGTCAATTGAAACCGATTAAGCCAAGTATAAAATTAAGATATTCATATATGGAATGTGATTATTAACAACTTATATGAAGCAGTCAACGATACAGTTGAACCATGTTCGGAACGAGACATGTAATAATGATGTATGAGATTGAGTCACAACTGACTCATATCCTAAACTAAATATGATAACATATCTTGAGCCCTTTGGTCACATGATTTCTGATAAGCTATTCAGGCGGTTTTGATGTACTGACAGATGTCAGTTTCGCACAGTCTTTTTTTCTGTAACACGATATCGCATCATAAACTGACTACTTTCCCTTTGACCATGTCGGTCGTCAGCTCCGTTTACGTGAACATCAATTAGCAGTCAAACGCCACGACAACGCTTCGCTTATCTCAATACATATCTACAACTATGGACACACATTTGATTGGAATAACGTGGAAATACTGGGTAGGGGGAGGACAAAGAACACTAGAGAATTTTTAGAAGCTTGGCACTCAGGTCAATTAGCAATCAACAAACACATCGACATTGACCCAATTTATCAACCAATCAGGAGAATCATAGATGACACTGGATCAAGAAACAGATCAAAAGAGGGAGGCAATCAAAACATAGTTGCAAACAACGACAGGTCAAAGGTCAACAACAACCAATCAAGATCGAGGTTAGCACAACAAGCTACAGGTCAAACGTGGAGAGATTCTAATGCTTCACTTCTATCTGAAGTTCGTGCTGACGATGTTGTTCAGAAGAACAATGAAAGCTCCACAACCAAAACAACCAGCTCAGAGAACGAAACACCACCACAAACTTTTAAGGTGCACCATTGATCAACATTTCATCACAGAATACACGCCTATCATACGAACCAAAGATACAACACCAATTGTTATCTTCGTGTTGAGATTTTCTCGCCAACTTGAAGCACACTACCTGGTTGGGGTCCGCGAGATGATAATAATCGATAGTTAGAGACCTTGAATGACATGACTCGAAATCATTCGCTATGGCGCCGGTGCATTTATGCTTTGTGTTCTCTCAAATTCTAATCCTCTGGATTCTAATCCTAACCTCTTCGATTACTTCTCATACCTTTACTACCTCTTCTACTATTGGATTTGAATTGACAATTACATCTCTGTGCTGATGTGTGGTATGGCAACATGAACTGATGTACTTATGTACAAAGTTCTACGTTGCATCTGACTGACTGACTGACTGACTGACACTATATATACATACATATATAGACACATTTAATGTATACACCTCACATGTATCATCCAATAACAAAAATTCTACAAATCTTAATTCGAATTAAGCACCAAATCTATTTTATCTTTGTGTTGATGATATATGTATGTATCAATAGAACCATCAGGTAGACAATAATAAAAAAAATTGGTATTAACAAATTTGTAAAAACAAAAAAACAAACAATCAAATGAAAAAAAAATTATCAAAAATATGCAGTTATGTTTGAGATAAAAAAAAACAGAAAAAAAGGTAGATCAAATAAGATATACAAATTAACATCAATATATATAGTTAGACCAAATAATAAAACCAAATAAAAAAACATACCGATTCATTAAATTAACTAATATATCCACAATGATATTGTAAAAATTTTGTACAAATGCATATAGACAATTTTTAGCAGTCCATTTCATTGATGTATTATTATGACTTTGATGATGATGAGGAGGAGGAGGTTGAGGATTTGTCGACGATTGACAAAGTATTGGATAAAAGATAAGTTCATTTAATGTATCCAATGAACAATGCAATAAATAAGCAGCATATTGTGCTGATTGATAATTTTTAAAATAATATTTTGAATTTTTAACAGGATTTAATTCATCATGACAATAACCAGCACAACCTAAATGATAAATTACAGCTAATAAACGTGTTATACCACCAGTTAACCATTCTTGTTTTATATTAAATTCTAATAATTCTGCATCATTACATAATTGATTCCAAATTTTTTTAGCTGATACTTTATCTTCTGGCTAAAAAAAAACAAAAAAAAAGAAAATACAATGAAGAATTGATCAAGTAATTAAACAATAAAAATTGTCTTACGGGGGTTGTGAAGATTGTTAAGTTACACATTTTCCAGGTTTCTAATGGTGGTCTAACATTGATCGATTGATGGTTTCAAAAATGTGTAACTTAACAATCTTCACAACTCCGTAATGCAAATTACCTATGCTCACTAGTGACTAGCTTCGTGAGGAATGTTCTCCGAGTTGTAGTGGGAAGACGTGACTGTGAAGTTCAACCTGTTCGGGTGTAGGCAGTGTCTACCGAAGACTGGGTATGAGGTTGCGTAACTCCGTGAATTGATCAAGTTAGACATTAACACCGTTAGAAACCGGCTCAGTGGTCCGATGGTAAGTCGTTCGCCTACAATACCGAAGGTCCTGGGTTCGAATCCTGCGGGGTGCAGGAGTCGTGGATGCGCACTGCTGAGGAATCCCATACCAGGACGAAACGGCCGTCCAGTGCTCCCAGGTTTCTAATGGTGGTCTAACATTGATCGATTCATGGTTTCGAAAATAAAAATTGTACAAAGCATGCATAAACAAGAGAATAACTGTACTGACATTTCCTATGTTCCAGTCCCAGTATATTACATACTCAAGTAAACAATGTTTGATCAATATGATTTGGCAAACTTTCGTCTTAAACTTTAAGTCTTGATCATTGTTTTATTGTGCTGTATACTTGAAACACTTCATTTAATCAACCAAAATCTATCGGTTGTAAATGGATACAGAAACAACTTCAAGTTTACACTCTAACTTTAATCAGTGCATCATTATGCGCAAGCTTATATCGATTGTCTGTGGCAGAAAATTGTCTTACATTTGGCAAAGATGCAAGACTATAACGTTAACACCGTTGGATGCCGGTTGAACAAACTTTAACTATAAGAAACAACGACACAATACTGAATTTCAAACAAATTGAAACACGCGTAGTCAGTCAGCTTAGTCGTAGAACCTGATGTGTACGTACATCCGTTCAATTTGCCATATTATAATAGCACAGAGAACGAATAGGCGATTAAAATCCTATAGTAGTAGAGGTAACAGAAGTATTAGCTGTGACGGAGAACACTAGGATTCGAAGATATGATTCAAGAGGCATTAACTAGTGAAATAAATTAAAAAAGAGTAAAAACGAGCATGAAGAATTCAGAAGATTAGAAACTGAGAGAATAAAAAAAACGGATGCATTTGTGCTATTGCAAACGATTTCGAGCCATGTTATTCAAAGTTTCTAATCATCGGTTACAATTGTCTGGCAGCACCCAACAAGACAGTCTATACCTACCAACATGACTCAGTCATATTGTCAGTGGCTTCATCAATTTGTGCCATCTTTTGTTCTGGACGCCCCTAGCATTCTTCCAGCCTACTTCTACATCACAAAACACCGCTCGCCGAGGCAATCGGTGGTTGGGCATAGGTGACTGACGGAGATTCATTAATTTATCTATGTATCTGCCATTCTTACGTAGTACCCGTTTCTCAACACCAGCATTGCTTACTCGACTGTCCCAGGATATACAAGTAATGCTGCGAAGACACCGATGATCGAATACTAATAACTTAAGAATATCCTCTACTGTTACTGGTCATGTTTCACAGCTATAGATTGGGACGGAGCGAACTGCTGCGCAGCACACTCGTCCTTTGGTTAGCGATCGCAAGTTGGCAAAAGCCAGTCAAGCCTGCTGCATCTGTGCTAAGATTTCGTCAGTCACCAGGACATCAGCATTGATGAGACTCTGGAGATAATGGAAGCGGGCGAAATGCTCAACTACTTCACTCCCTATTACTAGTTCAAGTGCCAATCCAAGCCAATCCTGAAGCAACATTTTGCATTTCGACGGAGAAAATCGCATCCCAAACACGCTTACATTGTTGCTTAAGTTGGTCAGAAGACTCTGCATTTTGTCAGAGTCTTCATCAAATAGAACTATGTCATCAGCATGTTCTAAGTCAACAAGCGGACCTCCGGATAGAACGTCAAGCTCAGAAAAGTGAAACGATGAAAGTTTCGTCTCTAAAAGCATGTGAGTAACAAAGTTGAATAAGAACTGAGATAGTGGACAGCCCTAACGAACACCTTTTGAAGTAATCAACTTGGATGACAGTTCTCCATAAGCTCTGACTTGGCCAGTAGTGTTCCAATTCTCCATGTTAAATGTAATTTATTAGGTTACAACAAATCAATTATAAATAAGGGAATGTTCAGTTTATCCAAAAAAGAGGATGATTGAAATGATTTGAAAATTATAACACAGCTTAATAATTCAGTTAATTACTGATATAAACTGGAATTCCAATCACTAAGTAAACAATTAAATGTAAACACTATGTTGTAAAATAAAGTAAGATTGATTATCTTTTTTTTTTAAACTTCAAAACAAGATTTTCATTTCATCGTTACATCATCATTAAATGCAATAGAAAATTTCAGTGCCTCCACATATATTCCAGTTCGCTTACATCTAACTTGGTTAAGCCCTTTCCATTAATTTATTTAACCAAGCCATTTGTATAGCAACAATTTATATGTACCATTCGTTCTTATTATTGTCTGGTTTGTATGAGCTCACATGACATGTCCCACTTGTCATTTGACCTTGTCAATCATTCGTCGCTTTTATTCATGTGTGCCTATTTCGCTTGTTGCATGTCTGCCTTATTTTTGTCTGACTGTATATTCTTAGTCATGCCCTATCTCTTGGAGTTGGCTCAACAGCCTTCTCCAACGCGCTTCGCCCATTCGTTTGCATTGTAATCCTAGGAGTTGGCTCATTAGCCTTCTCCAATTCACGTCGTTTCGTACGCTTTGTTCGCTGCTCTTCAACTTCGCTTTAAGGTGTGTCCAGAAATAAACGTATTCATTACTTCTAATTCATCTTCTGATTTATAACCGTCAGACGCTACTTTGTAACGATTGTCTAGACGAGCTAATTGCGAAGCATAAGAACACCTCGAATTCGGCACACTAACTAATTAACTATTCGAATGAGACAATTAAATAATGAAAGTAACCAAATATTAAAGGCGAGATGAAATTCAAATCAGCTTATTTAAAGTAATAAATACTAAAATGCTTATCCTAATGTACTTATTGTATATATAGAATATGATTATGTTGAAGAAAGAAAAAGTATTGATCGAATTCTGATATTGATTTCTATCAGTGGAATTTAACTTGTTTACATTTAATTTTAAATGAAAAGATTTGTATAGTTTTAAAATGAACTTTTATGATGAAATGAACTTGGTTAAAGTGATAATAAAAGCTACAAAGGAGTATTTATTGGTTAATTGTTTCAGTCTAGTTTGAGGCTCCCCTCATCAATGTGAATCAGCTGTCAGCTACTTAATCAAAAGTCTGAATCACGCTTTATATGATTTGATTTGTCCAACTGGTTATTCTCAATAGTGCAGAGAGACAGATACAACATAGAACTTCGTACATAAGTACATTAGTTCAGGTTGCTATACCACGTCAGCACAGAGACGTAACTGTCAGTTCAAATCCAACAGTGATAGCGATAGTAAAATTGTTGGCAGCGATGGTGTTTGGGATGTTAGATCCCCAAAACTCGCTTGATAAATGCCTCATTTTGGTTTTCACGTTTGCCAGCATAGACTGATCACTTGACCTTGAGATTCCATTTCCCACCAGCAAAATCCATGGCTGTGATTGGCTGCTGTGTATTTTAGTGTGCTATTTTCATAACTGTCCCAAGGACGTTTCTATGATGTATACATAAACGTGAGTTATATGCTTGATTGTATTGTGATTGCTGGGTGTTTGCAGAATATACTTTCTACGCTTACAAAGTCTTCTATCTTCAGCTTGGGATTCAAGGTAGCCTATCTGGACTCTGGTAATTGTCTCGTTCACGTTTATCGACTAAGGTGAACTCGTAACTAGCTTCAGGCGTACCTAGTGACGAGCGTAACAAATGGAGAAGATTAGGGAGCAAAGATATGATTCGAAAAGTATAATTCAGTACACATATAAAGAATGAGGCCTACATCCACCAGGTTACATGAATCTGTATATGGTAAGCGAGTTAATTTAATATGAATAGGAAGACCTGAACCCTAAAAAGCACTTTAACCTTGTTCTAAAGAATAAACAATGTGAATATAATTCATAAAATCAAAAAATGTTATTATTAATTTTAAAAACAACATACAATCTATTGAAAAATAGATTATATATACATTTTTCAGATCATAAGATCAATATTATGAATGGAAAGGATCTCTATTCAATGATGATTAATTATAAGATTCCCATTCAAAACATACTTTAGTATGTGTATTTTGCATCTATGAAGTGATAAAATTTCTGTGTCAAACCTGAAAACCCATTATTCTACTTGGGAATGATGATTGAATTTTTACAATAAATAATTCCTTGACTGTACAAGTTTTAAGCCAATAATCTGGAGATAAATTTCATGAACTAAAAAACGAGAGCCTATCGTCACAACACAAGCCCTTACTTGAGATCCCTCAAGGACAGAGGAAAAGAGGAAGCTCAAAGAACACATTATGCCGAGAAATAAAGACAAACATGAGAAGAATGAACAGAGATTGGACAGAACTGGAAAGGGAAGCCCAGGACAGAGTAGGTTGAAGAATACTGGTCGGCGACCTATGCTCCATTGGGGGGCAACAGACGTAAGTATGTAAGTAAGTTCTTGTCACATAAGCATTAAGTTCACTTCAATTACTAGGTGTCATAGTCAGTTATTATATGAATATATATACATATAATACCCGATTATCTAAATCCTACCACATTAGTTCCCTAGAAAATCCACCTTATAGAACTATATGTTAACATTCTATATTCTATTCAGTTCCTACATTATTTATACAATGCAGAGCATTTCTTGCACAATACTTAATTACAGATCAGATTAATTTAATTTATTAAAACAGATAAAAACTTTTCCACTTTTCTACTAATACACATGAGTATGAGAAATTAATCAGCATCTTGAAAGTAGCCTAATAATAATAATAATAATAATAATAAGAAGAAGAATAAACTTTTAGGCGACTAACATGAATGATGCTTATTAACAAACATACACAGGTATCTATCATAAGCAATATATGTATGTTTATTATCATTTTTATAAAAACCACTTATACATCTATAGACTTTTACGGAAAATTTGAATTTTGTGTCTTCAGTCATATATTATGAAGTATAAAGTATGATCATTATTCTCGAATTTATCATTCTACATACATACATGCATACATATATATATGCAGGTAAGTGGCCTTAATTATGACATTGTTAAAATTGTAAAATTAAACTGTACTCAGTGAAAATGAAAAAATTCTCAATCAATCAATCAATTAATCAGTCCATCAATCCAACAACAACAACTATAACAACAATGACGTAGTAAGTAATACACTACTGAGCATAATAAACAAACATTGAATATTTTGAAATCAAAAAATAGAGAAATGTATGAAGAATGAGAAAATGAAAGCAGAAAATGTATAGAAAATAACAAAAGAAAACAGTATGCAGTAATTTGAGTCATTCCTATTAGTCATGCGTAATGTAGAGCCTGATATTTATGTGAATCGATCCAAGTTGACAATTATAACACATCATTATTATTACAGGCAGATGAAGTTATCAAGACAAATCCCACAGCAGTACAACAAATAACAATATCAGTAGTAATAATAATGATAATATTAGGAAACATCTGGTGTAAACAATGCGATTCCACAATAATCAATCAATTAATAGGATGAAAAGCATAAAACAATGTCAAAACTTAAAATCTAAGTGAAAGTAAAGAGAGAGTGAATGTGTCTATGTCGGGGTAGATGATGGTTGTCCGACCGAAGCTGCTACCTTGACGTGGTGGTCGTGCTTGCCTATCGTAATGACCTAACCGAGCTATATTGGCTGGAACTTACGTTCCTATAGGTTCTACCTTTCCAGGCAGGTCGTTTGGAGAACGATGAGACTAAAACCAGCTACTCAAGGTCTGAGGGTGAAGTAGTACTGCTGACTGTGATTGAGGGGTGTGACAGCAGTAAGGTGTTTCCCTCGGACAACCAGCATCTGCAGCGATGGTGCCTTCTCGCAAGGAAGGAAGGGTTAGAAAAGGTCGACACTAAAAATGTCACACCTCACCCTACCTCACAGATTTCCGTCTGCGGCGGTAAGGGTGCCCACTAAGGGCTTTTAAGCGCGGAACTAAAACTCAAAAAACCTTTCATAAAAAGGCCGTGAGTGATCGGCCTCAAGCAGTTGTCCCTTAGGCTCTGCGGTCACGCTCCCAGGTCTGTAAGACCGCCACCAACCTACCTTCCTTTTCAGGTTCCTCAAGAAACACCCTTCCCAAGGTGTGGGCAGTGGGGAAGTGACAACCGCCCTCATACCCGTAACAGATGGTGGTTGGGCATACGTAGCACATCTTATTTGCTGAAGATTTATTCTCTTATGAACTGATTCACCATTTTTGGTAGAGTACTTTATATTTAATCTCAACAGTGCTCATTCATTGGACTAAGCTTACTACACATCAGCAACGCTTCAAAGACATCTATAATTAAATACTAGTAACCTATAGATATCATCTTACAAAATTTCAACAAATTAACTATAAGACACAGGTTTTTCAACTAGATTATTTTTTTTAGCAGATTATAGTGATTTAATACAAGAATATTTGAAAAAAATAAAAATATATTACGATATTACCAAAGAAATATTTTATATAATATTTCAAAGAGAAAAAAACAATCTTCTGTCAAAAGCCAACAATAAATGATTTCATAAATTTATGATAAATTCTTTCAAAATTTTAATCATTTTATTTCATGAAAACTATATGCGGCTACCCTCTCTCGTATAAGATATTTTCACAGTTATTTGTTTTAATTGGAAAATATTATTGATCAGTTAATGATATCAATGCCTCTGTACGCTTGTAAACGCTACTTATTTTCACAATAAACAACTTTTCACACGAAAATATTAAGCATTCTTTTCTATGTCCATTGGTGTATTACAAATAAAAGATTAGAATTATTGTAAGCGATAATATATATACAAGGAAAATAATATTCATTCACAGAATACGAGAAATTATGACTTACACGATGCAGACGAGTCATAAATAAGTTTGGTGCATCTAAATCAGTTAGGAATAATTCTCGTCTAAAAAATGAAACAAGAAAACACAAAATTGAATTCTACTACACCATGTAATATTACTTTAGTTATATGAAGGATTATTCATGAAGTGTCGTGCAAGCTAATCGCTGATCTCTTTATAACACGTAGATCCTACTGGTTATCAGTCAGTCAGTCAGTTGCAACGTAGAACTTCGTACGTAAGTACATCAGTTCATGTGGCCAGGTAACAATTTCTAATTATTAGCGATTTGGAATAATCGATGGCTATTTCAAAATCGAAAGATAATCTAGATGATTCGTATTTGATGATAATTTGGTATTTTCTGAAATTTCCATTACAAGGCTAAATGACATTTTCCTTTTTACTTAGTCCTGTTACCTCTAATGGAGCACAGGTCTCATCAACCAACATTCTCCAACCAACTCTGTCCTAGGCCTTCATTTCCAGTTCTAACCAATCGCTAATCATTCTTTTCATGTCTGTTTGCAATTTTCAGTACAGTATGTTCCTTGGTCGACCTCATTTCGTTTGGCCTTGAAGGTTCGTGAACCAGTTGAGTACTTTTCGTAATGTGTTACCACATCTTCCAGAGCTTTTCCATCAAGTGTGATTTGGTCGGTGTATGTTGTGTTGTGTCTAAAAATCTTGCTTTTTTGTTTGCAGAGGCTGCTACTGTACTGGCCGTTTTCATCTGCATTTGTTCGTGTGTGTGGGATAGCAGAACTAGCGAAGAACAAGTCTTCCAGACTCATCCTAGCTGTCCATTGCATGCCATGCTTCCGTTCAAATGTTGATGCCTTCATAATGCAGTCGATCATCAGGAGAAAGAGTGAGATTAAGCAACCTTGCCTGAACGAGTCAGTCAGCTGTCCTCCATGCACGATCTTGCAGTTTAATCCGTCATAAGAACTCCGTATAATGCTGACTATCTTCTCGGGCACACCATAGTGTTGCCCTGTCCACACGATTAAATACTTTCTCATAGTCAATGAAATTGATGTACAGTGGTGAATCCCATTCAATTAACTGTTCCACAATGACCCGTGGTGAGGCGATTTGGTCGGCACATGATCGATCCTTACGGAATCCAACTTGCTGGTCTCAAAGTAGGGTATCTATGGAATCTTTTATTCAGATTAACAACACTATGTCGAAAAATTTTCCTTGTATTGAGAGTAGCATAATGTCTCTGTACTTATCACACTTGTTGAAGTCTTCTTTCTTCGGTATTTTGTTGAGGTGCCCTACTTTCCAGTGTGTTGGTACTTGTTCTTCCATACAAGTGTTGCTGAACAAAGCATGAAGTATCTGTTCAGTTAATGCTTTGTCTGCTTTTAATACCTTAGCTGGCTATGTGGCTTTACCACTCTTGATTTGTCTGACTTGATAACATTTTATTGCGTCTGTCGGATAAGGTCATACGAGTTAGCCTTAATTTGAAGGGTGATGATATGTAACATTATTTTAACTACATCAATAATAATAGTAGTTAGATTAGTAAATAAATGTGAAGGATTGGGACAGTTCTTACCACAGACTAATATTATCAAAATAATAGCGGTTAACCAAGATATATTGGACTCATCAGTAGTGTTCGCTCACAACACTCTATCATGGTGTTCATGGTATTTCAATCTAGCTCTATTCATGATACAAAAACGAACACCATTTTATGAGAAATGTCGTAATTCTAAATTCTATAAATCCTATTTCCGCTTACAATTAAATTAATAACACTGTACAGAATTATTATAATAACGGAGGGATAAATATGCCTCCCTCTAAATATTCAAACACCAATCTTTCAGGTCTGAAGTCTCATTTATAACTACTACTGGGGTTAATGAATTACGACTTTGGACAATAACTGATGTCTGTTTAACAGGAATTACGTGGTTAAAACATCGAACAGATATCATTAACACACTGCAATCTACCAGGGGAAATATTTGAGAAAAAATAGAATGTTGAATTATCAGACTTCATAGTTGGAGCAGAGTCAATCACTCTGTTGTTAAATTGACCACAGATAGAGCTATCAAAATCCGATCAACAAATAATTTTAAATATCCTTTATGAGAAAAGATTACACTAACTAACCTTGACTCTTCATCCAAACCAGCTAACATATAATAAAATATATGAAAATTCGGTTCACCTTCAGGACGATCAGTGACACGACTACGTTCAAACAATAACAATCGTGTTGTTAAACCTGTAATAATTAAACTCATATTTTCCGGTTGATTAACTATTGGTAAAGAATGAATACTAGCAAATTCTAATGAGAATAAACGTAAAGCACGACTTCCATTGGTATTAAGAATAATACGTGAACAAGTGAATGAATCAAGCATATTGAATAGGGCACGTAAACGATTACCTACAGTTTTGAAAAAAAAAACAAGAAGCAAGATATATATATATTGATGAAATATATAGAGATAAGTGAATAACTGTTTATTATTATTATTATTATTATTATTATTATTATTATTATTATTATTATCGTTATTTGTTACATAAATAGTGAATGACTTCATGAAACAATATAGACAATAATATCTTGATAAATAGAAATACGAAGTAAACCAATGTCCATAAATGATGTTTGTATGCAAAAGAAATAGGAATTTATGACTCATTGGCTTACAAGATCTAAGCTTGCTTAATTAGATTTCATGCAATAAGTTTATTTAATTTAATTTAGTTTAATCAAATGGTACAGTTAAGTTTACAAGAATAGTTTGTGAAATCAACTTGATTATGAGCTCATTGAACTACGCTTAGAGCACAATGTATAATTGGGTTCGTTGTATATAAAGGAAACATCCATTGGAATATTATTTACTAACTTTCGCCTGTTTCACCCGAAGGAACATAGGCTGCCGACCAGTGTTCTCCAACCAACTCTGTCCTCGGCATCCCTTTCCACTTCTTTCCAGTTTTTGTTCATTCTTCTCATGTCTTTCTTTCTCTATTTCTCGGTGTAATGCGTTCCTTGGCATTCCTCTTTTTCTTTTACATTGAGGGTTCCAAGTGAGGGCTTGCCTTGTGATGCAGTTGGATGATTTCCTCAATATATATCCTATCCACTTCCATCGCTACTTCCTGATTTCCTCCTCCACTGGAATCTGGTTTGTTCTCTCACACAGTAGGTTGTTACTGATACTGTCTGGCCAACAAATCCTCAGTATTTTGCATAGACAACTGTTCATAAATACTTGTATCTTCTGGATGATGGCTTTGGTAGTTCTCCAAGTTTCCGCTCCATACAGTAGAACTGTCTTGACATTGGTTTCGAAAATCCTGATTTTGGTGTTGATTGATATTTGTTTGGAGTTCCAGATATTTTTCAAATGTAGAAATGCAGTCCTTGCTTTGCTGATCCGCGCCCTTACATCTGCATTGGATCCACCTTGATTGTCGATGATGTTGCCCAGATATGTGAAGGTGTTAACGTCCCCCAAGGCATCTCCATCAACAGTGATTTGTTTGGTGCATGTTATGTTGGATCGCAGAATCTTGTTTTTCACTTTATGTATGTTGAGACCTGCTGCTGCTACACGGATCGTCTTCTCATTTGTATATTAAGTGACCAATATATCATTTCAATAATTTAAATTGTATTACTCTATTGATATAAAATATGATTCATGAAATCAGGTATTTGTACGTGGTAAGTATTCGATGTAATCTCTGTTACAATAATCATTGATTGAATATGACAGGAAAACTGAATGGGTAATGAGAAGATTAGGCCAAAGACCTTATTAACTCGAATATTTGGAATATGTCTAAACCTTTCACAATAAACTGGTTGAAATCGGATTATATATTTAAGAACAGCAGTAGGAGTAATCTAGCCTAATCAGGATACATGATACAATGTAACAATTGGGATTAGTTACACAAAGAAAACGAAACTTAAGCACTTCTCAGTTTACTAACCACGAAAAACAATCAATTAACCGTATTTTAAATTGTATAAATCCTTTGGTATTGTTTATAAATAATATTTTCTTATTCAGATAAATGGAATGTAAATATTGTATAATCCCTTATTTGAAGGCTTTGTTTGTGAAAATCCCTCCATGTATACATTTATAATTTGTCCTTATTGATTCCTTCAGTTGTACATTTTGTTAATCTGTTCGATTCCATTTTGAAATGATAATATTTGTATTTTTGATTATAGTTTCTATTTCTTCTGCCTTTACTGAGTTTCGATGTTTCTTGGTGTTTAAGCTGATACTTAATCATGGCGACAGCCATATTGATTTGTTCCTCTTTTTATTGTGTCGGTTGCTTGCTTGGACTGGAATTGTGCATTTTGATTGTGAATTGAAGCACTTTTCCAGAATAGGAAACACTCTGTGTTTTAAAGCAACCAAATATTATCTGTCGAACGAATCTGATCTATCCAGTAGTGATAGAATATCATTTATTGGTTGCTGTTGATTTGATTAATTGAACAATCGTTGGTGGGATAGCTGTGGTAATATTGTCTAAGTAATCACGTATACTTTTATTTATGATGAATACTAATTAGAACCATTATTCACCCAGATCACTTGTTTTGATTTCAACTGGTTAACAAGACGCGTATCTAAACTACCAAGACAATTATTCCTACATGCCAAACCTCAGTTTGGATCCGATATGCAAAACTATGAATAAATCTTCCTAATACTACACATAATATTATCAAATAATGTATTGTGTTAGATTTCACAACAGTATAAGCCATGAAGTGTTGTTTGAATGTTTTTAACGTAACGCCACACTATGAAACTGTCTGACAGAAAGAAATCGATTATCTACTCTCAAAATTAGGCTTTTTATATTACATACACAGGATAAGTTGGAACACCTCCTGCCTACATTTACTAATCTATAAATTTTAGAAAAAAAAAAAAGACATTAAATTTGAACAGCATGAACAAATCAAAAAAGCACCAACAAAACAAAATGTAAAGCAAATTACTGTCAATTTCATTAAAGGTATCAATCACAGTAAGGAATAAATTCACTAATTAATTAATGAATTAAGGAAAAAGAAAAGGTATATTTAAATATATTTACCATTGATTTTACTGGATAATATCGTGCTGTTGCTGCTGCTGTTACTACTGTTGTTATTATGAATTGACTGATTAAAAAGATTGATAGATTTTTCAGATTGATAAATCATATAAGTGAATATATCATTAGAGATATGTGTTTTACCAGAACCGGAACGACCTAATAAGCATAGAATTTGTTGATTTAAAGAATATGGTAAATGATAAATTGGATTTGTGCTGTTCAAATGATTTTCTTGTTGTTCCATTGTAACTATAGAATAGAATAAACGTCGTTTTAAACGAGCTAAAATTAATTGAGCCACAGAATAAACATGCGGTGGCATATTATAGCGTACTTGACAATCGGTAAATAAATCCATTACCTTGAAAAATAAAATTATCAATGATAATGTTTGTTATTTTCAATTTTGTTTGTATAATAAAAAAATTTAGAAAAACCGAAATTGTATAGGTTGACGCATGATTGCCTTTCTATTTATTTACAGCTGTTGGGGACGTTAGATCCCCAAATTTCACTTGGAAGAGACGGTTAGTTGACCTTCAGCTTACATTTACCACTCGGAAAATACTTGACTGTCATGAGTTGACGGATTATTTTAGCACGCTATTTTATCGCTCTGTCAAGGGCATTCATATCATTGTATAAATAAGCTTGAGTTGTGTGCTTAGCAACCTCTACTTTTCTGGGTGCCTATAGAATACATTCTCTATGCCTTATCGAGACTTCCTGCTCTAGTTGGCGGGGCCTGGGACAACAATCAGATTAGAATAACCTATCGTATCACTTCATCGTTGATCTTCGTTCCGTTTACCGAGTAAGGTGAACTCATAATAGTTAACCATATTTTGCAAAATTTCGTCACATGCTTTATAATACAGATCGATTGTGGTTAGTTAGCAGTGGAATCCAAGATGCATTTTCTAGTTTATTTGGGACATTTTTAACTGGATGCTCTTGCACCATAGTGTTAATGTTCACTTTGGACCTCGAACCTAAGACCTTTCTCTTCAAGTGTCAATATGTTATCCACTGAACTAGTCAACTCTTATAATCACTATCTTATTCATCAGGTAAGACATTTATATGATTACTACAAAGATTTTTAAATTACGTTGTTTTTTTGCTATGCATAACTGAATTCTTGATTACTGATTAATGATTACTTCACCTAGACTGCCTATCCACTGCCAATCACTTTAGACTAACCAGTGACATGCTAAATGTGAAATAACTGCTGAGCATAACATTAAATGATTATTAGTCCAGAATGCAATTTTCCAAGCTTACTCGCCAGCCCAACCTCTAATTATACAGTTCGAAATTTATGCATCACTCATACAATAGTATACAGCGAAATACTGACTGCACACTAACAGAATGAAGAAATTACAATATAGCCATAACTACAACCTAACTGAAAGAGGATTGCATGATAGGTCTGCAATAAGTTACCAGTAATTTGGGAAAGATATCACACACAACAATGACTTCGATGTCAGATAGAAACAAGTATAGTTTAAGTATTTAGACAGATACAACGCAGAACTTCGTATGTACGTACATCAGTTCAGGTTGCCATGCCCCAATCAGCACAGAGACGCAACTGTCAGTTCAAATCCAACAGTGATAGCAATAATGGAGAAGATTGGGGAGCGAAGATATGATTCGAAAAGTATAATTCAGTGAGATAAATTTAAAAGTTTAGGTATTTAACAATTATACAAAGAAAATGTAGTAATCACAAGTAAATATAAACAAATTGGAAACATGAAATTCAATCATCATTACTATTATTATTATTATTATTATTTTATGATCTCTTATCGTGTTGGTGTCCATCTCTACTCTTCAATCGATTAAATATCATTCATCCATATATACATACATTCTCTACAACCATTACGATTTTTACATCAGATATATATATATATATATATATATATATATATATATAGAGAGAGAGAGAGAGAGAGAGGGAGAGAGAGTAGGAACTAACAGAAGTGTACTTTTTTTCAAGAATTACGAAAAACTCACTTTATCCGAATAAATATTCAATGGCATCATTGGATTAATACTGATTAAATTGACGCCAGAAGCATAAGTGAATATTAGACCAGATCCATATCGTTGAATAAATGAATGTGTCACACTAGATTCATTAATATAACGCAATTTGATTAGATCATCAACTCGATCGAAACGAGGCGGATTTGCCTAAATTATAAAAAGTTGTTTTTTTTTGTTTTTGAAATTATTCAGTGAAAAATAGTACAGAAGCAGAAGAAAAAAATAATATTGAAATCGATTTTTTTTTTTAATAATTAAAATAAAAACGTTAAAAGCATTCTTTTTTTTGTTTATTTTCAACTGGTACATATAACTGGCATCTTTGTAAATAAATAAATAAATTCTAATCAATATAAATCAATTTTAATCATCTGGGTGAAAATAATGTAAACCTAAGTTGCCATTATTAACAACACAACATCAGTATAGGCAAATCAAGTTTTCAAGACAAATCCCACAGCAGTACAATTGGTCAGTCAGTTAGTCAGTTGCAACGTAGAACTTCGTACATGAGTACATAAGTTCAGGTTGCTATACCACATCAGTACAAAGATGTAATTGTCAGTTGAAATCCCATAAAGGTGAAGATAGTAGAGCAGTAATAGAGAAGATTAGGGAGCGAAGATATGATCCGGGTAGTAGGATTCAGTGAGATAACTTAAGAAAGAGATGATGAGGAATTCAGAAGATTAGAATTTTAGTGGACACAATAAACAGTACAATTGGAAACAATATCAGTAATAATAATTATAGAAATGATGAAAAGTATAAAATATTTTCAAAACTTAAAATCTAAGTGAAGGCAGAGAGAGTGAATGCATACGTACCATTGTGAAGGATTATAACTGATCTCAACCAACGTCTTTAACTGTTGGTCGTAATAACCAATCGCGCAGTAACCAGATAGTCTGAACCTACCAACAAAGCTGCGTACAAGTCATCCCTAGTCTCTTTCACACCTACTCCTACACCACGCAGCATAATCAACTTGAAACTAGTCATATTTTTCCTAGATCCCATATTGTTCATGAATGTCCTGGGATGAAAAACTTTTTATAGTATTTCTACGATGGAAAATGTTCATTTCTGTCTGGTTGACAATGAAAAATTGACCAGTTCGATAATTTATGAAATTATTTTCATGATTTAGAAAGAAACTGAACTTCACTTATTGATTATGTAATAAAAATCGTCTACATTGGCTTACAATTAACTTTACAAGAACAGATATAAAGCAGTGGGTAACAAATACCTACCATTTATCTGGTCAATAGTCAGTTAACAACAACATAGAATTTTGCACGTACGTACATCAGTTCAAGTTGCCATACCACATTAGCAAACAGATGCAATTGTCAATTCGAATCCCATAGTAGTAGGGGTAGTAGAAGTATTACCGGTAATGGAGAAGATAAGCATCTGAAGATATTATTTAAGAAGTATGATCTAATGAAATGAACTTAAAAGAAAAATACGAAGGTGATGAGGAAACCAGAAGGTTATGATTTGAGAGAACACAAAGAATGAATGCACCTGCGCCATTGCAGACGGTTCTGAGCCATGTCATTGAAGGTCTCCAACCATCGGCTACTGTCATCTCGCGGACCCCAACCAGGTTAGTTGAAACCTACTGATATGACTGAATCCAGGTGTCAATGACTTCATGGATTTATGCCATGTTTTGCCTTGGCCGCCACTAGCTTTCTTCCAACCTATTCCTTTATCGCAAAGCATAAGCTCAACGAGGTAGTCAGTCGGTGGTTAGGCATACGCAACACATGTCCCAACAACCTGTTGGGATAGCCATCGAGAAGCCGCCCACACACATTGTGAACACACATTATGAACTTATCGATTAAATGCTTAAATATTTCAAGGACAGTCGATTGATGAACTATTTGATTACTGTTCAAATATTTTAACGACAATATCGATTATTTATATAACTGTGTATAAATACACATGTGTGATTGTATATTTTTGATTCCATTAATAAGTGTTCTCCAACGTCTTCCGTCTTCTTATTTTTTGAACGGTGGGAGTCTAACGTTCGGTGTTGTCATTTGTACAGTGGTTTGGCGTTACTCAAGTAGAGAACATAAAACCACCTCGACCGATGAAGTTCCACTTCTTCTGACAACCAAAGCCCTTTCACGGTGTGAGCAACCGGAAAGTAACATCTCACCTCATAACCATAAAACTTCACGAGACCAAATCGGTCAGAACTAAATCTGGTCAACCTGCTTAAAAACAAATCACATCAGTAGTATGAATAAATTTTTTTTTGATTCAAAAAATGCATATATATGTATCCATTATTTTTCGGCATAAATTCTTACACGTTCAACATCTTCCGAATTGACTTCAATTACTTCTTGACCTGGTAGAATCATCACACGACATCGTCCATTTGGCAGTGAATTAAGAAATTTTCCTGAAACATATCCTTGTTTAAATGCAATCCAAACTGGAAAATCGATTTCATTATTATTATCTTCATCATATACAGATTGCATATAATCATTATTCGTATTATTATTACTATTATTATTATCAGGATGATGATGATTGTTTGATTTATGTTTCATGCTATGAATAGCATTGAACGATGAATTCTCAAATGTATCAAGTTTTATCTAATAATTAAAAAAGACTGAATATTAAGAAACTCTTAAATGAAAATCAACAATCTATTTTAAAACAGAATTAACACTACAATATTCAAACAGTAATAATTTAACTCTGAATTCAATGCCAAACACAATAACATTATAAAACAGCTAAAAAAAAATCATAGATTTTTACGGCACTAGAAAAAGTTCCGATCAGTTTATCAGTTAAACAAACTAGACTTTTATTTATATTTCAATAGTTGAGATTATTTCAAATATCATGTTTACACGCAATTTCTTCCATATACTCTGCTCAATTTATAACAAATTGTTCATTTAAAATTACGTTTGCCCTATGTATAGATTTATTGAACAGTTTGAACATTGACATAAGACATAAAGATACTGCTGAATCAGAAAGTGGAAATTTCGTTAATTTGAAACCATAAAATTGATAACTAGGAATTATTATTTATATCATATAAGTCATGCTTTAATTCTTTGAAAAAAATGTGTATCTTTTTTGTAAAATAGATTAATTCCGATGAAATTTTGCTGTTTAATCATTGAATACTTTTATGCTACAAATAAATGATCAATGTTATATTTTAAATTGTTTAAACAAAACACGAATATCACCAGTTCACGTGTTGGAACTAATTTAAGTTATTACACCATTGATTATAGACAATACAGTTTAACTGAAATCATAGAGAAATGGTGGAGAGTATTTGTAGCTCAGGTGGACAATTGTGGTGATGGTGTTTGGCTCTCTGAGCTGGATGTTTTGGTTGTGGAGCTTTCATTGTTCTTCTGAACAACATCATCACCACAAACTTCAAATAGAAGTGAAGCCTTCGAATTTCTCCACGTTTGACCTGTAGCTTGTTGTGCTAACCTCGATCTTGATTGGTTGCTGTTGCTGTCAACAGCACAATCATAGAGAAAAAAATGTATTTTGTATGATTAACTAAGATAATCATTATAACATTTGTGTGACAATGATCATTTCATGTAAAGCATTGAAAACAGTCTTTTTTGAAAAAAAAAAAACAAACGTAAATATATGAAGAACAGTTGGCAAAACTGTTTAACAGAAACATTATTTAACTTAAATAAGCTAAATGTAAACATGCAGTCAGTCAGTTAGGTACAACGTAGAACTTCGTAAGTATGTACATCAGCTCAAGTTGACTATACCGCATTAGCGCAGAGACGCAATTGTTAATTCAAATCCCACAGTGGTGGAGATAGTAAACATGTAAATAAATTTTCTTCAACAATGAAATTGATATTGTTTCTGTGTAAAGATTTACATTTACACAAAAACACTAAGGTGCAGGTAGGTCTTAGCTGACGAGTCCCGAATGGGAAGACACGTGCATCCTGGATTTCATTTCGAGACACTGTAAAAAGTTAGTATATGACACTAAAAGTGAACAAAATACTTTATACAATCAGTACGTCAGTACAGATTGTGAAGAAGTGAGAAACAATGCGGAGAAAGCAGAAGAACACATCAGCTAGAATTGTACACTTAAGTTCTTATGACTTCTCTATACACAGATGGCGAGATTAAAACCCATCGGGGGAAATTGTATAAACAATACAGTAGGTCACTTGAAATGATTTAGTTTTATTTACCACATAACTTCATTTTTAAAAACGGTTTATAATCTATTTTTATCAACAAAAAAAAAGATTGATAGCATTGTCAAACAGATCATAGCTAAATAGTTAATTAGACTGTCAAATAATTTATAAAAATTTCTAAGTAAAAATGAAAACATCAATATTATTGGTTATACACATAGAAAAGAAACTATGGGTCCAATGTTTAAATCAAATCTCGCTTGAATGTTAAACAACTAAAAACTTTAAATTCCTATCGAGCACTCAATATGTCAAGCACATGTCACTAAAATGTAGGTTTGTAGCAGAAAAATAAAACAATAGCATCCTACACAAACAAGTTATCATCATCTTTCATATTTATTAAGTCTATTTGAAAATAATTTTAGATTGCTCAAACCATCAACATATTGATAATCTCAACATAATATTTCCCATTCAAAAACTCAGTCACTTTTAAAACAAAACAAAAAACCAACTTTTTCTCGCTAACCGAATACTTCATGTACTCAGCTTGGTTAAAATTTATTTTTCCCAACTGTACAGTATTATAATCACATCAACTACAATCCATTTACAATGAGTACTATCTATAGAGTGACTAACATTTTATGATTTACAAATGACTGAGCACTAAATAGTGTCCATTACCATACATGTCTATATTTTTTTTGCTGATTCTATTGATCAAGTCTCCAGTTAGCCACTAATCTAAGCAACTCGACATAGTGTGGACTATTTTGAAATACAAAGTAGTTGAAGTTAGCTGGCAGGATAGATACTATGAGTTGAGGTTTTAAGTTAGCTGGCACTCATTCACAAGGTATTTATTCCGTAACTTTGAAAGAACTCGTGTTTTCTGATGGATTTGATTTTACATCAACCAACTTTATAGTTTAAAATGTTGACGTTGAGCTAGCTATTTGAACCACCACTGATCTCTCGTAGGACTGAGATATGGAATTAGTGAATAATATCAACAATAAAAGTAAATTTATACCAAAAACAGGCTCAATTAATTAATAACAATGATAATAATAATAATAGTAACAATAATAATAACGAAAATAATAATAGTGAGAATTACCGCAGAGTTCATTGTAGCAGTAATACACTGTAGAATTTTCCCAAGTATTCACAAATATATAAACATCGAAAAAAAAAAGGAATATTACACTCGACAGAATTTCAAAACAAACAAAATTTTCCGTAATCAAAACTCAATTGTTCTCATGATAAATATATGGTTTTAAATCATTCAACATTTCACATTATATTACATCAATACTTAAAATGAGCATAAACATATAGTATATATATATATGTATATATATATATATATATATATATATATATCAGCCAATTCTTTCATAGAATAGTTTATTGATGTATATATGTGTGTATGTGTGCGTGTGTGTGTGTCTGATGTGACACATCAGCGGATGCAATTCACTTTTAACAAAAATCAACTTCATTTAGTTTATTTGTAAATTATTATTTATATTAACAAAATAAATCATGTGAACAAATGTGCAACCACCACATTTCAATGGTTCATAATAACATCATCATCATCATCATAACACAATAGCAATAATGATTGAAAGAAATTTAATAAGACATTTTTTATTTCATATTCTGTTTTAAAGAAGAGAAACAATAAAAAAAAATGTAAATAATAGTTTAAAAGTGTGTGTATGTGCGTGTGTGCATGCAAATGTGCTTCAGTATATATATATGTATAATATACAAACAAACATTTGTTTAACGATGTTTCTTGTCAGGATAGAAACTAGCAGCACCGTGCATAACTTTTGTTTGTATTAGAGATAAAGTATATATATACATTGATGACATATTGTTACCTAATACTGTATGAATGCAAATAAAAAGAAGACATTCACGTTCTTCCATATTCACACAGTGTTTTGACTAGCATGTGTAAAGTATTCTGAAGAAGTTTGAATTCTGTAAGTTGAATAGTTTAACTATAACGTTTTTAATAGCCTATTGTAATATTATCAGTATTGACTTCGGTAAACAAGTGAATTATTAGAGTAGTAGTATATTATGTGTGAAAAATTGCTTATTCTGTTGACATGACGATCGGGCTAGTCGCCGTCTATGATTATGTGAGCGTTGATTGCCTGTATGTTTACTTTGGCTGCCTTCACCTCTAACCTGATCTCAGACCTTGCAGTTGTTTATATTTTTTTTTATTGGTCAGTAGACTGAATTGATTCCAAAACATTTATCGATTTACTTGCTAAAAGACCATGTTGATTTTCGCATCATCAACAGCAACGCAGAACTTTGCACGTAAGTACAGCACAATTAGCATAGAGAGATGTAAATGTCAATTTAAATCTCATAATAGTAGAGGTATTAAAAGTATTAGCAGTAATGGATAAGATTAGGGTTCGAAGATATGATTCGAGAAGTATAATGAAGTGAGGTAAACTTAAATAGAGAAAGGTAGAGGTGATGAGGAATTCAGAAGGTTAGAATTTCATAGAACACAAAGAGTAAATGCACCTGCTCCATTGCAAACGGTTTTGAGCCATGTCATTCAAGGTCTCCAACCATCGATTATTATCATCTCGTGGACCCCAACCAGGTAGTCGACAATTACCGACATGACTCAGTCCACTTGTCAGTGACTTCATGGATTTCTGCTATGTTTTGGTCTGACCGCCCCTAACTTTCTTCCAACCTATTCCTAAATCGCAAAAAAGCTCGACGAGGCAGTCGGTGGTTAGGCATAGGTAACACATGTCCCAACCACCTCAACTGATGAAGTTTCACCACTTCATCTATTGATCTGACATCCTCACCTAGTACTCGTTTCCTAACGACAGCATTGCTTACTCGGTTGTCCCACGACACACGAGCAATGCTTCGGAGACACCTAGGATCGAAAACCAGTAACCTACGAATATCTGCTCTGACTGGCCATGTTTCACAGCCAGACAGTAAGACGGAGCGAACTACTGTGGAGTACACTCGACCTTTAGTCAGCGAACGGATATCTCGCCTACACCATAAGTGACGCAGATTGTTAATAGCCAATCGAGCTTTCGGTATCCGTGCTGAGATTTCATTAGTCGCCAGGCCATCAGCCCTGATGAAAATCCCAAGATAAGTGAAGCGGTCAACACAATGAACTGCCTCACTCCCTATCACTCAAGTAGAAAACATAAAATTGCATATCATGACCATAAATTAAACTTGATTATTCAGGTCTTAAATTCATTAACAAGCAAGTGATTGACAATGCTGCTATCCTCGAATCATTTATAATAGTTAATCACTTCATTTTTCTATTAATCATCTTCAGATAGGCGTGTTATTAGATTAGATTTTTAAAAAAAACAATTATTCTACTAGGTATTATTCATATCTTCAATATCCATTCATTAGTTGGTGCGTTTAATTCAATAATCCGATCGCAAGAAGTTGTGACCTGGCGAGCAGTAATCACACTGTTCATTTATCGATCAGTTAAAATCAACAAAATCCTAATCTATATATAACAAAGCATGACAATGATGTATTTCAATTTAACGAAATAAAAACGAAATCCAAATAATCCGTTTAAAAATTTACAGTGTACAAGTAAATAAACATAATCTATTTCTGAAAAATTAACCAGGTTATCACATTCAAAAACTTTCATCATAGTTCACATTACGTAAACTTTTACAATGAATGGAAAAAAGTAAATATTTAAACTACAAAAAGAAAACAATCTCAATTATTTTGCTTTAGAGTTATGAATGAAAAATTCATTCATTCTCCATAATATAATCTGTCGATAGTTATAGCATTACACATTTGAAATCATGAATCGATCAATGTTAGACCACCATTAGAAACCTCGAAGCACTGGACAGCCGTTTCGTCCTGGTATAGGACTTGTCAGTGGCAGTGCGCATCCACGACTCCTGTACTTCAAAGGATTCGAACGCAGGGACCTTCGATCTTGCGCGCCAATGCCTAACCTCTGGACCACTCAGCCGATATCTAACAGTGTTTATGTCTAACTTCGATCAATTCATGGTGTTGCGCAACCCCATATATTGTCAATATTGTAATGAATGAAAATGATAGGAAAAAAATTAGAAGCAGAATAAATTCAAGTAATCTTAATAAGAAGAATTATTTTTAATGAACACATCTATTAATTCTACTGACTACCTAAAAAAATTTACCTAGTAATAACTAATAGTCTGAATTATAAAGCAATATCTAATATAATAATAAAAACTAAACAAAATGCTCATGTCTGAAAAAAATCAAATAAACGAGAGTTCTGCAAATTCATTCATCAAACTGCATTGTAAATGAAATAAACTACCTACATATAATTAAACATAATTTTTTCAAAAATTTCAAACCAACTATTAGAATTTGTAATTATAGATTGTTTGAAATTAGATACATGCATTATTGATTGTAAACTTAATGATCAGTGTCTCGGATATGACTATCCTGATCTCAGTCCTTTTTTTGAGAGTTATAGTTGTACACAACATTTAGAAGTAATGCGATGATTAGGAAATAGTTATCTTGTATTCCTAGGAGTTCAAACAGTCTACTAACTCATTTTAAGTCATAACCAATAGTAACGTTAAAATATACAGATAAAAATATGGAATTTTACAAATTTATTGAAGTTAATCTTATCAATCTAATACAGTGAGACTAGAGTCCCATAGAGAACATATCGTTTAGTCTATAAATTTTATTGAATTCTATCGATGGAATTGAAATTTTATCACTGGTCTAAGTGAACCAACATGGGGCTAAACTATCATTATATTAAATGATATTGACAATGATCTCCACTGTACCCAAGTGTGATGTTAGTTGGTACTCATTAGATCCTGAAGGAATTCGAGCCCCGATAATTCATTAAGACAATCGCAGAGATGTTAGCTAAGACCCAGTGCACATTTGTACTGTTTGATCACTGAAATTCTGAGTGGCTTATACAAGTCTGGGTCAGCTTTGGTATTACCGTGATGTTAATTATGCCGTAAAAGGTTTGATCTACAATGAGTCAGTGAGAATGATGTTGCAATATGCTTGTGAAGCCTCATCTATCCAAGTTGAGGATGTTCAGTGTCCAATCACAATTGTTTTAAAAGGATTGTTGACATTCAGTACTAATAATATATTAGCCTCATCTGTACAGTTAATTGTCGTTTCCATTCTACTACATATTGTTCGTCAGTTATGCTTTTACTTGTTTTTATCCTCCTTCTTTTCAAATGAACTCCCTTTTCCTTACAACTTAATCTACACTTTGTTTAGCACAATTTATTTTCTTGGCACCTTTTGCAAATAAAGAATTGCTGAAAGCAACAAAACCTGTGAGGCTTACTGATCATTAACAAAGTCATCATAACGGAATGATATAGCTATGGCGAAATACACAAAAAAACGCAACTTTACATAAACTAGGCTCTCAATATGTCTTTCGAAATGACAACGACAGCTTAACAACCAAACCATCCAGCTCACGTAAAATAACAGAGCCAAGAGCATCCATCTAAGCTGCAAATCTTTCTCATCACTTTAAGACGTATTTATTGTTTGGAAATAGTGGTCAACGCTTTCTCTCATTATGCGGTTGTCAGTGTGAAAATATTGGTTAGATTATGTGCTGACTTTAAACTAATGAAAACAAGAATACACATTCAACAAACAGAGTGGCTATTATAATTTTGTGCACTTCCAAACAACGCTACTTACATCAATTTAAAGTAGTATATATCTATAACACTTCATTATAAAATACAGTAATTATCAAAGCATAAGGAAAACCTAATTTCAAAAGCACAGGCGAAAAATGAGATGAAAAACTGTATCGACAAAGCATCAGGTTAAATCCACTGCCTCAAAATCTCGGGTCTAATTTTAAATTCACCAACCGGTACCCAAATAAATGAAGACACATAAAAATAAACAAAGCATGAATTTTAAGTTCATTTTACATTTAGATAACAGAAAACAGTGATAACTAATTCCATATGTATTTAAATCAGACGTAATGTCAGATAACTGCCTTATATTTTCATCTTTAATATTACTAGAAATATTACTCACTCAAATCCTACAAATAGCAGCTATATAATCTCTGGAACTTCTAAAGATGTGATATTGGAAATCTAACTAGTAAGAGATTTAAGACCGAATTAAAAAAGACTTGAGTTCAGCAAAATCAGGCACATAAATTTCTTAGAAAACATTAACGTTATATACAGATCAATCCAACTGGCCTTCAGTGACATTTCGGTTGCCCACGATCTCTAGTCAACCTGAATGGCAAATCGATGTAGGTCCTCCGACTCTTAATGAAGTTGAAAAAGCTATGGGAAATCTAAAGCGAGGGAGAGCAGCAGGGCCTGACAGGCTGAACCTTGAGATTTTTATGGATGGTGGTTCGATTTTAGCAGTTATAGTGACTGAGATATTAGGTAGAATTTGGGAACTGGGCAAAATCCTATCTGACTGGTCTCAATCAATGATTGTCCTAGTCTACAAAAAAGGACAAAAATCCTCTTGTAGCAGTCAGAGAGGAATCATTTTAACTAATATAATTTCTAAAATGTTAGCCTCAATAATATTTAGACGCCTAATCGCAACTCGTGAAGAGCGGACTTGAGAAAACCAGGCTGGATTTCGACCTGGACGCGGATGTATAGATGTATGTATGTATTCACTCTTAATCAAGTCTTGAAACATAAGCACATATTTAGGCGTCCCACCAAGGTTGTATTCCTTGACGTAAAGCAGCATTCAACTCTGTCGATCATGAGGTTCTGTGGCAGTGTCTGTCGTTAAAAAGTGTACCAGAGAAGTACATTAACCTTATACAAGCTCTCTACTCAAACACCACTGGTCGAGTGAGAGCTTATGGCGAACTGTCACCGGAATTCTTTACTTCAAGTGGTGTCCGTCAGGGATGTCCACTCTCTCCATCCTTGTTTAATTTTATCATAGACATGCTCTTAGAAATAACCTTATCCTCGTCTGAATTTTCAGGAGTAGACGTATTACCAGGAGGCTCGCTTATTGACTTAGAATATGCAGATGACATAGTCCTACTTGGTGAAGACGCTGACAAAATTCAGATTCTTCTGACTACCCTGAGCAACAATGCAAGCATGTTCGGGATGCGGTTTTCCCCCTCGAAATGCAAAATGTTGCTTCAAGATTGGGTTGTATCGCACCTGAACTAGTGATAGGGAGTGAGGCAGTTCAGTGTGTTGACCGCTTCACTCATCTCAGGAGTCTCATCAATGCTGATGGCCTGGTGACTAATGAAATCTCAGCACGGACACAGAAGGCTCGATTGGCTTTTACCAACTTGCGTTACTCATGGTGTAGGCGAGATACCCGTCTGCTCACTAAAGGACGAGTCTACCGCATAGAAGTTTGCTCCGTTCTACTGTCTGGCCGTGAAACATGGCCAGTAAGAGTTGAGGACAATCGTGGGTTATTATTATTCGACCAAAGATGTCTCCGAAGCATTGCTCGTCCGTCGTGGGACAACCGAGTGATGTTTTCTTATTTCTGAGAGTTACTACGGAAAAACTAATGGTAAAATGTTCATATCACAGATGAAGAATATGATTTAGCGCCTACCTTCTGTAAATGTATGTACAAGTTTTTGAATCCTCCGTACTTAACAACGTAGCCCCGAACAGACACCGGAGTTAAATCACATAAGTTGTCTTGTACATATTCTTGTTCTGTATTTAGACTTTTTGTTGCAAATTGTGAGGTAAGCACTAGACGATAGAAAAAATCAGTAAGTTCAGGAAGACATTGTACAGTTAAACAAAGATTATGGCCGGAAGAGCGAATCAATTGCACGATTTCATTGCGAGAAAGTGATCCAACATGCTTTCCCCCAACAGCCACAATATAATCGCCTGGAAGTAAACCACAGGAAGGATTCTGCACGCCGTTATCTACCAAAAGGACCTATAAATAAACGTCAGATGTAATTAGTTAAACGATTTATTAAATAATGACTAACAGAAATAGTCCTATTTAAAGCTTTTACTGTTAAGGTTTTTTATACAACTTGAATACTTACTTTATTAGTACTTATGAAGACACTGAACACCAGTTTGAGGGGTACCGGCAGGTGAAAACTTTCTGGTTTGGTCAGACAGTTTATAATGACTACCGGTAGTAAACCATGAATAACATGAATTAAAATCTTTCTAATGACGATGATTTACTCACCATATAACTCCTCGTAAATCTCTAGCTTCATTAATCTTTTATTTCACTTTTTACCTTCAGGAATCACGAACATTACCACTACTTTTCTGTTACTTATTTTCTTTCTCTTCCTCACTGATTTCATTTTGTTTGATATTATGTTATGAATGACTAGTTAGTAATTAAGAGCTAATATGTAACAAGTTCTGGGTAAAATTATCAAGAAAAGCTTTTGTTTTATGCACAAATTAGAATATGAGCGATTACGTTCTATCCTAACTTTTATGAAGTGAGTTTGTTTGTTCCCCTATTACATAACTTGGTTTCGTATTGGATATGAGCAGTTAACTAAATTTCTTGGTAAGTAATAATTTTGTATGTTCTCAATCAATAATAAATATCATCCGGACAAAATTGTTAGACGAAGGAAGTAAATGTCTTTAATAAAGATAATTATCCGCAATCTGAACAACAGTTGACAATATACTTCGAAAAAATACTGCTAACATTTATCGCTTAGTCCAGTACAATATCAACACTTTTTTGTTGAAGGCCGATTCTCAAAACCAGAGCAAAAACAGTTTGCAATAATACCTATCACACTGAATTATCTCTAGCACTCCTTTCCCTTTTACGCTCATAAACAATATTTTTCGGTACCTTCCAACTAGTATATTGGTGAGTAGTCCAAACTCAAAAAACGAGAATGCCAACTCATTTACGTTAGAATAATGCAAAACGGCAAACTACACAAACAAATAGTTGTGCCAGACCCTACAATTTATATGGTTGATTGTTGCTGGTCTCTAGTTTTACAGCAATACCTTGAGTATTTAAACATTTATTATTTACAGCCCACTAGATTCCTTGAAAATAAAATTGTCTCGATTATAGCTAAAACAATAAATTTTTCAGAATAAAGTTACAATGTTCGATTTCGTAATTTTTTATAACCAAAACTGGTCGCAATTAGAGTAGTTGTTATGACTTAAAAAGAACAAATAATAAATTTGGTTTGTTCAGAGTAAGAGAAAAGTGCAAAGCAAATAAGACATCATTGATTAAAAAACGGATAATATAACCATGAGAAGACAACTTAAAAACTATTAATTAATTATCCTTTATAATGTGGAAGTCTTTGGGGGAAAAGATAAGAAGTAAAAGGGCGTTGGTAATAAAAAATAGGCACAAAACTAACAAAAACAAGTGAATCACTGTATGAGAAAAAAGATTCAATCAGAAAGCTAGGAAATACATTTATCTGTGCACGGAATTCAAGTCAAAAGAGACAAAGTTTAGTCGCGAAATCAAGCTGCTTCATTTAGCGCAATACAAATTGTCAGGAATTAGGTCGATAATGTTTGATCTAAATGTATGAGTTTCAGTAGCACAAATTAACTTGTTGTTTTTCGAGAGCATAAAATGCCTAAACATTATTTGGTATCCGCTATCAGATGGTCTGCAGTTGGATATGTTTATGTCTTTTTAGACATGGTCAGGAAATCTACTCAAACTCTGGCCTCGTTGTTGGGTACAAAACAAAAGTAAACTAGAACTTCCATATTGAGCTGGAAATGATATAGCCACTGACTCTTTCAAACTCTTTGAAGTTCTTTTTCCATTTTTAGTATCTCAAGCGTTGTAGACGTAAGCAAACAGGGATCGACGTCTATGGCTAAATGTTACAGTACTTGAACTTTGGAATCTCAAGGTATGATGTTCATTATTTTGAGAATCTCGATACCGAAACTTCTTGAATAATTCTAATTGGGTCCTTCCTCCCAAACTCAGGGTAATAAGTTCAGATTTTTCCGAAATCCTTTCCATCAAAAGAAAATACCTCGAAGCTAACACTTTTAACTTCCTTATAACGTCTACTCTTTCCTAAAATTAACACACAAATGAGATATATCTTAACCTGACATCAATAATGATCTGCGTATGGAATAAGAATTAACGCTTACACTAATCTGCCAGAAAGCACTGATAAAGTCGGATTCCCAGAATGAATGACTTTTAACGCAACACTTACTTCAGAACGGTTCTCTACTATAAATCCATCATCCGTTAGGTGAAAACGGTGGATCAATAGACCACGGCGTAGTAAAATCCCATAGCTTGAATCAGCATGCTTTTTTAGACGTACTTCGAAGTAAGGTAACTCAGCACGATTAAAGTTTTTTATATCGTAATGCGCTACTACAGTATCTGGAGAGCTACTCGATGCAGTAAATTTTTTGTTAGCTGGTTGGCGAATTCGTAGTCCTTCAAAACACTTGACAGACCTTCCGCCCGAAGGAAAAGATTGATCGCTTTTCTGCAAACCAAACGTAGGATTTTCGCCTAAACCGTAAATTTAACATTAAAGGGATTACCAAATATTGCTTCATGAAGTTTTGCAACTTTAATTGTCAGGTCACTTCTTGATTCATTCATATTCTCACATGGATAGTCTTTTTGTAATCGATCCACCATTTATTCAAGACACACCAATGACAGCTCTGTGTGTCCATCACTCATTGCCCATAAACATAGATTTCATGTAAGTGCTCTAAACTAACCTCATTATTAATCTCACGCTTATGCATATAAAGTACTCACGACATTCAAACTTAAAAATATCCCCAGTGACTGAAGAGAACTTTTAATCCCTTTATAACCTGTAACAACTTTAAAAGGATGTTACTGATTACAGAGATACGTAATTTCAGTCGATTCACTTTGAACCCAGAGAGTAAAACGGAATGTCAGTAGGGGGAGACACTTCCAATATCCAATATCTTTATCGTGAGCTAGTATAAACCAATGTATTTCTTTGCGCTCGTTTCTTCTTCTTTCGGTACGATTCCAGGTGCTTGGTAGCATCCAATGAATGGGGGTCTAGCCACTCGGCTGTCTAATTCTAATCAGTTGGCAGTTGCATGTGAGTTTTTACGTCCCGTGATTTGAATGAATACTTTTGTTTTAGGGTAGTAGGGTTTCTGGATACCAGCAGCTATCACATTACCAGACCGTAGATCACTTAGTTGCATTATGGAAAACAATAAGGAGAAAATTCTAAAGCTGATACGAGTAAGATTTCAGGACTAAGTAAATAAAGGATGATTTAGTTTATTAATTGGTAATGAAGATTGTGAGAGAGGACCTAAGTGTAAGCAATTGAGAGGAAACAGAGACAACTGGAGAGATAGACTGAATTAGTGATCTGAGGAGATGGCAAAAATAACGACTAACAAGTCTCAAGACATGTGTCAGCTACAGCTGAAATTCTCAGTAGACTAGAATATCGCAGTTAGGAAGGTTGGATAGACCAGTATTGCTGTCTTCTGTTGGTATTGAAGAGAATCAGGTTTCTGTTTGACCACTCATATGTACTCATCGAAAGGCTTGGAAACTCAAAATGTCACTAGGATAAATAGGGTCTTCCAAAACTCATGATTATCTGCTTATAGCATATTTTGAAAGTACAAGGCTAATTACTGGTCAACAATAAGCTTTTCGCAAAATTTAAGACTTGTGACACTCCCTACCACTGAATAGCTAACGATTAGTACTTTACATCAGGACTCTGAGTGGAAAGCTATCTAAGCCGGAAGTCTTTTAGAAACTTTAGTAAACTTAAAACTTTCGTGTGAAAGAATCAGTGAAACGTTTTGGCCCTAACCATCCTGTAAGCAGCCGACAGTTTCGAGATTTGGTCACGAAAATATTCCCATGTCTTTCTTGAACCTTAACTGATGACCTCTTAGGTGTAGTTCAGCGCCTAAGCAGACTATTACGCCGTAAAGATTGCGGATATTATGCGCGATATGATTCACAATGGTTATATAGCACTGCAACAGTAAATAAACCACCAAAGTAAATAGTTCTGTAAGTCATTGACTTTGAAGCTTGCCTCATTGCTTATACCGAATACTCTAATGCTAAAGGCGCCCCGCCGCGCGTCCACACTCAGTCACCCTGGAGTATGCCGTGTAACGCATCTCATAGTGTGGTGTGTGCTACTTATATGAACGATATAAGTAGTATAGGAAAGGACTTGAAAGAAGTCTCACGGTCAGAAGAGGAAAACGGAAAGCAAATGGAGCAAAAGCAAGAAGTAAATGGAGTACCAACAGGAAGGAAAGGAAGCAACAGCAGGAATGGAAGAAGGATGGAGCGTTGGAAGTCACGACCCAAAGATGGTGTGCAAACAAAGTGTTCAATGTAATGTTCTCGTTTTTAATTGACTAAGTGTAAATTTGCATAATACAACCTTCCGCGCCTGCCTCAGTCTCCTAAATAGTATCAACAATCATCCAAGGGACGTTCACGTAGCCCTGAATTCAGTCAATGGCTTATACCAAGAAACAGTGAAATTAATAAATAAAGCTGAACAATAACTAAAGTGAATACTAACGACTGAGAAGCATGAAACATGGTTAGAGAAGGTCTGAGTAAACATGGTCAACGGGCTAAGTAATAACAAGTATTTACTAAAACGCTGTGGAGAGATTTCTAGGGCACTTTTTCGTAACACTTACTTTTCCACAACACTGAACTGTAACACGATTTGGTAACAGAAATGATGTGTGGCATCTGAGAGGCCATTAGCCAACAAACACTAAAAAGTGGCCTTTACCCACAATTCCTTTAATTCATACATGTCTCATTCTAAAATAACTCCGTGAACAGATTGGCTACATTTGTATATCGGATTCTGTAGATGACTTAAACATCTACCTCTGAGATTTGTTAATAGTTATAATGGTAATCTGTTCCTCAATAACAAGTTGCAAGAGATATGCCTATTTACAGGCAAAATCAAAATGTTAAAATTGCTAACATATTATCTGCAAGAGGTTGTTCACTTACGTAACTATTTCGGAAGATATATTAGCTTCATGTATAGGGCTAAAATGTTTCAAATAAAATCACAGATGTTTCAGCATCTTCAATGCACAATACGATAGTTGGTGCGAGTTACGATGGTTGCGTTGCGACCAACCTCTGCTGGTTGAGAACCAATGAAACGTAAATCAAGGTCTGCATACGGAATGGATTAGTGAGGCAAATGTGCAAAGACCTTGTTGAGATTCGTCAGATAATAAATTTACAGGCTCCTAGGTAAAGTGACCAAGTCTTCAGCATTTATCCAAGCTAATATTTAAGGAGAATGATGACGTGCTGAAACAGAGGAATAAAAAGTAGATGAGGAGCAGAACAGAAAATATTTTTCTTTAAAGCTGAGTCATGACTCATCAGATAATATTTTTGGATAAAACAAAGGTATGATTACTCAGACCTTTCTTTTTCTGCACCAGAACACTAACTGTACACACGTATTTATGTAAAATAATGAAGATAAGTCGCTATTAAGATAATGAATGAGCAGAGGCAATTCAAAAGAACTAAATTGTTGGCAACAATGTCGATTTACAGAATATAATAATAAAGCACAATAATCTGGTGCCTTTTTGATATTTCATTTAATGTTTTTTAACGCTGCAGCTCAAGAAGTCACGAGTGAGCTCTTTTTGACCACAGCTGTTAAAATCTGCTTGTAATCGGATTTCTTGGTGGGAAATGAAACCAGTGCAAGCTTACAAACATGATTCTTAGATGGAGTCCACATGGAAAAGTAACGAATTTCATCGATTAGTTACATCCTGCTACATCGTAAGGAGCCGTCGAGCGAGGGCCACAAACGATCAGCAACGAAGTCAGAGAAAACTTCAATACAATAAACAGTTCGCATAACTTTCAGCAACATGCCAAGCGAGCAAAAACTCACTGAGCGGCACATCTCGATGAAGATGACCCTCTAGAACACATGCTTCTAAATATGCAGGAAGAGGCAGAAAAGAATTGTGAAATAAACATAGTTTCTGTCCAGTTTGATGATCTTCAATCGCGAATCTAGAAAAAAACCTCATCTGGACCTTGTTTTACAATGACTTTTAAAATATAGAACCAATGTAAACTTACATAAATTTTATTCGGAACCTAATTTTTCGCTTTCCTTGTGTATACTCCAAGTACACGCTCTCTGCAAAATAGAGTAGCGATATTTTCGGTTTATTCAGAAAACCCACGGCCAAACTACTATCCAGGCACAATACTTTCGAGAGGGAACTAAGTACGCATTGTGCTATGCGATACTTTCAACACCGCTAAACACCGAAATTCACTCTTTCAAAATGGATAAAACTTTGACTTTTACTGTCAGCTCATTTTCAGACAAGTAGTCCTTTCAAAAGTCCCGACAGCTGAGATGTATCACCCAATTTAAGTCATAAATACAACATATTTATGAGGCAAATAATTTACTTGCAGTTGCCTTGTCTCGTGTAACTTCCTTGAACAGTTTCTAAACTCCCCCAGATTTGTAAAAACACTGGTCTTCAGCATCAGTTATTATCCATAACCATGAAATTACGAATCAGACAATCGGGAAACGTCGAGGAGATTTTGCGATACATCAACAGGTGTGAGTCTTATAATTTTACCAAAACAATAATGAAGCAATATCTCCGAAATACTGCACAAACTTTCTCATCCAGGTATGCAAACAACCGTTGAGCTGATAGTAGGATGAGTTGTCTAGCGCAATACATACTCAGATGTACATTCAGCCTCCTACATAAGCAGGCTCATAAGTGATGGGTGGTCAGTTAAATCTCGTTCAAGTCATCGAACACTTATCTGTCACAAACAGGCACTACTGTAGATTTAATTCCATCACTGAGAGATGAAGTATACAAAGTAGCCAGACTAATCCAGGATAACAAAAGTCCAGACAGCATACCAGATTAGGTATTGAGGTCAGATACAGAGATAGTTCCTGTCATCTTCAAGAAAAACTTGAAGGTTGGAACAAGAAACAAAAGACTGGGAAGAGGGAGTCTTCACAAGGAAAAGAGATCTCAGTAAGCGGAAGAACTGTAGGTGTATCATAACACCCTGCCAGATTTCTATACAATGCACAGACAAATGAACAAAGTGGTAACTCAGTCTTAAATCATGCTAAACAGTCCGGTAACCTTTAAAAATGTTCTGCTTTTATTGGTATGGATTTCAGTATGCATTAAACTTGAATTTATAACGAATCAATGAAAAGTTAAAAGTCATTTTCTGAGTGCCTAGAGTTTGGAGGTTTGAATTAAGTCTTCCACACATCAGAATGTCTACGACATAGTCTTCACCAGTAGAATTGCCCTTTTACTTTGTAAAGAAGGAAGAAGTTCCTAGACAGTGAACATAACCTTGACACCTGTAGTATTGACACAAAAGCGAACACTAGTAGTGGTAAAAACCACCTAAGTGCTTAGAGCCTATCACAAGGGTTATATGATGAACTTTCGAATTTGAGGAGGAAGCATTAATTTGGGAACATCCTCTTTAGGTAATACAACTTTACTAACAAAAGATCACATCACAACACTAGTAGCACTTCGACAGACTTGTGTCACTGGGATACTGGAGCCCTTACAAGCACATGAAACTGTACAAAATGACGTCCTGCAAGTCATGTGTTACAAGGGAATTTAGAAGTACTTGTATGTCGACTGGTAACGTGAGTATCGTTACTTTTATTAGGATTTGGATTTATTTGTTTTGATTTAACTTTGAATCAGTT